CATAAGGGTAGTACCAAAACACCTTGATATAGGGGAGGCACCTGCATGCAGATAAGGAAATGTGGCTAGGATGGAATAAATTATATTCGCAGAGCGAATGTAAACCAGGGAAAAAAACGCACTTCCCTGTCCCCAATAAATTAAAAAAACACAACCCCTCCCCAAAGCAAAACAAACAGTTTTACAACCCTTCCCTAAATTTAAATCTGTCCCTAAATATAATCCTCAATATTGATCAATGATCACGATAACCCAAGGCTCTCAACAGCAAAGCTATTCAATTGAAACGTGCATTAATGTTTAAAAAATATTGGCATGAAACAATGAAAGATAATTGTGTTATTTTTCAAGCTATTTAACTGCCAGTGGTAAAGTGGAGGCTCACTGCACTGACAGGAAAAGGAGAGAGAGTCAATGTGCAATAATGTGTGCGTGTACATAACATTTAAGTCATTTAGCAGACGCTCTTATCCAGAGCGACTTACAGGAGCAATTAGGGTTAAGTGCCTTGCTCAAGGGCACATCGACAGATTATTCACCTAGTCGGCTCGGGGATTTGAACCAGCGACCTTTCGGTTACTGGCACAACGCTCTTAACCACTAAGCTACCTGCCGCCCCACTCTAAGTCAGATGTCTCAGATCTACTCACAGATGTTGACTGTTGCAATATTAAAGTGTCTTGTGTAAATGTCATTGAGTGAGAGGCAGAAAAAGGGGAAGGGGAAGAGGACAGACACCGAGGATCACTCTTACCTCCTCTTCTCCTTATGACAGATGGCTAATGCAGTATTCAGCAAGACATCTCCCAAAGCATAAGGACACTAACACTGCCACCCACACATGCTGTATGGACACACGCACACACACACACACACTATGGATCAACAGCCTATGTGTAGATATTGGCATACAAGTGAATACATTATTTAGCTTATTCAGTGCCTATAGAAAGTTTACACCCCTTGAACTTTTTTCACATTTTGTTGTGTTACAAAGTGGGATTGAAATAGATTTAATTGTAATGTTTTGTCATTGATCTACACAAAATACTCCATAATATCAAAGTGAAAATACATTTTTTTTGAATAACTAAACTATAGTCGTTGCATAAGTATTCACCCCCTTTGTCTTAACAAATCACGTAAGAAGTTATATGGACTCAATCTGTATGAAATAATAGTATGTAAAGTGCCATCAGAAAGTATTCATAGCCCTTGACTTATTCCACATTTTGTTGTGTTACAGCCTGAATTCAAAATTGATTAAATATATTTTTCTCACCCATCTACACACAATACCCCATAATGACAAAGTAAAAACATGTTTTTAGGCATTTTAGCACATTTCTTGAAAATGAAATACAGAAATATCTAATTTACATAAGTATTCACATCCCTGAGTCAATACATGTTTGGCAGCAATTACAGCTGTGAGTCTTTCTGGGTAAGTCTCTAAAAGCTTTGCACACTTGGATTGTGCAATATTTGCCCATTATTCTTTTCAAGCTCTGTCAAGTTGGTTGTTGATCATTGCTGGACAGCCATTTTCAAGTCTTGCCACAGATTTTCAAGAAGATTTAAGTCAAAACTGTAACTTGGCCACTCTGGAACATTCACTGTCTTCTTGGTAAGCAACTCCAGGGTAGATTTGGCTTTGTGTTGTAGGTTATTGTCCTGCTTAAAGGTACATTTATCTCCCGGTGTCTGGTGTAAAGCAGACTGAAGTAGGTTTTCCTCTAGGATTTTGCCTGAAGAAGACTCACAACTGTAATCGCTGCCAAAGGTGTTTCTAACATGTATTGACTCAGGGGGGTGAATACGAATCTAATCAAGGTAATCGGAGTGTTATATTTTTCATTAATCTTTAAAAAATGTTAGAATTTTTCTTCCACTTTGACATTAGAGTATTTTGTGTCGATCGTTGATTTAAAAAAAATAACAATTCAATCCATTTTAATCCCACTTTGTAACACAATAAAATGTGAAGAAATCCAAAGGGGGTGTAGACTTTCTATAGGCACTGTATGTTAGCCTTGCTTACGCATATTCCTTCCATGTTTTCCCCTGTGCCAGCAACACATCAGTCAATGTGACTCTAGTGCTTGGGGTTACAAATGAGCACTCACCACCAGTGACCTTGCATGCGGACACCCTCTTGGCCTCCACAGTCACGATTGCTGGCTTTTCCTTTTCTACCTGATAGCACTGGAACTGTTTGGGTTCAGTATAGAACATGCTGGTGATGGAATGTTTCCTCCTCGGGTTATATGGTGCACAGAAGTCATGTTTCGGTACCGGTACTTAATAATGGAAGGAGTTTTTGGAAATAAATAATTCAATTTGATGGCAGAGAATAGAGCCATGAAATCAACCTTGACGCATTGACACGGGTAGAACTACACTTCTCTACTGTTTTAATTGTTTAAAAGCTTGGTGGAGGAATGTAAGACAAAGTCAATGTGTGGTGTTTTCAGGGCTCTCGGGTCTGCCAAAGCAATTTGCGTGGATTTGTGTGAAAGGGCTGGGTGTATCTGCTCACGTATACATTTTATCCATCCCAATGTGTGTGCGTGCTCTCTCACCAAAGGCAGGCTCAGGCCTTGGGTCACTTCCAAGACCGCAGGAATGGTTTTGATTTACAGTTTCCTCCATATCCATCTGTGTCACGCTCAATATATCACAATTTCCTATTCAAATGATCCACTCAAGGATCGTTTTGATTAATGGCACAATGATAATCACATTATAGCCATGTTATCTATTGGTTTTAATTGGCTCATTGTGCCTGTTGGCCTGCTACTGGTAAGCACCCTACTGTCCCCTGCTGGTAACATTAACACTAAAGTCAATTTCTGTCAACTGTCAATGTCACAACTGATACTGTACTGTATGTAACAAATATTTCCTGGATGCTTAAAACTCATTCCAAGACAAAGTTGAATTTTAAAAAACTAATATCGGTCATTATCTCTAAAGCAAAACGACTCATGGCAAATTGATGTAGGAGACTAAGAACAGAAGAAAATGAGTAAATATTGAGTAAAACCGTATTCATTTTTCTCCAGATTTAAGTGTTGGACACAAAACAAAGCATTACAAGTTATTGTGACATAGTGAATCTCAATATCATGATATGCTTTGAAGAACATGTCATATCTTTTGGCAAAAAGGACAATAATACATGGCATGGGCAGTAGCTCATTAAAAATAGTATCTCAAATTCATAACATTAAAAAGACAATATCAACAGCCAAATGAAAATACAAACAATAGCATAGAACAAAAGCACAGTTCCCGACACAAAATAATGTTTATAAGAAATAACGAATAAAAATTCAATTTACTACAGTAACTTGCAATAATGCTTTATCTGGAAACCAATAAGAACAAGAGCACATCCAAAACCCAGAACCAATCAAGCTGCGCACACACGCAAACCAATCAACATGCATACAGTACATACACTCAAACAAACCAAAGGTAAATCAGTCTGAAAACCATTACCACAGCATTATAAAAACACATCAAAACCCATGAAATGTAATAAATACTCAAATAAGCACTGTGTTTAAAGCTGAAATGTGTATCACTGATTAAATGACTACATTTGTGCGATATCCAGGTACAAATCAAATCAACAGTCAATATATTTGGGTAAAAAAGTGATTGGTAAATGATCAGTGTAACTGACATTCAATGATCAAATACCTAAATGTCTCCAAAACCACTAACTTCTTTAATCAGGGTGAAAATTCTTACTCACAGTAAAAAATTATTAATATTTTGATTTGTCCCTTTAAGAAATATACCGAAAAGTTGCTCTGGTCATAATAACTCAACACCATGAGCTTATCTGTGTATGAGGCTATAATATAAAATCAGAATGTTTATCATAACCCAGTGTTTTATTTCCCCGCCTTTTCTGATTTACTCAGAATCATGATGGTTGTTAATGAAGCACACATATACACATACAGGACAATGGATGCCGTTATTTGATTCTCAGGTGAACTTCAGTGAACCAGCTAAGTGTACACAAATAGAGAGACCAATGTCAATAGCACGCTGAAATCTCAAGCCAAAAGGAATGATACTAAGGTTCCTGTAAATTGGCAGTATGGGACAAGAACCACTGGGTCACGAAGACTGCGTCCCATGGACTGGGATCATCACGCAGGGTCAAAGTTCACTTGAACAGCTGTCCGCAGTAATAATAATATATGTTATTTTATATAGTACAGTAGCACCATTTTTTCTCAATCTCAACCACACCATTAGATACAGTGAGAGACTTCCAACAGACTCCCAACCACTGCCTCTGTTTGCCATGCGATGAGTGCTGTGTATCTATCTACAAGTGCTCCGGTGTAGAGGTCATGACCTCCCTATGTATATGGCTTGTGCTCATTATGGCTCCTCATTTCCCTTTACCCCTCCCTCCCTTCCTTCCTTCCTGCCTCCCTGTATATATACTGAGAATATGCTAACATCAGGATAATCTCCAACTGCACGCTCATCATCGTCACCCTGCTAAGGCGACTGAAACCGTCATTAGTATGACCTTAAAGCCAACAGTATAGCCTCTAGACCTGAGTTATGAAAACACTGGTCTAAAGCTTATTTCCATTCAAGAAATTACATGTTAGTTAATTTCTTGAGAAAATGAATGAGATGGTACAAGCTACTGCAGTGTACTGCAGATGGTATAAATACATGAAGATAAAGTCATTGCATCATTGCGATAACGCAAAATGCCATTCAGCATCGTCTTTCAAAGAAAACAGGGAGGTGAACCCTTAAATATTTAACTAGTCTCTTAGTTGGTTCATAAATAAGCTCTTAGACTTAGAATTTTGAGATTCTAGATGACTTTGGAATTCAAATCAAGTCATCTCTGATCTTTCAGAGACTATCCCAATCTGTCATAGTTGAATTAATGTGCTTCCTTCTCCTAACTCTATTCCTCCCACTCTTCCCCCTCCTCCCCTTCTAGCGCTTTTCTAGCTTCGGGGGCAGTGTTTGGTGTGGTGGCTGTGCTTTTGAGTTTGTTGCAGCGGCAGAGGCAGCTGAGGAAGATGAGGAAGAGGATGAGCAAGAGGAGCTCCGTCGAGTCTCCACACCTGTACTTGTCATCTTGAGCTTGCGTCGCTTTGCAAGGGGGGCGTTGTCGACACTCTTCAGAAAGAAGCCCTCCCTCTTCCCCTTGTTGAACGCCTAATGGAGAGAGGATGTACATACAATATTATAAACTGGGTGGTTCGAGCCCTGAATGCTGATTGGCTGACAGCCGTGGTATATCAGACCGTATACCACGGGTACAACAAAACATTTATTTATACTGCTCTAATTATGTTGGTAACCAGTTTATAATAGCAATATGGCACCTCTGGAGTTTCTGGTATATGGCCAATATACCACGGCTAAGGGCTGTGTCCAGTCACTCCACGTTGCATTGTGCCTAAGAACAGCCCATGGCCGTGGTATATTGGCCATATACCACACCTCCTCTGGCCTTATTGCTTAAATATAACCTACCTATTCTATTACATTGCACATACACCTCCGTTATATTTCTCTATTGTCATTATATTGCACATACCCTTTATTATATTCCTTTATTATAGTGTTTTTTTTTTATATTGTGTTCTCTATTTGTTTTACTACTACATTTGACTTAATTTTTGATTGAATACTTTTTTATACAGTGGGGAAAAAAAGTATTTAGTCAGCCACCAATTGTGCAAGTTCTCCCACTTAAAAAGATGAGAGAGGCCTGTAATTTTCATCATAGGTACACGTCAACTATGACAGACAAAATGAGATTTTTTTCTCTCCAGAAAATCACATTGTAGGATTTTTTATGAATTTATTTGCAAATTATGGTGGAAAATAAGTATTTGGTCACCTACAAACAAGCAAGATTTCTGGCTCTCACAGACCTGTAACTTATTCTTTAAGAGGCTCCTCTGTCCTCCACTCGTTACCTGTATTAATGGCACCTGTTTGAACTTGTTATCAGTATAAAAGACACCTGTCCACAACCTCAAACAGTCACACTCCAAACTCCACTATGGCCAAGACCAAAGAGCTGTCAAAGGACACCAGAAACAAAATTGTAGACCTGCACCAGGCTGGGAAGACTGAATCTGCAATAGGTAAGCAGCTTGGTTTGAAGAAATCAACTGTTGGAGCAATTATTAGGAAATGGAAGACATACAAGACCACTGATAATCTCCCTCGATCTGGGGCTCCACGCAAGATCTCACCCCAGGGGGTCAAAATGATCACAAGAACGGTGAGCAAAAATCCCAGAACCACACGGGGGGACCTAGTGAATGACCTGCAGAGAGCTGGGACCAAAGTAACAAAGCCTACCATCAGTAACACACTACGCCGCCAGGGACTCAAATCCTGCAGCGCCAGACGTGTCCCCCTGCTTAAGCCAGTACATGTCCAGGCCCGTCTGAAGTTTGCTAGAGTGCATTTGGATGATCCAGAAGAGGATTGGGAGAATGTCAGATGAAACCAAAATATAACTTTTTGGTAAAAACTCAACTCGTCGTGTTTGGAGGACAAAGAATGCTGAGTTGCATCCAAAGAACACCATACCTACTGTGAAGCATGGGGGTGGAAACATCATGCTTTGGGGCTGTTTTTCTGCAAAGGGACCAGGACGACTGATCCGTGTAAAGGAAAGAATGAATGGGGCCATGTATCGTGAGATTTTGAGTGAAAACCTCCTTCCATCAGCAAGGGCATTGAAGATGAAACGTGGCTGGGTCTTTCAGCATGACAATGATCCCAAACACACCGCCCGGGCAACGAAGGAGTGGCTTCGTAAGAAGCATTTCAAGGTCCTGGAGTGGCCTAGCCAGTCTCCAGATCTCAACCCCATAGAAAATCTTTGGAGGGAGTTGAAAGTCTGTGTTGCCCAGCGACAGCCCCAAAACATCACTGCTCTAGAGGAGATCTGCATGGAGGAATGGGCCAAAATACCAGCAACAGTGTGTGAAAACCTTGTGAAGACTTACAGAAAACGTTTGACCTGTGTCATTGCCAACAAAGGGTATTTAACAAAGTATTGAGAAACTTTTGTTATTGACCAAATACTTATTTTCCACCATAATTTGCAAATAAATTCATAAAAAATCCTACAATGTGATTTTCTGGATTTTGTTTTCTCATTTTGTCTGTCATAGTTGACGTGTACCTATGATGAAAATTACAGGCCTCTCTCATCTTTTTAAGTGGGAGAACTTGCACAATTGGTGGCTGACTAAATACTTTTTTTCCCCCACTGTAGATGTTCCACTGTTGGAGAGGAGAGCTTGAGAGCGAGTAAGTAAGCATTTCATTGTAATGCGTACAATACGCTTTACTCTGCATTTGACAAATAAACTTTGATTTGATTGGGAGAGTAGAAAAAGACAATAAAAAATATATAATAAAAAAAGAACACAAGGAATGCAATCTATTGGTTATAGAAACGTATACTTTTTTCCCACTGGACTTGAAAAGAAATATGAGGTTAAGACTTCCATTACCTTGTAGGTGGCGTTGACATAGGAGCGGACGATGGGGCCGCTGGACTCGAGCACATCTGGGGTGCAGAGGGGGGTGGAGGATAGGATGGCCCCACCCTGCAGCCAGCTGTTCTCTCTCAGAGCAGACAACTTGAGACGCCTCTCTGGATCCACTGTCAGCAGCCCTGAACACAAACAGGGAGGAGGGAGGTTTAGAAGAGTTAGGGTGGAAAGGAGGAAGGGTTAGAAGAGTTAGGGAGGAAAGGAGGGAGGTTTAGAAGAGTTAGGGAGGAAAGGAGGGAGGTTTAGAAGAGTTAGGGAGGAAAGGAGGGAGGTTTAGAAGAGTTAGGGAGGAGAGGAAGGGAAAGCCAAAATGAAAAATATGAGAGGTTGGGCGGGGAGGGGGGTTGCAGAGCGAGGGGAAAGAAAGGGGCAGAGAAAGCATGACAGAAAGGAGGAAAGTGAGCGAGGGTAGGGACAGATAAAGGGGGGAATGTTTAAAAGATCGAGTGAATGGAAAATGAATAATTGCATCATGTCAATGAGTGAATAAGGATACTGTAAGGGATGCAGAACATACCTTTCACAAGCTCTTTAGCCTCCTCTGACACACCCTTCCAGGCTTCTCCGGTCAATGAGAAGTCTCCCTCTTTAATTTTATGCATGATGTCAGCAGCATAAGATGAGGTCATCCCTGCCCGCTGCTGCTGCTTACTCTGGAAGGGCACCTGTCCTGACAGCATGGTGTACTGCCGGACGGATGGACACACACAGTCATTAATAACATCATAATAATTTGTTTTACTAATGACACATTACCGAGTCAGTTAGGAGTGTAAGTACCAGGATGACCCCAAGGCTCCAGAGGTCACAGGCCTGGTCGTAGCCGGTGCTGTGGAAGAGCTCAGGAGCAGCGTACTGCAGTGTGAAGCAGGGAGTCTGCAGGGGGGCGCTGCCCGCAGGGCACAGCCGCGCAAAACCAAAATCTATCACCTTCAGCACCGAGTCCTCCCCCTCGTCTGCAAACAGAACATTCTGAAAAAGAGAAAAGAAAAGAGAGAGCGAGAGAGAGGAGAGAGAGAGACAGAGAGACAGAGAGAGAGTCAGAGAGAGAGAGAGAGAGAGAGAGAGAGAGACAGAGAGAGAGAGAGAGAAAGTGAGTGGGCCGTGCAGGAACAACACAGTCAACAGAAGGTTACAGTCACTGGCTGATGTAATGGAGCAACAAATGTCAATTTATTTTAGCCTGAACCAACAAAATAAAATCATAAACCTGATAGGCCATGCTTAGTGGTTTTTACAGCATTGCTAAAGACTTTGATCTCATCATACTCACTGGCTGCAGGCTTTGGTTGGTGCAGAGTACTATTGAAGCAATCTCAATGTGTTACTTTTTCCTGGCCATACATTGCTATAGAATATATTTAGACTCCCTCTCTCTCTCTCTGTCAGTGTGTCTGTTGGCCCACCTCTGGTTTGAGGTCTCTGTGCACCACTCCAGCCTCGTGCATGAAGCCGACAGCTGACACCAGGCTCCTGAGCAGCTGACTGGCCTCTGATTCCCCAAACAGTTTCTTCCTCTTGATCCTCTCCAGCAGCTCCCCCCCACGCAGCAGCTCCATCACCAGGTATGTATGGAACTGATAGAGGGGAGGGGGAGGGAGAGAGAGGGAGGGAGGATAGGGCAAGAGTGGGGTGGGGAGGGAGGGAGGATGGGGAAAGAGTGGGGTGGGGAGGGAGGGAGGGAGGATGGGAGGGAGGATGGGGAAAGAGTGGGGTGGGGAGGGGAGGGAGGATGGGGAAAGAGTGGGGTGGGGAGGGGAGGAGGAGGAGGCTGGGGAAGAGTGGGGTGGGGGGAGGAGGGAGGGAGGATGGGGAAAGAGTGGTGGGGAGGGGGAGGGGAGGGAGGATGGGGGAGAGGGGAAGAGTGGGGGGGGAGGGGAGGGAGGATGGGGAAAGAGTGGGGTGGGGAGGGGGAGGGAGGATGGGGAAAGAGTGGGGTGGGGGGGGGGGGGGGAGGAGGGGGGAAGAGCGGGGTGGGGAGGGAGGGAGGATGGGGAAAGAGGGGTGGGGAGGGGGAGGAGTGGGGAAAGAGGGGCGGGGTGGGGAGGAGGATGGGGGAAAGAGCAGGGGTGGTGGGGAGGGAGGGAGGATGGGGGAAAGGAGGGGGTGGGGGAGGGAGGATGGGGAAAGAGGGGGTGGGAGGGAGGAGGGGGAAAGAGTGGGGTGGGGAGGGAGGGAGGATGGGAAAGAGAGGAGTGGGGAGAGGGGAGGATGGGAAAGAGCGGGTGGGGGGGAGGGAGAGGTGGGAGGGGAAGGACGGGGTGGGTGGGAGGAAGGAGAGGATGGGAAAGAAGCTGGGGGGGGGAGGGGGGAAGGAGGGGGGGGGGGGAGAGGAGGGAAAAGCGGGGTGGGGAGGGAGGGAGGCTTGGAAAAAGACGGGGGTGGGGAGGGAGGATGGGAAAGAGCGGGGTGGGGAGGGAGGGAGGATGGGGAAAGAGCGGGGTGGGCAGGGAGGGAGGATGGGGAAAGAGCGGGGTGGGGAGGGAGGAGGATGGGGAAAGAGCGGGGTGGGGAGGGAGGAGGGGAAAGCGGGGTGGGGAGGGAGGAGGGGAAAAAGAGCGGGTGGGGAGGGAGGAGGATGGGGAAGAGCGGGCGGTGGGGAGGGAGGGGAGGATGGGGAAAGAGCGGGGGGGGAGGAGGGAGGATGGGGAAAGAGAGGGGTGGGGAGGGAGGATGGGGAAAGAGCGGGGTGAGGGGGAGAGAGAAAATAATGAGGTTGTATGATGAGAAAATAGTTTATTGCTGCATGATTGATTAAGTTCCCCAATAAATTCCCCAAATGTCTAACATTATTGTGATTCAAGACCTGACACCTTGCAAGTAAACACAGGAGAAGAGAAAGAACGTGCCTGTAGTTGTCAGTGCTTGAACGTGCTTGCCTGTAGTTGTCAGTGCTTGAACGTGCTTGCCTGTAGTTGTCAGTGCTTGAACGTGCGTGCCTGTAGTTGTCAGTGCTTGAACGTGCTTGCCTATAGTTGTCAGTGCTTGAACGTGCGTGCCTGTCGTTGTCAGTGCTTGAACGTGCTTGCCTATAGTTGTCAGTGCTTGAACGTGCTTGCCTGTAGTTGTCAGTGCTTGAACGTGCGTGCCTGTCGTTGTCAGTGCTTGAACGTGCTTGCCTATAGTTGTCAGTGCTTGAACGTGCGTGCCTGTAGTTGTCAGTGCTTGAACGTGCGTGCCTGTCGTTGTCAGTGCTTGAACGTGCTTGCCTGTAGTTGTCAGTGCTTGAACGTGCTTGCCTGTAGTTGTCAGTGCTTGAACGTGCGTGCCTGTCGTTGTCAGTGCTTGAATGTGCTTGCCTATAGTTGTCAGTGCTTGAACGTGCTTGCCTGTAGTTGTCAGTGCTTGAACGTGCGTGCCTGTAGTTGTCAGTGCTTGAACGTGCTTGCCTGTAGTTGTCAGTGCTTGAACGTGCTTGCCTGTAGTTGTCAGTGCTTGAACGTGCGTGCCTGTAGTTGTCAGTGCTTGAACGTGCGTGCCTGTGCATTTCTATCATCATTGTGTACCTGATCAGTGTAGACCTCGTGTAGTTTGACAATGTTGGGGTGAGCCTCACACTGCCTGAGGGCAGCAATCTCCCTCTGAGTGTTCACTTCCATTCTAACAAGCAAGAGAGAGAGAGAGGGTTCAAAGGCATTCATACATTAAAGGTCAACAACACAAAGCACATCAGTGCGCCAAACAGCCTATGAAACAGCTATGGTAATGCATTGGCTCTACCCCCTTAAAAAATATATAATAATAAAAAATAAAATAAAAAATGCCTTGGAATAGATATTAAAACACAGCAGCGTGAAGTGTGTAATTCATCATGCAGGTGTAGCAATGACACATTGCATTAGTGCGTGACAGAGTCTCAGCCAGCACCACGCCTCGGCTGACTCACCTGCGGCTGATGATCTTGACGGCGTACTCATGGCCGCTCTGGCGGTGTCGACACTTCCTGCACACAGAGAAGCTTCCCTCGCCCAGGGGCGCCCCCTGCAGGCACAGCTCATACAGCTGGAAGAACGTAGAGTCCTGCAGAGGACAAAAGAGGGAAGTCAAATACAACTGCACAGGAAACCGCAGAATGTGTCCAAATCTTACCCTTGTTCAATCTTTAAATTATTGCCTGGATGGATATTTACTAAAGCAGCTCAGATTGAGCTCAGGCCAACCAGCAAGACCTGACGTAATACATTCACCTAACAACTATCCTACAGCCATGTGAAGACTAGTTCCATATCTCTAACATAGCACTGTCTTTCCTACAGCCATATCAGGACTAGTTCCGTATCTCTATCATAGCACTGTCTTTCCTACAGCCATATCAGGACTAGTTCCATATCTCTATCATAGCACTGTCTTTCCTACAGCCATATCAGGACTGGTTCCATATCTCTAACATAGCACTGTCTTTCCTACAGCCATGTCAGGGCTAGTTCCATATCTCTATCATAGCACTGTCTTTCCTACATCCATGTCAGGACTAGTTCCGTATCTCTATCATAGCACTATCTTTCCTACAGCCATGTCAGGACTAGATCCATACCGCTAACATAGCACTGCGACGGACAGTGGCTGAGCCCGGCCGCTCTGCTCCCATCTGGCCCTCCATGAAGTCCCCCATCACCACGTTCTTGTTGAACAGAATGGAGGGAGCAACGAAAGAGTAGCCCTGAAATGGAAGAGAAGAGTCTTATATGTGGAGGGACTATCAAAAGGTTTCTTTCTGTGCCAATGTAGGCACAGAGTATGTATTTAGCGTATTGCAGAGGGTAGGGTGTAAGGGTACCTGGAACAGTCGATCTGTGCTTGGTGGGGTGCTGGCTGGAGAGTAGAGAGGATTCATACCAGTGAACTCCTCAGCAAAGTTCCCTGTATCCAGCTCACTCCGGATCTCTGGTTTGAACGGGCTGACTACCTTCTTCTCAGCCAGGTCTGACCAACTGAGACCCTATGAATATAGAGCAATGGGAGGAGAATGGTGAAAGGAGAGTGTGTGTGCGCGCGTTGGGAGAGAGAGAGGGAGTGAGATGGGCCTAGAGACAGAGCGAGAGGCAGGAGGGAAGACGAGCACCTTGAAGAAGGCATGACTCTTGATGTCGTCGGCCCCTCGTGGCCCAGAGCCCAGTCTCTTGTGGGGGTCTTTGACCAACAGCTTCCTCAACAGGTCCTGAGCCACGGCGCCGATCATAGAGGGGAACGGCGGCTCGCAATGTAAGATGCGCCTGAAAGGAGGGCAGGAGGGGCAGACCGAAAAATGTAAAGAGTGAATAACAATCACTGTATACACTGTGTAAACACAGCCCTAATTATAAGCCAACCATTATGGCCATAAAGAACACGATTGCAAAGCAACACATTAACATATTTTCTAATTAAGCTTCAGGCTTTGTTTCACAAAGGACGAAGCACAACTAATTTCTTTGTTATTGTACTCAGACAGCAAGATAAAAGAGAGGTTGAAAGGAGCCACCTTTACAATCGATGTCATTATTTTGATAAGTTGCAGAGGGCCACAGACAATGATGACAGAGTGGGATGGAACCAGTGTGTGTGAGGAGGGGTGGATGGCACACAGCACTCACTTGGACACCTCACTCTGGGAGTTCCTCTCCCCCTCCAGGGTGAATGGTGACGCCCCAGTCAGCAACTCAAACATCAGGATCCCCAGACTCCACCAATCTACTGACTGGAGAAAGGTAGGATGACAAAATAAAAGAAAGATGACTATTTGTGTTCTACAGTAATTGATGGCTAATGAAACACTGTAGCTCACAGCACCTCCAAAGTTCTCTCCCTGAGTGATGGGTTAACTCTTACCTTTCCATGACCAGACTTCCCCCTGATGATCTCTGGAGCCATGTACTCTATGGTGCCACAAAATGAATACGTCCTTTCCTTCTGTAGTGAGGAAAATAAACGTCTCAGTCTGTAGTAACCTAACGTAGCAGGCGTAAAAGAAAACGTCTGAGCGGAGTTCCCACATCCGGTTTTCAGCGGAAAAGGAAGCTAGGTTGAATTAGTTGTATCCCTAAAAATCGGATGTTGGCAACTCCGCTAAGACTAGTCTGTAGTGACAAAAATATATGCATGCATGGATACATACATGCACAGATTGCGTCCACACAAATAGAGGCATCAATGAAAAAGGGTTTCTTTTTTTACGCACCTCCTCCTCCAGGAACTCTTTGCTGAGCCCAAAATCTGTCAGCACTAAATGTCCCTCGCTGTCCAAGAGGATGTTCTCTAACTTGATGTCCCGGTACACGATGCCCAGCTGTACGAGTCACACCGAGCAGGAAGTTACATACACAGGATAACATACGATTAACAGAGAGGATAGAATCTAGCCTACACATAATAATAATAATAATAATAATAATAATAATAATAATAATAATAATAATAATGTAAGACTAACATGTAGGAAGTAAATAGAATGGAATACCTGCAAGGTAATGTAAAGGACAGAAATGCTTAACAACATACCTTGTGGAGGTGCTCCAGGGCCAAGATAATCTCCCCGATGTAAATCCGCACCTCTTCCTCAGAGAAGTGATCCCGCTGGTACAAGTGTGTGAACATCTCCCCTCCGCTCACATAGTCTATACACACGTGCACAGATACAGACAGATACATATAAGACTTGAATAGACAAACACAAACCACACACATACACAGGCATATAGACAGAAACATACAGTATACACACAGAGGGACACACTTTCAGCACTTCAAGGTCATAGGCGGAGAGTTCCATGTATGGGTCTGTTTGACCCCGCGCTCACCCAGGATGAGATGGAGCTTGGTCTGTGTCTGGAAGGCGTAGTGCAGGGTGACCAGGAACGGGGACTGGCGGATGTGCTCCAGCACCTGTCTCTCTGTGCGCGTGTGCTCTGCAGTCTTTGCCTTCTGAACAATGGCTGCTTTCTTCAGCACCTGAGACATTATCATCAACAGTCAGTCAACCCGCCCATACATTCTCCCTACATCTGACAATGTCAATGCTTGGGTCGTCTTTGGTCCAATGTCACAGATGATACAGACTCACCTTCATCGCATACAGCTTCCCTTCATCATGACCACTGTTCTTTCTGACCAGAAACACTTTCCCATAGGCTAGACAGAGACACACAGGACAGATTGGAAAATGTTGCATCACATTTGATTGTAGCCCCTACCACCCACCCAGGAGCCTCCACTACATTTAGAATGTTCCACAAAAAATTGACAATAAAATTAAGTTATCCAGGTCTCCAATAACACCATGACCCTATGCTATGAACCCCAGATCGGTGCAGTGAGACTCACCTCCTGTGCCCAAGACTTTGAGAAGCTCAAAGTTCTCCATGCCCACTCTCTCAGTATGGCCTGTGAGGTTTGCTGGCATCGGGGAGAGAGTACAGTATAAGTGCTTGCACGCACACAACACACGCTCATGCACACACACACTGAGGAAACATCTGAGCACTGTAAACTGTGATTATTTTGTGACACCACAACAAACATGATTGATGGTCTGCTTGCATTCATCCATTGCTGTGGTCCCAGGTGTCGGTCATAGAACTAGAATGAATAGAACGGGCTTGGAACCTCTAACCCTGGCAATTTGACTGGTAAACTCATTGGTACACTCGCAATGGCTGCCTGGTATTGTGATGCAATAATTCCCATGGTAATGTATAATGTTCATTCAAATGATATTAACAGATGTGGTTCATGCAATGGAATGTATTTTTTGTAACATCAGTAGAACTGAATCAACAAATCACAGCACATATTGATGGGTACACTTCCTGCTTTTACTTCCTGCTTTTACTTCCTGCTTTGCTCCTCTGGGTACACTCGCAATGTCCGCCCATTATGTCATCATTGACTTGAATTGGGGAAGCCTGTTCTATCATTCATTAAAATACTGAGGGGCAACATTTACCCAAAGTGTATAGCATCTTTAAATCCTTTGGCAGATTCAAATAATAAATTATGAAACAGTACAGTTTACTTTGATGGTTACTTACCATTGGTGATCTCATGTTTGACAGTGCAGGCTTTCCTCCGGATCCCAGTATCGGAGTCCTCGCTACTACTACTATCCGAGCTGTATCCAGACATTTCAAATGTTTATGTGGCTACTCTTCAAAATAAATAAACCGATTTTCTTGTGTTTTCTATAATAACCTCAGACGCATCAGAAAAAGTTTAGCCTTAATGTAAGAATTAATTTGAGAGCCGTTGCATGCATTGTAAACATGGTTTTGTTGTTTTATTTTCTAAACAATATCATTGGTACACTTAATCCCCTATACATTCTGCTGTTCCGCCTAATCTAAAGGCGCACATTGATTTTCACAACACGCCGGCCAATAATAATCGTCCGAATCAGGAATCACAAAGCAAGGCTTGACTAGTACTAAAACGCAAATACTAGCTAACACTGTACTAATATTCAAACAAAATCGTAAATATGTAGCTAGCTAGATAACTGTGTCCACCATAGGAGGATGTTATTTCCTACCACAACAGACTAACTGCTGCTGATCTCTCTAGCACGGACTTGGTTACAATATAGCGCCGAACTGACCAGACAGCTTTTAGCTGGCTACATAGTAGCGAGTGGCCTATCTCTTGCTAGCTAGCTACGTTTTGCAACAATATTTTTGACCAAATGAAATTAGCAACTAGCTAGCTACTCATTTGTAGCTATGCTAGCCGGTTAGAGACAATTACAACTAGTTAGCTAACCTTCAGTAATACCACGAAACTATGTAAAACCTCGGTAACTTCACAACCTAACTGTTAACGTTAGGTAATTACAAAGCTAGCTATCCCGGACAGAGCTAGCTAACGTTAGCTAGCTTGCTGACTATCGGTTAATTTTAATTTAATAGCAAGCGTACTGTTAATAGATAGCATGTTGCGAATAGTTATTTTATGCTATTTCGTCCGGATAGGATGTGACACACGCTGAAGATATACCCCTTTTGAAGTTATTTGACAACAATGATTGTAAAAGTAGGTTAGCTGGCTAGTTGATGTTATTGCTGGAGTAGTCCATAGTACGGAAGCCGCAATGTCAGAGCTTTAGGAACTTTTTGGAGAGAGACCTGTTGGTTAGACCGCTTAGAAGTGGGCTGCTACAGCCTACAGGTAATACTTTCAGCTCTACTAACTACTGGAAATTGTGCTGATAATAATGAGAATAGCTAGCTAAGTTATTTGACTGTGGTGATGATGATGGGGATGACGGTGATGGGGATGATGATGATTATTGTTATGATATTGATTAATTATCAGCTATCATAATCATTCAGTAATATTATCTAGTAGGCCTACACATAATTATTCCCAGTTGTTTAATCTTATTCCATATAATGCTCCTTGTATTTCTGGCTTGCATAATAAACCACCAGTTATTTAATATTACTCCATATAATGTTCCTTGGTTGTATTTCTGGTTTGCATAATAAACCACCAGTTGTTTAATCTTATTCCATATAATGTTCCTTGGTTGTATTGCTGGTTTGATTAATAAACCACGTCTGTATGTATCTCTTCTCCACTGCATGGCCCTTCTGCACGATGACTGCTGGGGCAGCAGTTGGAGTATTATCCCCGGGATTAGCAGAGTTGTGAAAGGTGTCAGGACAGAGGACAAAGACATAGCCCTACTCACAGCTTTCATTGCATTACTGACATCAATCATCATCTTCATAATCCTATTCCTCCCGCTGACTGACACTTAAGGAGCGCAGAATAACTGATTAATTTACAAACGCACCCTTAGAGAGAGGATGAAGGAAGTGAGGGTTACAGGTCGAATGAGAGAATATGAGAAAAATAAAGTGTGTGAGCAAAGTGTGGGTGGGTGGCGGGTCAAAAGGTGGAAATGGTAGTTAAAGGGAAGCTGGTCAAAACAAAGACACAGACAAAATGACAGAACTCCACAAATTAATTAAAAACTTTAACCTTTAATAATTCTCTGACATAATAATTCTGTAATAAAGTGCTGTGTATGTCATATTGCTGAGGGTTACTTAGCAGAGCATTGAATCTTTCTACAGTCAGCTTTACATTGCTGTTAGTCTTTACGCAAAATGTAAAATGGTTATATAGTGCTTTTTAAAATATTCCTAAAATGTTTTAATGTTGATTAGCGTCTTCATCAATTTCATATAATTCTATCCCTTAGTAACTGGATATATATTTGCATTGTTAAGTGTCAACCATAATATTGTTGTGGTATTAACTGTTGAACACTGCAATGGTGAGGTGGAAATAACCGTGCCTGGCAACCCCCAGTTATAAAAGACAAAATTACAATAATGTGTTTTTTATTTCTCCTTTGGGGAGTATATGTAATTGATTAAACATCGAATAGCTTCTTTAATCATGGAGGATTTTGGAGGGGTTTGGGGTGAGGTTAATGTGTTTAATGTGTGCCTGTACTGTGTGTGTGTGTGTTTATTTGTGTGTGTTAGCGTAGCCATGGGTACCTAAGACTGGGGTGCGTTGTCCCCGGACAACTGATACAAAAATATATTTGCCCTCAAGTGACTGAAATAGATTACAACATTCATGTCACTTGTTTAGACAGAATTTCACAAACTCGGTCCTGGGAACCCCAAGGGGTGCACGTTTTTAGCACTACACAGCTGATTCAAATAATCAAAGCTTGATGATGAGTTCATTATTTGAATCAGCTGTGTAGTGCTAGGGCAAAACCAAAACGTGCACCCCTTGGGGTCCCCAGGACCGAGTTTGGCAAACACTGCATTTAGGGTTAAAACATTAAACATAGAAATACATCAGCATTAAAATGGATTGTGATGTCAAAGAAATACCAGATTAATTGATCAGTGTCTAGTTAGATTATTTATCACCCAATAAAATGCCAAGTTTGTCCCCTACAACACCCAGTCTGAAACATTTAGATTTCTCCACTTTATCTGGCGGGGGTCGCCTAAGCTTCAGCGTCCTCACTGCCCACCTGGTTCAGCTGAAGAAAAACCAGCACAGGAGTCACATACTCCATGATCGTCTCCTTCACCCCTTTCTCCAGCAGGTACCCCTCGGTCTCAATCTCAGTGTTCTCCTGCCCTGCCACCGCCTCCATGGCTGTCTGCAGGTACCGCAGACTTACCAGCACAGATGACTGGAGGGTAAGGATAGGAGAAGGGAGAGAAGGGAGAAAGGTTATACAGGAGGATGGTGGATATAATGTATCACTCAACAGCGAGCTACAAGTATATCTGACAGGAGTCCGTGGGCCTTCTGATTGCCACACAGGACATTAGCTGACTTTTAGGTGTATAGGTTGATATATACTTTATATCTTTACAGTACCTGGACCAGGAAGACGGACAGCACCGCAGCACCAATAGTGTTCATCAGGCCCATGTAGTAGTTGACCAGAGCTTCCCTGCAGCCGCGGATGTAGATGTTGAGCTCCTCGGTCTGGTGCTCATAGCTGTAGTGGGCTGAGTTGTTGGTGAGGCGGTCCTGGATGCAGGGTCTTGGGGAGCTGGGGTTGCAGCAGCTGAAAGGGACCCCGTCAAACAGGTAACGCCCGTCCACATTGCTCTTAACACGGCTAAAGAAGAAGAGAGGGGGGAAGGGAGGTATATAGACAATTAATGGTCTACATCATGCCTTTGTATCACCTCAACTGCCTCATTTCCTATAACCTTAATGATTTATTTAAGTTATAATCTGACATGGGATTCTTCCTTTACCAAAGACTGTCAGACTGCTCCCAGTCCTCTAATACTCACTCCTTCACTTCCTTAGAGCTGAAGTCTAGGTAGCGGTTGCTGATCCACTGGACCTCGAACCAGTCCTTGAAGTCGGTGTTTCCGCAGCAACGGAACTCCATCTGCAGGCGGTCAATGGTCTGTTTCTGGAAGCAGCGGCCAGGGGTGTCTGTGTCCTTGTAGAAGCGGATGCCGTTCTTCAGACCGATCTTCAGGGAGGACTCCAGGTTCCCCTTCATTGCGTAGCTCATGATCACGGCCGTCAGCATGAGGAGGGTGAAGAGGAGGGAGACACCCCAGTAGGGTTGCATGAAGGTCTTCCAGCGGGGGAAGCGCCCGGCGTCCAACGCATCCTGGCACATACGCCCTGCGAAGTAGTTGATACCCAGAGAGGCCAGACCCACTATCATCAGGGTGTTGGGCACAGCATGGATCTCTGTGTTGTCCATTACCTGTAGGCAGAAAGACCTCATGCATAAGTGATACAGGAAACTATACAGTATAAACTGATATATTAGGCTCTCAACCCATTGATCCCATATTTAAGTAATAGTGAACATGTAGAGGTCAGTGAATAATCTCATGGTTTACAGTGGGGAACATAACTAAAGGTTATATTGTATATTGGAGGAAATCAATTAGGTTGTTTATATTTTCACTGAAATTGAACATAAGTATTTGCTGCAAAAAGGCTGTATTGAGAGTAATTTTGTTTCTGTTGATGTATTCAACAAGTGCAATAGTTGATAGTATATTATTCCAAATACTGTAATCTCAAGAGACAGATGATGAATAGGATCATAATAAAACTGTCAATCACTCAGTCACTCATCTTATCCCTATTATCAGCTTATCACTGGTATGCTCAGACCATAGACAGCTGCCCCCTGTTCATAACGTTCACACCTAACCACCTATCCAACAGATCTATAGATACCTCATCCCAATCTCACTCATAAAAGCATTATCAAAGGCTCCTGAATTCTGCATGAGATGTTATCTTCAACACTCCAATGCATTTCATTGTGTCATCTTGAAACACTCCAAAAATAAACTCTTAATTTAAGCTCCAATACACTCAAATAAGCTGTAATGAATTTCCCCCCTTTTCACCCTCATGCTTTTCGTGCAGTTTATGACCAGAAGTTTACTAGTATCACTCTTTGATTCAGTCATACTGTAGAACTTCACTGAATACAGCCCTAAACATCAGAGGAAGACCCTGAGAAAGTGAAGCTTATGGATAAGTCATATGTATTGTATTGGAAACACCCCAGTGGCGTTGTACGCTCTTAGAAAAAAGGGTTCCAAAAGGGTTCTTCGGCTGTCCCCATAGGAGAAACCCTTTTTGGATCCAGGTAGAACCCTTTCTGGTTCCAGGTAGAACTATTTTGGGTTTCATGTGGAACCCTCTGGGGAAAGGGTTCTACATAGAACCTAATAGGCTTCTACCTGGAACCAAAAATGGTTTTCAAAGGGTTTTCCTATGGGGACAGCCGAATAACCCTTTTAGGTTCTAGATAGCACCTTTTTTTCTAAGAGTGTACAGTGTAAAGCTGTACGTGTTTAGCCTACCTCTGCCCTCCTGCGGAGCTCGGTCTTGAGGAAGCAGCCCAGGGTGAAGGTGAACGCTCCGGCCAGTGTGGCCATCCAGGAGAGCAGCCACAGACACTGGGCCAGCTTCACCCTCTTCTCGAAAGGGAACTTCATCTTCATCAGCACCATGGTGGTGGTGGGAGCCCACGGAGGCTCCGAGGGTCACTGGGAGAAATAAATGAGGAATGTGGTGATGAAGGGATGATGAGTTGGATCAGAGGGGAAGGAGGAGAGTGCAGTGACTGACTGCTGGAATGATCTGAGAGAGGCGACCTGGAAAGGGTCGGTAAGGTCAAAGGTGAAGAAGAGTAAGTCTGGAAAAACTTGAAGTGCAACAGGTAGAATTCAGAATTTGAGATGGAGTTAACTGATTCCGATGAGTGTTTCTCAAAGGAGAGACGGTAAAATGATTATTGTAGGAGAAAGATGGGTTTGTAATCCAAAAAGCAAATAAGGAATAATCCGACCAAAATGGTGGGAATAAATAAAAGCCACAAAATACTGAACGTTGTATCTTAATTGGTATCTCCTGGATTTGTTAGTGGCGGTGTGTCAAAGTTCACCTACTTGATCCCCCCAAAAAGTGATGAAAGAAAGTGAAGGTGCCCCTTCAGTCCTGTTTTAGCACCTGTGTGCCCATGCTTAGGTAGCTGAGACACAATAGATTTGGACAATGTTGGACGTCTGGAGAGTCTTAGCACTAATCTCGCACCTGTCCTATTAAACAGGCCTTTCCAATTGGAATCCAGGCCACTGTCTGGTCAGCAAAGCTAACCTCCTTTGAACCAGCGGTGGAGACATGGATGAGCTCTGACTAACCAAATTGAAAATGACGGGGCGATAGATATAAGCATGGGCACTGATACGTCTGCCACTCTATAACCTGTAACCTCTCTGAAATGTTAGCATGAAGCTAATAACAACTTTTTTTTAAATAATGTGTATTGGCTTGCTCTCAAGCACTGTGGTCAACATTTATTGGTGATTGATATCAATTTTGATTACATTGATATAGTCAAATAAATATCTGAAGACCCTAAATCCATATGTTTTACTAACACATCTGGTTATCAGGAATATACTGTAAAGCCTGAAAAGGATGCAGGTAAGCACTAGTGAAAATGATGTACAAGGATATACTGTATCAGGTTACTCTTCTTTAATGGAATTGAGAGAGGGAAGAAAGAGAGAGAGAGAGAGAGAGAGAGAGAGAAAGTGAGGATAATCCTGTCTAAAGCTCCTGTAACAGCCTCAGCAGGATGAGTTTAAACTCTAACATGGAAAACCATTTACAGCCTAAAAACCTAAGATAGATAGAGGACATGGACTTCTCTGTTTCCTCAGTGGTTTTGTGACAGTAACACCCATTTTAAACTGCCATGATGTGGCTTGCTCTTGACAACCCAGAATTAATCTACTTTTAGTCATTCATGTGACACACACTATGTGTTGTCACTAGTTACCACAGCCACAACAATGGCTAAACCCTGCCTATTTCTACCATTTCCCTTCTTAATATCTGATTTTAAACCTAACCTTAACCACACAGCTAACCTTATGACTATCCCTAACCTTAACCACACAGCTAACCTTATGCCTATCCCTAACCTTAAATTAAGACCAAAAAGCAAATTTTTGTTTTCATGAATTTTTACAATATAGCCAATCTTCACTTTGTGGCTGTGGTAACTAGTGACGACCATAAAGAAGGTGGACTGACATGACCTTATGAAAGTACATCAGTGTTAATAAAACCTTAAGGACAAGCCAACCCCTAAGTTAAGATAGCAAGCGTAAAAAGTCCCCAGACCCGTCGCCAGACCTCAGTCTTAAGGGGGGCATATGAAATGCATGGGAGGGCAGTGCACAATTATTATTAGCCTACAGTACGTATATGTACTCCTGAGTGGCGCAGTGGTCTAAGGCACTGCATCGCAGTGCTAACTGTGCCACTAGAGATCCTGGTTCGAATCCAGGCTCTGTCGCCGCCGACCGCGACCGGGAGACTCATGGGCGGCGCACAATTGGTCCAGGGTAGGGGAGGGAATGGCCGGCAGGGATGTAGCTCAGTTGATAGAGCATGGCGTTTGCAACGCCAGGGTTGTGGGTTCGATTCCCACGGGGGGCCATTATAAAAAAAATATGTATTCACTAACTGTAAGTTGCTCTGGATAAGAGCGTCTACAAAATGTAAATGTATATTTAATAAAAAATTCCCTCAAGGGGGGGCACAAGCATTTTTGGGGGCGGGCCCGGCCCTCTATGGCCCGCCCATAGCGACGGGTGTGGGAGTCCCCACATCCGTTTTTCAGGGGAAATGGAAGTTAGGTTGAAAATACTGTATCCCTGGAAACCGGAAACATCCGCTTAATTTCCGACCCCACTAAAGTGGCATGAAAAATGGGTAGAAAATACATTTACTCATATCTCAGTAAAACTGCTGCAAGCAGAGAAACCATAAATCAAAGAGAGGCTCTCCTTTGTGATAACTGACTGACTGACTCTCCTCCCCCTCAATATAACGCTGTCACCTTCGAACATATTCAACTGAATCAATTATGCTAGATGTTTTATGTAATTATTTGATGTTAATAAATGAGAAAATTATAAGATGACTATATTTATTGAGAACATTCAGACACATTTATAGTACACAACACGAGGATAAAAATACAGACAGTAGCAGCTGTACAGCGCTAAGCCATATCACACATGGTTTATTCTAATTAAGTTCAACCTAGGGAATTAGAACAAGGTGAAATATGGTGATAGCAACCGCCATTTCTAAATAATAAATATGTAATATATGCTGTAAATAGTGGAAATCTATCTATCACTGGTCCTGTAATACACCATGGAGGATAGAGGTATGGATTGGAGGGGGAAGCAGCAGAGGGCATTGTGGCATAGTCATCACAACACACTGTGCTTTCCTCACATTTTGACATGTGACACAGTGACTATGATTTTGGTTGAAAATAGAGATATATGTCACCAACATATGCTAGGTTGAAGATAACAATATTTATTTTATAGTATTTTTTCCACCTTGCCTATATGCTTCTTCCAATCCATCCAACTATCTTTACTATGGTCACCAGGGGGATATCCCTACAGAACAAAACAAATGTCATGTGGCATAATAACATTGCTTATACTGTATCATACATACAGTTGAAGTCGGAAGTTTACATACACCATAGCCAAATACATTTAAACTCAGTTTTTCACAATTCCTGAAATGTAATCCTAGTAAAAATGCCCCTGTCTTAGGTCAGTTATGATCACCACTTTATTTTAAGAATGTGAAATGCCAGAATAATAGTAGAGATAATTATTTATTTCAGCTTTTATTTATTTCATCATATTCCCAGTGGGTCAGAAGTTTACATACACTTAATTAGTATTTGGTAGCATTGCCTTTAAATTGTTTAACTTGGGTCAAACGTTTTGGGTAGCCTTCCACAAGCTTCCCACAATAAGTTGGGTGAATTTTGGCCCATTCCCCCTGACAGAGCTGGTGTAACTGAGTCAGGTTTGTAGGCCTCCTTGCTCGCACACGCCTTTTCAGTCCTGCCCACACATTTTCTATAGGGTTGAGGTCAGGGCTTTGTGATGGCCACTCCAATACCTTGACTTTGTTGTCCTTAAGCCATTTTGCCACAACTTTGGAAGTATGCTTGGGGTCATTGTCCATTTGGAAGACCCAAATGGACAATGACCCCATGTCTTGAGATGTTGCTTCAAAATATCCACGTAATTTTCCTTCCTCATGATGCCATCTATTTTGTGAACTGCACCAGTCCCTCCTGCAGCAAAGCACCCCCACAGCATGGTGCTGCCGCCCCCGTGCTTCACGGTTGGGATGGTGTTCTTCGGCTTGCAAGCACCCCCTTTTTCCTCCAAACATAACGATGGTCATTATGGCCAAACAGTTCTATTTTTGTTTCATCAGACCAGAGGACATTTCTCAAAAAAGTACAATCTTTGTCCCCATGTGCAGTTGCAAACCGTAGTCTGGCTTTTTTATGGCGGTTTTGGAGCAGTGGCTTCTTCCTTGCTGAGCGGCCTTTCAGGTTATGTCGATATAGGACTCGTTTTACTGTGGATATAGATACTTTTGTACCCGTTTCCTCCAGCAACTTCACAAGGTCCTTTGCTGTTGTTCTGGGATTGATTTGCACTTTTCACACCAAAGTACGTTTATCTCTAGGAGACAGAACGTGTCTCCTTCCTGAGCGGTATGACGGCTGCATGGTCCCATGGTGTTTATACTTGCATACTATTGTTTGTACAGATGAACGTGGTACCTTCAGGCATTTGGAAATTGCTCCCAAGGATGAACCAGACTTGTGGAGGTCTACAATTTATTTTCTGAGGTCTTGGCTGATTTCTTTTGATTTTCCCATGATGTCAAGCAAAGAGGCACTGATTTTGAAGGTAGGCCTTGAAATACATCCACAGGTACACCTCCAATTGACTCAAATGATGTCAATTAGCCTACAGAAGCTTCTAAAGCCATGACATCATTTTCTGGAATTTTCCAAGCTGTTTAAAGGCACAGTCAACTTAGTGTATGTAAACTTCTGACCCACTGGAATTGTGATACAGTGAATTATAAGTGAAATAATCTGTATGTAAACAATTGTTGGACAAATTACTTGTGTCATGCTCAAAGTAGATGTCCTAACCGACATGCCAAAACTATAGTTTGTTAACAAGACATTTGTGGAGTGGTTGAAAAATGAGTTTTAATGACTCCAACCTAAGTGTATGTAAACTTCCGACTTCAACTGTGTCTCACTGGACTGTTGCATGCCTCTGGTGACCACAATAAGAAATGGTGATTCAGTTTTACATTATGTCATGTGGCTTTTGCCAACATATCAACATGGAGACATAAACATCAATATTATAAGATAAAACGTAGTTTGCATGTACATAAACATACATATAAGATAAAACATAGTTTGCATGCAAGAAGAATAAATATGTTTATTTGTTTCCCCCATGGATTCTTAACTATTACTTTAGGGAGGAGACCTTTATACATTCTAGCAGTTGGAACCATACACACCAGACCACATCGATCCATCCCCAATTCATAAAAATGCATCCAACGTTTCTGTTTTCATTTTATCTCCATTAACTCAAACCTGTCTTAAGAAAGCTTGTTTCTGACCCACCGTGAATGTCCAACGGATACTATTTATACGGTATATTTGTAAATATTTGATGGTATACACTGTTCAAATTAGACCTTGTATTATGTCTATGTATTAATCTATGTCTGCAGATGAATTAATTTATGAGGGCAAACAAAGTTTATCTCTCTACACATCTTACCTAAGGACCTACATTCTATGAAACACTTGTCGTCTTATCTAACATGCACCGAGGGAAAAACACACACCAGTATAATGAATTATGCGCAAGAGGTTCTGAAAGGATCTATTTTCTACAAGTCAGTGAAAAGTGTGAGATTCGGCCGTGCTCTGCTATGATGAGACGGGAGTGAAGCCTGGACAGTGTTTCCCGGAGAGATCGCACCCGGGAACAGGAGAAATCAAAGCGCTTTTTGTTTGATGTTACCTCTGGAGGACATCAAAGCCATTCCCTGCATAGTGCAACAAAAAAAACACCTCAGGACATGTTTTTGACTATGAATTGAGAAAAATATCACAAATATCAAAACGTGGAGCTGGGGATCGTCGATCTCCAACTTGGGCCGCTTGCCTTACTTATTAGCTTCAGATGCAAAAAAAAAAAACGATTAAAAGTTTATTTATCTTACTTGTTGCTGGCTGTTTAAAAAAAATGAAGAATACAATTTGGGCCTCTTATTTAGGCATGGAAAGTTTCAAATCAGATTTAAATAATTGAATTATAATTAATAATTAAATTGGTCAAAAGTCAAATTCTGTTGCTTTATGTTCAAAATACAACATACTCATAGATGAATTATGAATATCCAATGTTATCAAAATCACTCTTGAGTTTAATTACTTCAACAACCATGTACCAACCCAGTCAACATCTGTGTCTCTGTGAAGAGATCAGGTGTCACAGCTGTGTTCTTTCCCCATTCAGCACTTTGTCAAGTACCCCTTGACCTCCCCCTCGCTGGGCTGCAGCTGGCAGATGAAGTGGTTGAGCATATTTTGGGCCGACTGTAGGTTATCCAGGCTGCTGCCAGGATCTGCCTCTGTGGTATCCACACCTCCATCACCACCCATGTCCCCGCTCCTTGTCCTCCAGTTACGGATGATCTCATCTTCTGAGTCATCCATGGTACCGTCCTCTGGTTGGTGGAGGTCCATCATGGCTTCTGTGCCCTTCAGCTGGCCATGCTGCTCCTCCTGTCTGTGATTCTTCCCCCTAGAGGAGGGGATCTCATCCAGACTGGCTGACAGGATGCGGATGGGAGAGCCTAGTTTTCGGCTTGCAGTGGCCCTGTACCCGTCCTCTGTTGGGCCATCAGCTGAGCTCTTGAAGATGGTGGTGAAGGTGACACCATCTCTGGGGGCTGGTAAGGTCTCAGAGTGAATGGTGACATGGAGATGGGGGATCTGCTGGGAGCGGGGAGGGTGTTGTCTGACAATCTCCTCACCCCCCGACTCACTCTCTGTGTCTCCCTCTCCCTGCCCTGCCCAGTGAATACGCTCCTGTCTCCACGGTTGAAACGCTGTGCCACCATGATGACCTCCCCCTGACCTCAGAACACATTTTGGAGCCTCATCCCCCATCTCCGACCAATCAGATTCCTCCTCTTCTGGCAATGTTCCCAGCGATAGGTCCTCCCCTGTGATGGTGACCTTTCCATAATGATGACTATCCATGAACTGGACCGGTGGTGGAGCAACAGGGAGAAGGAATTGATTGACAGAATCATCTCGGTGGAAATGTTGGTCGAGGGCTTCCTGCAGCAATGATGTTACCTAAGGGGTGAAGGAGTAATCAATCGATTCATCAATCATGGTCAAAAATACAGAACACAGAACAGAATACAGGCATGTTGTTATGACAAAGAACAACGCACAATTGTACATCAAGAAAAAAGCTGAGTCAAGACTAAAAGACAACTCATAGCTTCATAACAATGGGCTTTAGAAACAATGGGTTATGTAAAACAACATTTACTAGCTACATGCAGCTCAAAGCAAAAACTATGGTCTCTATTGGTGGTTTTACTCTCAACTAAAATGGGAATGATGAATACACAAAAGGTAAAGCTAAAGGGAGATGTGGGTGGTGAAAGGTAGGAGACATTTTATACTATACAAAGAGGAACATAGTTACAATTTGCTACATTGTGTAAGTGCATACCATGCACTACAGCTGATTCTTATTGCAATGCATTCCTAGGTTGGAGCTTGAGGGGTCAGGGGATCATAGAGGTCAGGTGAATTTGATTCAAGGCCTGTACTAGTAGTATTTTTCTGTACTTGGCCACTCTGGTCTGGTTTTGCGCACGTTTTAGGTTGTCTTTTTGTCTCGGCTAGATCTGTTCATCAGGAGGAGTTCTCACGTTAATAGTCTCCATGCTGTGGATGGTGTTCTTGGCTGAGGACAGCTGATCTGTCAGGGATGTGATCCGCTGGTTCAGATGCTCATGCACCCCGTCCATACTCTGAGCATGACAGACCACACACATAAGACAGAACAAACATAAACATGACGAAAATGGTGATACAATTTTCCAGATATGTGAAAAAATCCCTTCTCTTGACTTAGCTAATGTATACTTGTATGCAAAATGAGCTGTTGATCTTCTGGTGCCTCACCACTGAATGAAGCTTCTGCTCCAGGAGATTATTGGTCTGTTGAGTGTAGGAGTTGTTATCCATAAGTCTGAAATGGGAGGGAGAGAAAGATACATAAGGACTGTGAGAGGTACAGTAATAGCACTATCTAAGCTTGACAATGTCATGCATATTAACTCAAAATTAATGCTGATTGAGTTTTGCTAAACTTTTGATTGAATTCCTGTAAAAGGCAAATAAAATAGATTGGAACTGCCACTCCTCTCTGAACCCCCTCTTAATTCTAGAGGTACCCATCCCAACGTCTCATCACACCCCTGACCTTTTGAATTTGTCCAGGAGGTTGCTCAGTTCCACACGAGTGTTCTGTAGTTCTGACTCAAGGAGCTGGTGACTGCTCTTAAACTCGGTCCCCATGCACTCCATTCGCACGGCAGTCTGGCGCAAACTGTGGTGCAGATCCTCATTTTGCTCCTGAAGCATCCTGAAGGGAGTAGGAGAGAGGAGGGGGGTTAGTGCTCAGTTAGATAATAATGTGTATCTTCATAAAAAATGTATTTATTGTTAAACAACACACATGGAAGAGAGGACATTTTTTAAAACTTTACTTTCCCAATTAAAATTATTCCCCCAATAAACAACAAGACAGAGATCAAATTAAACAAAATCAAACTCACATTATTCGATTAACCTCGGATGCTTCCTGTATGGGAAGGACAAAACAAACATTTATTTACAGTCGTCCACAATGTGCATTTCAGAAATAGAAATTGATTCTGCAGCTTCCAGTTAATAGACATTGATAATCAATAGCGACACATTGTGTGGTAATTTGATGTGCATGAGTTTGCATGCGATCACTTTTTCCATGTGTCATCCATGATTACGTAGGTAGGAAGGAGCTTGCATGTTTAATATCCAAATCAATGGAAAGCAAATGAGTGGAACATTCTTACATAATTGCTTAATTAAGAATGTAAAACACGTGCAACGGTACAAAATGGTCAATACATTTACAGTAGACTGTAGATAATGCTTGACATAACTAGCGATAGTGATAAACCCAACCCCCGGAGCGATGTCATACTTTATGTAGAGAGGTAGTTGAGCCGCTGTAGCCCGTCTGCCGCTCGTCCTGACTTGTGGGGCTGCTGGTATTCCTGGAAGAACCAGACTTGCTGGAATGGGACAATGACTCCAGCTCTGTAGCCGATGCACTGACAGGAGAGTGCTCCTTAGAATGGCTTGATGGGCTGTGGTGACCGTCATGGTGGTGTGTGTCTGCATGTGAGGGATGTTGGTGAGATTCAGAATGGGAAGGATGGTGGTGATTATGAGATTCTGGATTGGTAGAAATGTGATGGGGTTCAGAATGGGAGTGGTGGTGGTGGTGGGAATCTTGGTGGGAACTATGGTGGTGATGGAGAGAATCTGTATGGGAGCCATGGTGTTGGAGAGATTCTGTATGAGAGCCATGGGGATCATGAGATTCTGGATGGGAGCCATGGGGATCGTGAGATTCTAGATGGGAGCCATGGGGATTGTGAGATTCTGGATGGGAGCCATGGTGATGGAGAGATTCTGGATGGGAGCCATGGGGATCGTGAGATTCTGGATGGGAGCCTCGGTGATGGAGAGATTCTGGATGGGAGCCCTGGTGATCGTGAGATTCTTGATGGGAGCCATGGTGATGTAGAGATTCTGGATGGGATCCGCGGTAATGGAGAGATTCTGGATGAGAGCCGTGGTGATGGAGAGATTCTAAATGGGAGCCTTGGTGATGGAGAGATTCTGAATGGGAGCCATGGTGATCGTGAGATTCTGATTGGGAGCCGTGGTGATGGAAAGATTCTGGCTGGGAGCCGCGGTGATGGAGAGATTCTGGATGGGAGCCATGGGGATGGAGAGATTCTGCATGGGCGCTGTGGTGATCATGAGATTCTGAATGGGAGCCGTGGTGATGGAGTGATTCTGGATGGGAGCCGCGGTGATGGAGAGATTCTGGATGGGAGCTGTGGTGATGGAGAGATTCTGCATGGGCGCCGTGGTGGTGGTGTAAATCTGGGTGGAGAGGATGGTGGTGGTGTCCATGGTGATGGGGATGAGTTGGGCTGTGGTGGTCTCCATGGTGATAGGTTGAGCTGTGGTGGTGTCCATGGTGATGGGTATGAGTTGGGCTGTGGTGGTGTCCATGGTGATGGGGCTGAGTTGGGCTGTGGTGGTCTCCATGGTGATGGGTTGAGCTGTGGTGGTGTCCATGGTGATGAGTTGGGCTGTGGTGGTCTCCATGGTGATGGGGATGAGTTGGGCTGTGATGGTCTTCATGGTGACGAGGATGAGTTGGGCTGTGGTGACCTCTATGGTGATCGGAATGACTTGGGCTGTGGTGGTCTCCATGGTGATGGGGATCAGTTGGGCTGTGATGGTCTCCATGGTGACGAGGACGAGTTGGGCTGTGGAGACCTACATGGTGATCGGAATGACTTGGGCTGTGATGGTCTCCATGGTGATGGGGTTGGCTTGGACTGTGGAGGTCTCCATGGTGATGGGGGTGGCTTGGGCTGTGGAGGTCTCCATGGGGATTAGTTTGGCTGTGGTGATCTCCATGGTGATGGGGGTGAGTTGGGCTGTGATGGTCTCCATGGTGATGAGGATGAGTTGGGTTTTGGTGGTCTCCATGGTGTTGGGGATGAGTTGGGCTGTGGTGGTCTCCATGGTGATGGGGATGAGTTGAGCTGTGGAGGTCTCCATAGTGATGGGGGTGAGTTGGGCTGTGAGTTGGGCTGTGATGGTCTCCATGGTGATGGGGTTGGCTTGGACTGTGGAGGTCTCCATGGTGATGGGGGTGGCTTGGGCTGTGGGGGTCTCCATGGGGATGAGTTTGGCTGTGGTGGTCTCCATGGGAATGGTGATGGGTTGGGCTGTGGTGGTCTCCATGGTGATGGGGGTGACTGGAGCTGTGGAGGTCCCCATGGTGATGGGGATGACTGGGGCTGTGGTGGTCTCCATGGGGATGAATTTGGCTTTGGTGGTCTCCATGGTGAGGGGGTTGGGGGGGGCTGTGGTGGTCTCCATGGTGGTGGGGATGAGTTGGGCTGTGGTGGTCTCCATGGTGATGGGGATGAGTTGGGCTGTGGTGGTGTCCATGATGATGGGGATGAGTTGGGCTGTGGTGGTCTCCATGATGATGGGGATGAGTTGGGCTGTGGTGGTCTCCATGACGATGGGGATGAGTTGGGCTGTGGTGGTATCCACGGTGATCGGGATTAGTTTGGCTGTGGTGGACTCCATGGTGATGGGGATGAGTTGGGCTCTGGAGGTCTCCATGGGGATGAGTTTTGCTGTGGTGGTCTCCATGGGGATAGTGATTGGTTGGGCTGTGGTGGTCTCCATGGTGATGGGGATGACTGGAGCTGTGGAGGTCCCCATGGCGATTGGGATGACTGGGGCTGTGAAGGTCTCCATGGGAATGAGTTGGGCTGTGTTGGTCTCCATGGGGATGGGGATGACTGGGGCTGTGGAGGTCCCCATGATGATGGGAGTGGCTTGGGCTGTGGTGGTCTCCATGGGGATGCATTTGGCTGTGGTGGTCTCCATGGTGGTGGGGAGGAGTGGGGCTGTGGTGATCTCCATGGTGATGGTGATGGGGGTGAGTTGGGTTGTGGTGGTCTCCATGGTGATGGGGATGAGTTGGGCTGTGGTGGTCTCCATGATGATGGGGATGAGTTGGGTTATGGTGGACTCCATGGTGATGGGGATGAGTTGGGCTGTGGAGGTCTCCATGGGAATGAGTTGGGCTGTGTTGGTCTCCATGGGGATGGGGATGACTGGGGCTGTGGAGGTCCCCATGATCATGGGAGTGGCTTGGGCTGTGGTGGTCTCCATGGGGATGCATTTGGCTGTGGTGGTCTCCATGGTGGTGGGGAGGAGTGGGGCTGTGGTGATCTCCATGGTGATGGTGATGGGGGTGAGTTGGGTTGTGGTGGTCTCCATGGTGATGGGGATGAGTTGGGCTGTGGTGGTCTCCATGATGATGGGGATGAGTTGGGTTATGGTGGACTCCATGGTGATGGGGATGAGTTGGGCTGTGGAGGTCTCCATGGTGATGGGGATGAGTTGGACTGCGGTGGTCTCCATGGGAATGAGTTTGGCTGTGGTGGTCTCCATGGGGATGGGGATGAGTTGGGCTGTGGTGGTCTCCATGGTGATGGGTTGGCCTGTGTTGGTCTCCATGGCGATGGGGATGGCTTGGGCTGTGGTGGTCTCTACGTTGATGAGGTGGGCTGTGGTGGTCTCCATGATGATGCTTTGGGCTGTGGTGGTCTCCATGGTGATGAGATGGACTGTGAAGAACTCTGTGATTGTGATGGGGATGGTGGTGAGATGGAGAATGGGAGAGATGCTGGTTATGATGGTGGTGTGGTGTTGAAGAACGGGAGTGATGTCTTAATGAGGGGCTATTTTCTGGGCTAGTGCTGTCATCGGTGTGGCTGCTAGGACTGTGGTGCATGTCTCTTGCAGGCTGATGGTGGCGATGGTGTTGGTGATGCTGGTGTTTGCTGAGATGGGAGCGGGACTGCCTGCTGATATGGGAGTGGACACTAACTGTCGTAGAGCTTGCACTGCCAGGCCGACTACTCTTCTGCCTTTGCCTCTGCTTCCCTGTGCGCTCCACCTTGGGGAACCTCAGGGAGGCTTGTCCTGGGCTGCTGGGCCTGTTAGCAGCTGTGACTCCAAGAGAGGTGAGTCTGTACGGGCTGAGCACCTGCCTGGTGATCTCGTTCAGAAAGGCAGAGAACTTCAGTTTGTCCTTCACTAAGTTCTTCTTGGCTACCTCCTTCCTTTTCTCCAACTCCTCCTGATCTACAATGGTATCTGCATCTCTATCTCTGTCCTCACAATGGGACAGCGCCTCCATTGACTTTGCCTTGCGGACTTTGCCAGCCATTCCTGCCAATTTAGCACTGTCCTGCTTCTTCAGGGTGATCTTGGCAGGGGTCAGATGAGAGGACACGGCTTTCTTTTTCTCGTTCAGGCTCCTTTCCTGGCTGGGGGACTTGTGGCGATGGCCTTCATCATCTATTAAAGGAGAGGTGTCATCTTCCTCATCATCATAGGCCTTCCTCCCCCTAGAGATGTCAGTGCAGGACTGTGAGTACTTGGGCTTCTGCAGTGGATGTTTGTAATCCTTCACGGACTCATTTATATTGGTCTGAGAGGACCAGGTGGATGAAGAGCCATAGGATGACGAGGAGGAAGAGGATGATGTTAAAGAAGAGGAGTAAGATGAGAAAGATGATGATGAGGAACCAGAGGAGGAGCTGGAGGAAGTTGCTGCAACCTGAGGGTGGGAGGTCACATCTGTGGCATGGTGATGTGGTTGATGGTGGTGATGAGGATGGTCAGGGGGAGAGTGGTGAGATTTCTCATTGTGGTGGTGAGGGTGATTGTTGTGGCCATGGTGATGGTGGCGGACAATGTTGCCCTCTGATGTTGAATGGTTGCTACTGCAAGAGGAGAACAGGATGACAGCAGTGTTCAGTATTTCACTGAGGCAGAGACCATACTCTTAGGGCTCAGTTACACCAGTGGAGGCTGCTGAGAGGAGGACAGCTCATAATAATGGCTGGAACGGAGTGAATGGAATGGCATCAAACACATGGAAATCATGTGTTTGATGTATTTGATACCATTTCACTTATTCCGCTCCAGCCATTACCACAAGCCCATCCTCCCCAATTAAGGTGCCACCAACCTCCTGTGAGTTACATGTTTTACAATAATGCAGCGCTGGTTAAATTAACTAGGACAAGATCATTTTGTCACATCTGCATAATATTTCTCAAAATATGTCCAATTTCCAAAATGTTTAATATAAAAACAAGAAATTCCATCCAGGCAGATTTCAGAAATTGGTGCACTAATAAACTAATGTAATCAAACATACCCATGATCATTGTGGTCCTCTGACCAATCTAGCTCTTGTTGGTGCTGGTGATGAGGATGGTGATGATAATCATGGTTGTGGTGATGGTGGAGATGGTGTTTGTGGCGATCCGTTTTTTGATCAGCCATCTTGCAGTGCTTGTGGTCCCTCTCTTGATGGTCATGGAGGTGGGGCTTGCTGTGCCTATGGCTCCTGGTCCCCTGCTTAAGCTGCACCGGAGTGAAGTACCTCTCCATCACCTGCTGCTTCCCCAAACCCAAGTCCTCCACTGCTTCCGTGTGGTAGTCCCTGGGTGCAGGGACAATCTGCAACTATTCCTCTTCCTGTGTTATTTCTTTGATACTTTCTGATGATTCAAATATATTTTCTGGACCAGAGCTCAACTATTCGGAAAAATAACATAGAATTAAAGCAAAGCTAGGAAATTACTTCATGTTGAATACATATTTTTTGTGAGCTAATTCAAACTGAGCACTTTTTTCTAAATGCAGCTGTTACAAAACTACTAACATCTGTTAAGTTTTTATTGAAATATTTGAAGTAAACACAAACATAACATATCAGCAAATTCCATCAGTCTCAAATCACGGTCAGACTTACCTAAAACATGGTATGATTTTTTTTATTTTGATGTGCCAGTAATTCAAGTATCCTTATCAGTCTAAGTCAAGAAACATAAAATCAACTTAACTCAATTAACTTGATCTTAATAATGAATTCAGATATGATCCTAAACCACAAAAGCAGCGAGCGCCAGCACATACTCTGTCAGAGGACCCATAAAGAATGACACAGGCTGAGGTGCTCATTGATGTTTTGTACTTGGATTCTGCTGGCACCCTCCATCTGATGAAACAATTTTCCAATTGCGGTGGAGCGTGCATGAAACAACCACAGAAACATCAATAAATCCTTTGCACCCATCCATTAGCCCCAAGCGATTTCAAATCTCATGTGAAAACTACTTCATAGACAAAACATGCGCTATTTTCTATTTTTGGCATGCCCAATAAAATAAAACATTGGTCAGCTAATTTATTCAAGAAACACGGTCAATGTTACTTTTTAAAATACTTATTTGTCCAACAATCTTAGGGGATGTAGTTTATTCAATAACTCAATCATAATATTCAAGAACTCACTATTGTTATTTTCATGTCAAAGCACTATATGAAGTTTAGACTGAAACCAATATGTTGTCTGTGCATTTTCTCAAATAAAGTTGCCCTTAAGTTATGTATACAATTCAACTGTTTGGATTTCAGTGTTTAGGAGACTGACTGGTTATTAATGCCCAGCTTGCTATTGACCTGCCTGGCCCTATTGTATCACTGGAATAGTCACCATGACAACTAAAAGTAAGGAAGGCATTGAGAACTCCATTGAATTCCAATAGCATGATACAAGCAACCACATACCAAGAAACACGATTGCTTGCAATGAATGATCACATGCAATTACCATATCACTAGACCCTGACAGTTGGTAAGTACAGAGGGACACAAGTGCTTCTGGGATGTTTGACACCAGTTATCTAGACATTCATTTTAATTAATTTCTAGCGCTGAGGTTATAGCAATACAATCCTATTGTCTGTAGTTGTCCATCGCCCGCAGCCCCTTTTCTCGAATCGATTGCCAATTATGTGATACAGTACAGCCCTCGCAATCAATGGCAGCACTGCACTGAGACCCTCCAGCAAAGAGAACGGAAGGTCAAAGCAGTGTGGGGCTAATGTGAGACCCAACCCAAATATAGGTTATATAACTCAGAAATAAAGTGACTCCTTAAATTCTAAGGATAATCTTATTTCGGAGACCTAGAACATTGATACTCAATATAAACAAATGGACATTCTGTATCACTGGCCTGGTAAAGAAAAATGTATTACCTTAAGGATGGTACCATGTAGCACATTTGTAATACCAAATGCATACAAAGGAAAAAACATCTAAAACTCAGTTTGTTTCATACAACCGTTATTATTAGAAGTATTAGACAGAAATTAGCTCAAACTATTTATTATATTCATGAAACAGAAATTCGCAAAAAGCAACACAACTATATGCTAGTCCTTACAACAACAACAAAAAAATGCAGGAAGAGACCTCTTCAACCATAGGATATACTGGAGTCGGTCACGGAGAAGAAGTCAGCCAATAAGAAGAAGTGTTTTAGATCAGATAATACATGTGATCAGATAAAGTCTTAATCACTAATATCAAAACAATCATATGAGAGGAATAAAGATAATTACAATTTTTTTTTTTTTATGTTAAAACAGTGATGAAGAAGCCACAATGAGAGGGTGAGAGCACCCTCTAGGGAACAAATGTGATTGGTGGATGCATGACATGCAGGTTCAATCAAATCCAAAAGCACAAGTTCTGAAATCATTGTAGGACATGACAAGCTGCCATGATAAAGATTATTAGTTTGGACATCTTCTGTCCCAAATTCTAACACTTAGGAAACTAACAAAGTAAAAAACAAAAAACAAACAGCTGTAATCTCAACATCACAGAATATGCTTTGTAAATACGTCTTACAGGTTAAAACACACCCGCTGTCTGTAATCCAATTTACAATGATTTAACAATCATTTAAAATATAAAGGGTGCTCATCAACACAAGATGATGTCCCTGTGACCTAATGAAGTTGTAGTCTCAAAAAGAAAAGAAATATCATTCAACCTATCAAAGTGACAGGAACATCAGTGAAGATAGAATCCGGTTTTAAGATTACACAACTCGCATTAGGTCAGTTTTGAAACCAATCTCACATTTAGAACGGTGAAAAAGCCTATCTACATCTCTGTATTGTAAGGTAATCCTATGTTTGTTGTTCCCATAGGTGCCATATTCATGCAAATATCAACTACTTTAACGCCTCATTGCCTTTGAAATTCAATCATAGAAATTACAAATGTGTACTTTCTCCAATCTTGGCAAAAAGGCTTTGTAGTTACATGTCGAAGTCTTTGTGGATGACCTATGAGTTTATTCCACCACCAAATCAAATCCTTCCGCCTCCTCAAACTCTGCATTCATCTTTGCCGCAAGGTCATCAAGCTCTGCCAGCTGGGTAGGAAGGGAATTGAAAATTAGATCAACACAAAGATACATATGGTATAGGTTCTTGCACATCTCCATCTTGAAAATAGTTTAAGCGAGCAATAAGTGTTACTTATCATATCTTGATGGTGGTAATGTACACTGTAGTCTACTACGGTTAAGTTGACTATCCATATGCCCTCTTTTCTCACAGAATCTCATTATTGGAAACCAAGACTGTTTTCAGGGTAGTTGTAGCTAGATATGTTGGAGTTGCGGACAATTTTAGTATTTTAGCTAACCCTATTCATAATTCTCCTAACCAGCTGCGTAGTCATTTCTGCTAGTCAAAACCTGGCAGACCTGCCCTGAGAGCAGTGAGTATCCGCTAATTACAGTTATGATCTCACTTACTTTTAGTTGAGGAACCTTCTTCCTCCTCCTCCTCTTCTCCTTTACCATAGCGACTCCAGGGATGTTGACATCTGGCTCAGGGTCGGGAGCAGTGGCAGCACTGTCGTCCCCTTCTAGCAGGGTGAAGGAGCTGACCCCACTGAGAGACCTGGAGGCCTCAGGGCCCACCCTGGACTGCTCCACTTTGCGGAGAACCTGGGGTGTCTGAAGCTTCTCAAACCCAAACATGGTCTCCCGACGCAGAGGAGATGGGGAGGACACGGCCTGGCCTTGCGGATGCTCAAACGAACTATCCCCTAGGCTTAGGCGGCTGTAGGACCGACGCACCTTCTGTGACCATGCCGAGTCCTCAGGGTCCGCTGCAGCCTGGGGACAGGGTGGTGAGGGAGCCAAGATCGGGGAGAGCATGGTGGCTTTTGGTGGAGGAACCTGGGCAGGTCCTGGGGTAGAAATTTTGGTCTTCTTCTGACTGCCTTCAGACAATCTTTGTTCATTTTCTTTGTTGTCATTTGAGAGTACCTGAAACAAAAGCAATTGTGCACATATGACTGGGCTGATAAGAAATAGCAGGACCAAACATTTTAAAACTATGCAGCTTATTCTGGAAAATAATTAGCTGTGTTCTTTCAACTTACATTGAATTGTGTTTTCCTGGGTGCAATCTTCCTCACAGTGATGCTGCGTTTCATGGCGTTTGTAGGAGCCTGTGGATTACAGTAACATTATATATCCTTAGACAAAGCACTGACAATACTGAAGATGTTTGCAGGAGGCAGTTTGACTATGTCAATAGGTCAATTGAAATGTTACTGGTTCAGAAAGACTGGTGGTGTCTAGCTGGTGACAAAGGTACTACTTACCGAGTTGGGGACATTTTGATTTGGAGAGGTCAACCGCGCTGACCTCCTTCGTGGTTGGCTGGTAGAATCTGGTATGATAAGACAAAGAATGGCCCAACCATCAACACCGGCATCCCTTTATACAGCTAACAATGATGTGAGATCTTTAGTTAGCAACATGACTTCACTGGTCCCTTGACTGGTAAAGTTACAGTATTTTTTTTTCTATATTTTTTTTGTATCTAAAAGCTTGGCCTAATGTCGAGAGGAGTCCATCTTCAAATCCATCCGTTGTGAAGATCCAGCTGTATGCCTCAATATGAAAAGACATGGGCAAGATATACATTAAAATTATGGAAATAAATTATGCCCATCTTCCCCATTGATTTGAGATTGGGGCATAGCTGTCTAACTGAGTCTACACAATAGATAACATTTGACAATTTGACTGACAGTGAGAATCATCTCGCCATTAAAACATTTGATTTTGGAGTGAACCACACATCTGCTAGTTACAGGCAAGCACGAAACAGAAGCACTTCTCTAAATTAAGAAATAAAGAACAAAATAGCGAACATACTGACCAGACAAAAATGTTTGAGGTGTCTCGTTGCTCATCCTTGCCGTCTGTCCAACTTATTTACTAATACATTAATTCGGTGGCTGGTTAGCTAGCTAGCAAGACTGCACATTAACGTTAGCTGGCTAGTAGCTAACGACAACAAGCTAGCTAACTTACGAAATGAGAAAAAAAACAATTATTTAGTTAGCAAATAAATATATCACACAATTTAACTAGGCAACTAATAACTAATGCAAAATCGATGTAATGCAAAATTACGACTGGATAACTTAAGAGTAGCTAGTTTCAAAATTGCCCGCCTTGAAGTACCGGAAGTGACATTTAAGTGCACTTCCTGTCCATTATTTTATCTTTCTTCATAACCTTTTACTTCAGCAGGTACTAAATAAACGATAAATATGCGATTATATCTAAATAAATACATTACAATAAAGACGCAAATGAATTAGTGAATAAATCGAACATTTAATGTGGGTGAGGCTGACTCCCATTGAGTGCGCCAACGTTTCTTTTTAATCTAAAATAGAATCTGACTGATGATCAGCTCTCGCCAAACGAATCGTTAACTGACAACCCGAGTTCAAACTGTAAAAACAGATCCTGGAGCAGCTCTAGAAAATGTGGGTCCCTGGCTAGAAGGGATACAGCTTTTGTCAAAATAACGTCAGATTTGACTTTTCGAAGCAGGTTAGGAGAATTTACGCAGCAGGTTTGGAGAATTAACGTAGCAGGTTAGGATACTTAGGTAAAGGCTAGGGTTAGCTAAAATGCAAAAAATAAATCAACTTTTGACTTTCATTTGTATAAAAGCTGGATTCCTTCTAACCATTACCGTAGATGTTCCACGCTTATGTGACATCATTATTCTGCGACTGCCGGAAGAGACGTGGCAAAATGTCCGCATCTGAAAACATTCGCATTTTCTAGCTTTAGTTATTTGTACAACCCTTTCCTTCAAACGATAAATCATCGAGGATAAAGCTTGTGTGACAGGTAAGGTTCAGTTAACCTACAACTAAAGCCACCCGAAACGCATCTGATGCTAGAGAACTAGCTAGTTTAGCTAACGTTAGCTTTAGCTATATATCTACAGTATCAACACATACAAGTGTCTTGCACCTATGCCATATGTAATCATCAAACCACATTTGAGCCATGAGTAGATATGCCTTGGATATCAGACTATTACTTAGTTAATAGCTATAATGTTAACTAGTTATGTCGTTGCTGAAGCTTGTTTTGGTGGTCACTTGTCTACAGTACAACAGACAGACCATGGGTCTGTGCAAGTGTCCTAAGAGGAAGGTGACCAACTTGTTCTGCTTTGAACATCGGGTGAATGTGTGTGAGCATTGTCTTGTCTCCAACCACAACAAGGTCAGTGGATGGGAGCTCTAAGTACCCAATGTGTCATGTTAAATGAAATATAGACCACATAGTAGTTGTGTTTGCCACTAAACTAAGAAGTATTTTTCTCTACCTTTCTGATCCCCAGTGTATAGTGCAGTCCTACCTCCAGTGGCTTCAGGATAGTGATTACAACCCTAACTGTCGACTGTGTAATAACCCACTGATCTCCCAGGATACTGTCAGATTGGTCTGCTATGGTAAGAATATCAACATATTGGATTCTTTTTTTTAATGGAACTCTCCTCCTTATTGCTGTTGCTTGATATTACTGCTGTATGGAACTTGCACAAACCCTCTGGTTCATTGCTCTTTCTTTCTCTCTATCCAAGATGTATTCCACTGGGCCTGTCTTCATGACCTGGCAGCCCGGTTGCCCCTACACACTGCTCCTGCGGGATACCAGTGCCCCAGCTGCCAGGGTCCAGTGTTTCCCCCCTCCAACCTGGCCAGCCCAATAGCTGACATGCTGAGGGAACAGTTGTCCTTAGTCAACTGGGCCAGAGCTGGACTAGGCCTACCTCTGGTGAGGAATAGGGATGGGCTGATTCACACTAGCAGTCAGGGACATTGAATAGTGATAGTGACAAGGGGGATACTGGTTCAAATGCTGGCTGACATTAAATTGTGTATTATATTAGTGTAAAATACTGTATGTTAGAGCATAAACAGAATTAACTTTTTAGGACCCTGTAAATGAAGTGTTTCTTTCAGAGAGAAGACACATATATTGTGAAATAGGTGTTCTGTGACAATCTAACTCTAACATGTACATACTTTCTCCACTGCAAGATTGAAGAACCTGTAAAAGACAGCACACAGGATGTCACTAATTATGCTGACTGGTCCACGTTTGATGGTAAGTCATTGTTTCTGCTCTTGTTACTGCCTTATTGGTCCAAAGTAAGGAAGCCTGTATTGCAACTGAAGGCATAATATAATATATGCCATTTATCAGATGCTTTTTTTTTTTTTATCCAGGGCATCATGACATATGCTAAGCTAAATGTTGAATTTGTTTGTTTGAATCAGGGAGTTTACTGTAACATTTGCCTTCCCTTCTCCCCCACTGTGCTAGCACCAGCATTGGAGCCGACTGAAGCTTACCCCACCCACAAAGCTTACCCCACCCACTCCTACGCCAGCAGCCCCAACCCTAGCCTCGCCCCTACTCCAGTTCCATCCACAGTACAGGAAGATCATGGAAATCTCCACAACAACGGGGAGATGGTGGCTCATGAACAACACTCTGTGGTCAACATGATTACTGCAACCACCACTGACACCATCACCGTACACACAGGTAAAGGACTATGAATGATACCCAGGTTTAGTGGAACTATCCTAATCCTAACCATTTCCAACCACAGTGTTGTCATGCCATACAGGCTAGGTGAAACCTTAGCTTTAACTCTAATCCTAGTTCCTGTAATTTTTGATGACACATCTGATATTCCTCACGTAGATGCATGTGTATAATGTATGCTGTATCCTCATATTTGGTTATTCATTTCATGTGAATTACTGCTTCCAGCATCATCCCCAAGGAAGATCTATGATACAAGGGACTCTGGACACAGCTCTGGACACAGCTCTGTGACACAGATTGACTTTGATGATGACAAGTACCGGCGACGACCAGCACTCAGCTGGTTTGCACGGATTCTCAAGTCAGTAATGTTACTAGTTATTTAAAGTAACTGCTCTTCATTTTGTTATTAGACAGCAAGTACACCTTTCCTATCAAACCTCATTACATATGGAAAACCTTACTTAATCTACATTTTATAGATCAGATTATCTATTACTCTGTCTCCAAAGGTAGAGTCCTTTCTTCAATTTCTCTTAACTCTGTTGAAAATGTCAATTAATTTGTGTTCTCAGAAACCGGGCAGGTTCCAAGAGGACAGGCCTGTCCTGGAAGCAGAGGGTCTTCATGCTCCTTCTGGTTGGAGTGCTGGGATTCTTTACCTTGATCATCATTATGGCTAAACTGGGCCGTGCTTCAGCCGACTCTGACCCCAACTTAGACCCCCTACTAAACCCCAACATCCGAGTGGGCAACAACTGACCAGCACCCACCTCCAAGTACTAGTGAGTGTTGAACATGGGGCTGATTTTATAAGACCATCTAAGATGGTGCGACCAGTAAAGGCAGAGAGATGCCTTCTCTCTCGGACATGAAAGAAGAGGATGGGATGGTGCATTTTGACCTGGAAATGATAGCAACCTTACACCCTTCTTCCCTCTTTGGGATAGGCAGGTGCAGATTTCCTAAGCATCTACTTCTCAGAACTAATAGGCTATATAACCGGCTTGTGTGTGTATGTACACACTTTCAAACTATTATTATTTACATTTGCTTTTAGAGCTATATGTAAAATGAATGTGTATATATATTTTGACCCACTGCACATCAAATGAGATTGCAATGTTGGAATTAATGGTAATGGGAAAACACATTTTCACAACAGAAATACTGTATTCTATATGACACAAATATGGCTTGTTGCAACATCTGCTAAAAACAAAGGTATTTTTGACGGGGGCATCAATAACAGTTGTTCAAGTTACTTGAGTGAGTGTGAGATTTGTGTTGAACTGGAAGAATGCTACGTCTGACATTCACATACTGTATTACTTGTATGGTGATTAAATATTCAAGTCTGTAAATATAGAAATTGAATGAAAGATGGTGTGTGTTTTGTGTTGAACTGGACTAAATGTTTGTAACCAATTTTCTCATTCTGTATGCAATATACATTTTAATATTTTGTGGATAAACAAACAATGTACAACAGATACTGTCAGGATATTCAAATAGTGGTTGTTAACACATTGGTCTTGGTTTAGCATTAAAATAGCAAATACAGTCTTTTAAATCCACAAGTGCCCTGTGTTCAGACACTGTATGTTTGATAGTGATCTACTTTCTCCAGAGTTTGAAGTGTTACTAAAGGTGTTAGTGGGTAGGTGTGTTGATGGGACCTCTATTTAAAATAATTATATATGTTTGAGAAGTCACATACAGTACCAGTCAAAAGTTTGGACACCTACTCATTCAAGGGTTTTTCTTTATTTTTACTGTGTTCTACATTGTAGAACAAGTGAAGACATCAAAACTATTAACATTTTTTTTTACATCTTAGTCATTTAGCAGACGCTCTTATCCAGAGCGACTTACAGTTAGCACATACATTATTTTATCGAACCCACAACCCTGGCGTTGCAAACGCCATGCTCTACCAATTGAGCTACATCCCTGCCGGCCATTCCCTCCCCTACCCTGGACGACGCTGGGCCAATTGTGCGCCGCCCCATGGGTCTCCCGGTCGCGGCCGGCTACGACAGAGCCTGGATTCGAACCAGGATCTTTAGTGGCACAGCTAGCACTGCGATGCCTTAGACCACTGCACCACTCAGGAAGCTATGAAATAACACATGGAATCATGTAGTAACAAAAAAAAGTGTTAAACAGGATCGTCTTAATTTTCTCCAAGTGACATTAAACATGTTAAAATATTTGAGGAACAAACATCTCTTGCTGATGCTTACTCTGCAGAAGGCAATTCGGTCAATGTATCAATATCATTTCTTTTTTAGGAAAAAAGTGGGGGGGAAAAGTATTTAGTCAGCCACCAATTGTGCAAGTTCTCCCACTTAAAAAGATGAGAGGCCTGTAATTTTCATCATAGGTACACGTCAACTATGACAGACTAAATGAGAATTTTTTTCTCCAGAAAATCACATTGTAGGATTTTTTATGAATTTATTTGCAAATTATGGTGGAAAATAAGTATTTGGTCAATAACAAAAGTTTCTCAATACTTTGTTATATACCCTTTGTTGGCAATGACACAGGTCAAACGTTTTCTGTAAGTCTTCACAAGGTTTTCACACACTGTTGCTGGTATTTTGGCCCATTCCTCCATGCAGATCTCCTCTAGAGCAGTGATGTTTTGGGGCTGTCGCTGGGCAACACGGACTTTCAACTCCCTCCAAATATTTTCTATGGGGTTGAGATCTGGAGACTGGCTAGGCTACTCCAGGACCTTGAAATGCTTCTTACGAAACCACTCCTTCGTTGCCCGGGCGGTGTGTTTGGGATCATTGTCATGCTGAAAGACCCAGCCACGTTTCATCTTCAATGCCCTTGCTGATGGAAGGAGGTTTTCACTCAAAATCTCACGATACATGGCCCCATTCATTCTTTCCTTTACACGGATCAGTCGTCCTGGTCCCTTTGCAGAAAAACAGCCCCAAAGCATGATGTTTCCACCCCCATGCTTCACAGTAGGTATGGTGTTATTTGGATGCAACTCAGCATTCTTTGTCCTCCAAACACAACGAGTTGAGTTTTTACCAAAAAGTTATATTTTGGTTTCATCTGACCATATGACATTCTTCTGGATCATTCAAATGCACTCTAGCAAACTTCAGACGGGCCTGGACATGTACTGGCTTAAGCAGGGGGACATGTCTGGCACTGCAGGATTTGAGTCCCTGGCGGCGTAGTGTGTTACTGATGGTAGGCTTTGTTACTTTGGTCCCAGCTCTCTGCAGGTCATTCACTAGGTCCCCCCGTGTGTTTCTGGGATTTTTGCTCACCGTTCTTGTGATCATTTTGACCCCACGGGGTGAGATCTTGCGTGGAGCCCCAGATCGAGGGAGATTATCAGTGGTCTTGTATGTCTTCCATTTCCTAATAATTGCTCCCACAGTTGATTTCTTCAAACCAAGCTGCTTACCTATTGCAGATTCAGTCTTCCCAGCCTGGTGCAGGTCTACAATTTTGTTTCTGGTGTCCTTTGACAGCTCTTTGGTCTTGGCTATAGTGGAGTTTGGAGTGTGACTGTTTGAGGTTGTGGACAGGTGTCTTTTATACTGATAACAAGTTCAAACAGGTGCCATTAATACAGGTAACGAGTGGAGGACAGAGGAGCCTCTTAAAAAATAAGTTACAGGTCTGTGAGAGCCAGAAATCTTGCTTGTTTGTAGATGACCAAATACTTATTTTCCACCATAATTTGCAAATAAATTCATTAAAAATTCTACAATGTGATTTTCTGGATTTTTTTTCTCATTTTGTCTGTCATAGTTGACGTGTACCTATGATGAAAATTACAGGCCTCTCTCATCTTTTTAATTGGGAGAACTTGCACAATTGGTGGCTGACTAAATACTTTTTTTCCCCCACTGTATGTGCTTTTGATAAAGCAGACATACAAAAAAACACCCATTACATTTTTCTGTACGGTTCACATTATTTCTAAGTGAAAATATGCTCTGTAAATACTTAACTGTTTGGAATTGTTATTTTGAACACACACTTGTAGGCCTTATATCATGTCATATTGATCATTTTCACATGGCAACAGTTTGTCCTCTGAGAATAATGATGACCCTTGCAAGTGATCTCTGTTTCCTGAGGTTAAGGGGATTCATTTATTGTTATCTCAGAACTGCTCTCTTCTGTACTGGATCATGAGTAACTCATAACAGAAGCGAGTGATGAAAATGACGAAGTTCAAAACTAGAAAAAAGAGAAACATAAAGGTGCTCATGTCAAACAGTAATTGGGACATGCAAAACAAATGAGCTCTGGATCTCTTAAATTAGGAGTGATGAACATGCAGACATTGATTGACTCACAGACTGACAGTAGGGCAATGAAGCCCATCTTGCGATTTCCTGCTTGGAGTGAATACACTGAGCCCATCAGTGACCAGTAGAAACTCACCACCTGAAACAACTGAGTAAAGAAGAAATATCACGGATCGTCTTAATATTAACCTGATATCAATACCCATATAACCTCTATCAACGACAATAATCAAGTGAGAAGTAGCCCACCAGTATGGCCTCTGTGTGGTGTTGGCTTGGAAAGCTGTTGTCCTTGATAACAAAGTGCAGGATGACATCAGCGACCAGTAGGCCTAGCTGGAAGATGCAGAGGAGCAGTGACATGGTTGTGTACAGCCCTCTCTTTGACACAGACAGGGAAAACAGCCATGCCATCAAAGCAGAGGTGTTGCCCTGCTCACAAAATGGATGAGATCAGTACAAGCATTTTCTGTATTTGAATATAAAATAAGGATCATGAGTAACTGGATCTATGATAAATATTATATGATTAGATTTGTAAAGCGTTGTCTTTATCCAGCAGATTCTGAGACATTTACAATTTATGTATGTGTGCATTGATTTGCGTGTAAAAGGTGAAACAGAAGATAGTTTACATTCTTGAAGAGGTCACCACTTTCCGCCATGTCACAGACTCCTGGTGGCCCACTCTTGAGAGACCTAGACCGACACTTGCACAATGATACACTTTCTTAGACTGGATAAGAGCTACTCTTTGTAAAATTGTCCCTACTTGTGATTTGGCAGCACATCGACTGTGATGAAGTGTGGATCTATCTGAAGGTAATAGAATGTTCATATTCTCCAGCTATGACATCACAGAAACATCAAGAATCAAGATTCTAAATATTGGACCAAGAGAAACATCTTTGTCTTGAATCTTTTCATTGTAATGAACACAAGCCTATTTACAAATAAAAAGAAGGCTCTGGACATGGCTATGCTGTGTGAAGTGAAGGGTCATCTAAATTAGAAATATGTACTGTAGTCATACCAAGGGTATAGTTTTTGCCAATCAGAAGAATGAAAATGACAAATGAATGGAAAATGACATTTGATTCACCATCATACAGTTTAATGTGATTAGACAAAAAGCTACCTTTTCATGTGTCAATAAAACAAAACATTAAGAAATTCATCATGTACAATCTGTCAACAATCATGCATGGAATCACACCACATATTTAGGCCTAGGTCTGTGTAACAATATTTAGGCCAACAGGATAGGCACTCAATCTCCTTATTGTTCTGAAAAGCTGTAGTTTTCCCTAAAGAGGGCCAATCAATAAGATTAGCAAGGACAATATTGTATCTTCGACAAGAGGCACATTGTCAACTAGAAATGTATGCATTCATTCTATCGATTTATGACATTATTCTGGTGAGCAGGGCTTTATTTAGTCTTGTTGGGCAGGGTTTGTCAAAGTCGGTCCTGGTGCCCCCCCCGGGTGCACGTTTTGGTTTTTTCCCTAGCACTACACAGCTGATTCAAATAATCAACTCATAATCAAGCTTTGATTATTTGAATCAGCTGTGTAGTGCTAGGGCAAAAACCAAAACATGCACCGGGGGGGTGACTCAAAGGTTCAAAGGAGTATCCTCTTTTGTTTTGACTTCACACAAGAGATGCTTGACGCTGCATTCAGGGCCTTCATGCCAATCGCCACTGCTCTAACACCTACGCCCAGAGCATAATATACCTGCAAAAAGAGATTAGATCATAACAGTAACCACTAACTAATGAGAAACACCTATCCCCAAATAAACTTGTTTTCAAATGCAAATAGAGGCCTCATGGGCTGTTTAGACAGGCAGCCCAATTCTGTTTTTTTTTCTCACTAATAGATCAGCTCTGATGGGAAAATATCTGATGTGATTAGTGGAAAAAATATCAGAATTGGGCTGCCTGTCTAAACGCAGCCATGTTGGCTTTAATAAGTAACATGCATCTCCCATTTTACAAGGTAGTGTCTGATTTTCCAACTAGCCTCCTTGGTCAGGTCAACTGTTCCTAAACTGAATTAATTCTGCTGGTCAACTGGCACAAACAATAAACCAAGGCATAGACCAAAAGTATTGCTTTACCAACATCACAGGATATGTCATGATATCCTTAAAAGGATATCATGATTGTCAGCACACACACCTGCTGGGACTCTCCCTTCCCATATCTCAGCTCGGTGACAAAGTGTTCACAGTTTCCCCTCAGGATGCAGTAAGGCATCTCCAGGCCCAGCAGGCTGCGGGCATCCCTCAGTATGTCATAAACACTCCGGGGTTTGTGTTTGCCATCCAGCAGGTTGTTGACAAGGAACCTGTCCTTCCCCACTATCTCCTCCAGCCTCTCCTTGGTCACAACGGCTGTGTCACACAGCACAGACACCAGGCTGTAGGCACCAGCCCCAGCTGCCTCAGCTTAGGTAGGAGAGGTAGGATCAGTGAGGTGAGGCAGGGCCACATAGTGAGAGTGGAGGAAACAGCAGAAAGGAAACTCTTAGGAGGGGGTCAGATCAGTGACGTTTACTATGTTTTTCTTAATGCATGGGTACATTATAGAGTTTATACACTATTTTATAAACATGATCATAAGCATATTTTTTCTAGGTCCATGAATCCAGCCCCCGTCCCCGTTGGAGGCCTTTTGCCTTTTGGTAGGCCGTCATTGTAAATAAGGAAATGTACTTTGTAGGCTTCTCTGCGCCATGACGTCCAGTATTAAAGATCAGGAGCAAATTGTACTTACTGGGGGGACAGAGGTGGACGATGTAACCTTCTCCAACATACAAGGCCCAGTGCTGATAGGTCCCACGGAATATCTCAATCAGGTCCCCAGGTTGAGGCTTTGTTTGATATTGACAACACAATAGCAGACTTTTACATAACAACTGGCAAGTAGTACACTACGTAATCAAGTCTATATTCAATGTTAATTCAGTCTTTGACTAAAGATTACCCAACAAGTACAACAAAAAAGCCAAAGCAAGTCTGTCAACAAGTCAATTAGACTGCACGTTGTTACTGACTTACCATTATTGGGACAATGTCATTCCTTTTGATCAGATTGTGGCAAAAACATAACATTTCCAGGTTTTGATTTGTTCTTGCATATACTGTATTTATCCAGCATGTGAAAAAAGTTCATACTTGCAATATGCTCCCCAGTTGATTAAAACAGACATGCAAACCTAAAGGCTACTGCATGTTGCTTAGGCCACTGCCGCTCCAGTTGATCAAGCCATTAATTGGATTTTCACAGTCTATTTTGGGTAGTAAACACTGATCTCTGACTGTTGGAGTAATACTTCTGAGTTGTGTTGAGCTGACCTATCAAAATATAAATGGCCTTCAACTAGGGTTTCCTTGGTCAATGAGATACTGCAATAACTTATGTAAACTGTAATAGTAATGAGTGATTGGTGCCTTCTTGGGACAGTCAGATTCCACTGTTAGATAAAATCAAATCAAATCAAATGTTATTTGTTACATGCGCCAAATACAGCAGGTGTAGACCTTACCGTGAAATGCTTACTTACAAGCCCTTAACCAACAATGCAGTTCAAGAAAGAGTTAAGAAAATATTTACTAAATAAACTAAAGTAAAAGTTTTTTTTTTTTTAAATAACACAATCAAATAACAATAACGAGGCTATATACAGGGGGTACCGGTACCGAGTCAATGTGCGGGGGCACAGGTTAGTCGAGGTAATTTGTACATGTGGGTTGGGGTAAAGTGACTATGCATAGATAATAAACAGCGAGTAGCAGCAGTGTAAAAACACAGGGAGGGGGGGTGTGTCTATGTAAATAGTCTGGGTGGCCATTTGATTAATTGTTCAGCAGTCTTATGGCTTGGGGGTAGAAGCTGTTAATAATAATAATATAATATGTCATTTAGCAGACGCTTTTATCCAAAGCGACTTACAGTCATGCGTGCATACATTTTTTTGTGTACGGGTGGTCCCGGGGATCGAACCCACTACCTGAGCTACAGAGGAGCCTTTTGGTCCTAGACTTGGCGCTCCGGGTACCGCTTGCCGTGCGGTAGCAGAGAAAACAGTCTATGACTTGGGTGACTGGAGTCTTTGACAATTTTTTGGCCTTTCCTTTTTGGCATTGAAATGATGTAACATGTCTGGTGTATTATGGCCGGCTTCTTTTATGAAACTTTCTTCTTGCCTGGTATGGATTGTTTATAAAGTGATCATAAAAAGTTACAACAATCCATACATTTACATTTTAGTTATTTAGTAGACACTCTTATCCAGAACGACTTACAGTTAGTGAGTGCATACTTTTTTTTTCATACTGGTCCCCAGTGGGAATCGAACCCACAACCCTGGCGTTGCAAGCGCCATACTCTACCAACTGAGCTACACGGGCTAAATAGCAGGCAAGAAGGAAGCAGCAACAATTTAAGCACTGCAATACAAATTACAAACGTACATAGAAATTCACAACAATACAAGGATTTTTAAAATATATAATGAAAATGTTCAGACCTAAATTTGGAAAGCAAATACAGTTATATCAACTATAGTTATCCTCACAACGAGTTTTAAACCTAAAAGCCTTTCTATGCAATGTGTGCTCATAATGTTGCTAATGGCTATCCAATAGTATAAGAACTTCAATAAAATACAATTATAAAACAAGATAGCACACTCCAAAGTTTGTCAAACTTCAGAATATTATAATGTTGAGTCCATGTTGCGTGGCATCTTTCTCATTTCATTTTTAGACAGTACCATACCCATCTTTTCCATTCATTTGGGATGGACTCCTGGCTACTTTCAGTCGCCAAACTTTGCCGAACGTTGCAAATAGAAATGACATGAACGAATAGAGCCGACGTGCTTCCTGTTCTACATAGAATATTTATATTTGAACGTTCAAAAACCCAATGTGTTGAACGCGCCTCTGCTATGAACAAGCGCCTCCCTAGTCAAAATGAACTGACCAATCAATGAATGACTCGCGGCAAAGTGGAGCGCATTCAATATCGAAACGTTAAGCAGTTTATTATTATACCATCCCATTACCATTTCAAATAAAGGCAATAACAGGAGTTCGTCTGATACGAAAATGTGCTAATACGTCTATAAGGTGGACAGGGTTGGCTCTGACTGTCCCTCAAAAAACACATTTTGTTGCTTACGGGCATCTATACTTGGTTGGGGTATCATCTGCGTGCACATCATTTGAGGGGGCGAGGCTTAGTTGAGAGCGTAAGCAAGCTGAATCAAGATGGCGAGCTTCATTGAACGGTAGCTATTCCAGAATTCAAGTTCAGTTAGCCTGCTAGCTAATTCAATAGTATGCATGTTTTCTGTTGTGTCAGTCTTTGTGGATATTATCTATAAATGCCACATTTGGTCAGTTGTCTTTTGTAACGGATAGCTTGCTAGCTAGAGGAAAACGACCTACCTAACTAACGTTAATCAGTTCAGCAGCAACATGACTAGCTAGCTGGAATATGATAATTGCATGTAGTTACATCACTGTTCATTTCCATTCTTCCCTAGGATGTGCCTGCATATTGTGCTCGTGCTGTCTGTTTTCCTGAGCATCACTCAAGCTGTGGATCGCAGTAACTTCAAAACATGTGACCAGAGTGCCTTCTGCAGGTGATGCCTCCCTTCATCAATTCACTTGTAGAAAAATGTGTAACAACAACGTTACCTAGATGGACATTTTGAGACCAAAACGATATACTGTGTAATGTCATTTGTGTGTCAGTTCATAAAAGTATATAATCTGTAACGTATTTTTGTGTGTGTGTTTGTGTGTGACTGAATGCAGTCGTCAAAGGGCGATGAAGCCAGGCCAGTCATCATACAGAGCCTTACTGGAGACCCTGGAACTCAGTGACTCCCATCTCACACTGCAGCTCCAGAATAACAATAATAAGGTCAGAATGAACAAGACCTGTTACACACGTAAATATTGAATGACCGGTTGGGTGAAATAGCTTTGCTTTGATAATGGATTACTTGGATGGTACACAATGGAAATCCACCATACACTTTTTGTTCTTCCACATTGTGCAAACCGTGTGTTGACGTATGATCATTTCATTGCCTGTGTTCAGGTGCGCTTGCTGCTAGAGCTGTATCGCCTTCAGGGGAACATGACCAGAGTGAAGATCAACGAGCTGAAGCCCGTCAAGCCTCGATATGAGGTGCCTGATGTTCTCATCACTGACCCTCCCACTGAACCGTGAGTTTGTCCATTTTTATTTTATACATGTCAATATCAGCCCACTATTGATGTCTCACATTCTAGGGTGGTTTTGTAACGAATGTAAAGTATAGAGAAGGTCCATAGTGGGTGTGTTGGCATGGGTGTGATGGCTGCTTCTCTCCTCTGCAGTATGTCAGTGGTGGTCCAGGATGAGCATGGGGTGGTGCTGTCTCTGGGTGGGGAGGACCGGAGGCTCATCCTCAGTGCCCAGCCCTTCCGCCTGGACATCATGGAGGGCCCACAGGTGCTGCTGTCCCTCAACTCCCGGGGCCTGCTAGCCTTCGAGCAGCTCCGCATACGCAAGGACACGTGAGTCGCTCATGCAGTCTTGCATGCACAGGACGAAACCTTGCATTTATATCACATGGAGCAATGCAATTGAATGCGTATACTAGACCTGTGATGGACTTTTGACGGAATATTGCCTCAAATAAAATGTGTGCACATGTTGTGTAATTTCATGGAAGGCTTTTATTGAAGGCTTCCACTTGTACTCTCCTGCTGAATTTGATAATTGTCTCAAAGGTTTTCTAAAATGCACTTAGGTGTACTGTACTGATCTGTTTTCCTGTCCTATTCTGTTTCTTTCCTTTCCCTCTCCTCTCTACTGTTTCTCACCATATCCTCCAGTATTTCCCACAAAATAAGTAGCACAGTCGGTAGCATATGGGATAAGATCAAGAGCGTTTTCTCTAGGTAACTGGTCTTAGCTTGCCTCTTGATGTTATGTTTGTGTGACACCTGAGTTGAACAACTGAAATAGCTTAAGGCTGTATTGTCTTATAGTAGAAATGCCACAGGTCAGAAATTAAGTAAACAGATTTTTACTTTTGATCTGAACTTTACCAGAGCATCAACAAATATCTGTAAACATGTTGCTGTGTGCAGTTTCTCCATAAGTCTGTACAGCCTCTACTGCTCAGTGTAGTGTACATATATCTACCAAGCTCCCCAGAGGGTCTAAACTAAACAAAGATTATTGCATGTCATATTTTATTGTTCAGTGAATTGATTTGATTGGTTTGCCGTTGATCATTATTATTAACAAACAAAAAAATCTTCTGAATCAATGTCCTGCAAAGTTTAGAAATGTGGGCGTATCTGTACCCATTACCAAGGAATTTTCTATGGGCTGAATCATAACTTAAAATCATCTGCAAATGTTTGTGCAAACCCCACATTAACCCCACATTAACATCAATGCAAACATAAGTTAAAATGAACCCCTATGTCAACAAGATGTCAGTACATAATGCATGTTTAACTCAATGACAATTATCCAATTGGAAGAGTTTGTCCTTAATCTATCACTAACAACATGTCAATCCAGGTGATGAGATCCAGTTTGTATTGCTTTACTTGTCCTTCACATTTCTCCATGTGGTTTCTAAAGCAATCAACCACTCCTTTGACATTATGTATTATTGTGTGATGCAGCAAAAGCCAAACAGATACAGAGGAAGCTGGGGAGAAAGAGGACACAGAGAAGCATGACGAGGAAAAGGTGTGTTGTTCTATTCTAAAGTCCTTATTGTTCTGATACAAACACTGCATGGATTTATTGGCGCATTTATAGACCCCATTCTGTCCATTTTGTGTTCAAAGTGTGTAGAGATAACAGGTCGTTAGTAGTAGCCTCATAGGGTGAGAGACGAGCTCCAACTTCTGGTATCAGTTTGATGTGAACTTTGAACTAGGGTGTGTATGAGTACCACCTTTCTGAGACACTTGAGCTACACCTTTGGACTCCTTTTCTCTTTTCCGGTTCTCCACAAAACCCCTCTCACTTCCCAGGCGTCAGAAGGAGAGGAGGAGGTGGAAGAAGAGGTGGATCAGCCAGGAATGTGGGAGGAGACGTTCAAGTCCCATGCCGACACCAAGCCTAATGGTACATCATTGTACTGTACACTACAATTCCATACAGTAAAATAAACTGTTACTCAAGTCAATTTATTTGTTTTCACCTGTTTACTTACATTGACATCATGTGAATCAAAAAAATAAAACACTGCTCTGGTGTAACCTGCCTCCTGTCCCCCAGGTCCCTCCTCCATCAGTCTGGACTTCTCCCTGCCTGGAGTAGAACATGTCTATGGCATCCCTGAACACGCAGACAGCCTCAGACTGAAAAACACAGAGTGAGACTATAAACTGTCTTTGCCCCAATGTCATTTGCACTCAGCTCATCAACGTGTAGTTTTGAAATTCTGTGTTGGTCATCCAGTGCTAACCCAGTGATTCCTGTTCCTCTCCCCAGTGGAGGAGACCCCTACAGGCTTTATAACCTGGATGTGTTCCAGTATGAGCTCTTTAACCCCATGGCTCTGTACGGAGCAGTGCCTGTCCTCCTCTCACACAACACCCACAGGACTATGGGTCTCTTCTGGCTCAACGCAGCAGAGACATGGGTGGACATCAGCTCTGGACAGGTGGGTGTGTGTGAATGGATCTCACACACTGTCTTTCCTTTCATTCTTTCCTTGGATTCACTTGGTTTGATATCTAAATCCTGTTTGTACATGTTGGATTGCGTTCAGGGCTCCGGTGAGGTCCTTCAGACAGACGTCCGATGGATCTCTGAGAGTGGCATCATTGACGTCTTCATCATGCTGGGACCACAACCTAATGATGTGTTCACACAGTACGCTTCATTAACAGGTACACAGGTCTGATACACTACCAGGTACACGTCACTCACGGTATATTGTACACATTCACGCCAAGTACATTTGCATGTTCAATACATCGTCGGTTTATAGCTCCACTGCACACTATCCCAGAAGTGGTACCTTCACTTTAGAAATGACCCTTGTGTTCTGTGGCTGTTGTAGGCACTCAGTCCTTCCCCCCTCTCTCTTCGCTGGCCTACCACCAGTGCCGCTGGAACTACAACGACCAGGAGGATGTGAGTGCGGTGGACCAGGGCTTTGATGAACACGACATCCCCTATGACTTCATCTGGCTGGATATTGAGCACACGGATGGCAAGCGCTACTTCACCTGGGACAACAACAAGTTCCCACAGCCCAAAGACATGCTGCAGGGCCTCCTGGATAAGAGACGCAAGGTGAACTTAATGATGGAAACAGATTTTGAAATGGTGTGTGTGGTAATGAGAAAATAATGTACGTTTTTGGCACTCTTCTCTCTCCCTCCTTCACTCACTGCGCCCTCTCTCCTGTCCTGGCTGTCCACAGATGGTGACCATAGTGGACCCTCACATTAAGGTGGACAGCAGCTATAAGATCCACACTGAGATTCGCTCTAGAGGCTACTACATAAAAAACGAAGATGGCGGAGACTATGAGGGCTGGTGCTGGCCAGGTAGGAAGATGTCAATATGTAGTGTATTTATGGCTTGACAAATTCTGAAACCTACCAGACAACACAGTGCAGGTTGGCATTTATTGTCATGAATCTTGCCCTGGAAGCAGCTCTGCAGAGTAGTCACTAGCTGGCACAGCCACAAAGTCATACAATCTGATTTAAACCTAACCCTAACCACACTGCTAACCCTAATGCCTAACACTAACCTTTTAAATTAAGACCAAAAACCTAATTCATGACTTTTTTTATGTCCCATCTAACGGAAATCACTCAGTTCTAACTCCAGGGCAAGATTTTGACAATAAATGTCAACACAGTGTAAGATTGACTGTTTTATACTGATTCAGTCACCCAAAGGCTGGTAATTATTTAGAACTGTTATGTACATGTACTCTATATTTTCTTGTAAAAGGGAACGCAGGTTACCCAGATTTTACCAACCCTGAGATGAGGAGGTGGTGGGCCAGCATGTTTGCTTATGACCAGTATGAGGTGAGTAAACCCTAATCAGTTCGTCTCGTCTCCCCTCCACATTTAAACCCAGTTACTTTCTTTCCTTCCTCAGGAAACTTTGTCCTCTTCACTGAGTCAGTTAGCATTGATGTCACTGGTTAAGCAGTAAAGCTACTGGAGTCTTGAGCTACTGATTTACCTATACGACCCCAGATGTACTGACATGTCTTTACCTCCCGTCTCTCTTCTCCAGGGCTCAATGGAGAACCTGTACACGTGGAACGACATGAACGAGCCATCTGTGTTCAATGGGCCAGAGGTCACCATGCACAAGGACGCCCTCCATGGGCCCTGGGAGCACAGAGACGTCCACAACCTCTATGGCTTCTACGTGGTGAGGCAGGGAAGGAAGGGCATTACTAGGAGTAGATAGCCTGGGGGTGTCCACTGTCCACACTGTTGGGATTGTTTTGGATTAGTTACAGCATCCTCACTCACTCATTTACTGTCGCCATCTACTCTCTGTCTTCCCTTCTTTCCCTCTCTCAGCAAATGGCGACAGCAGAGGGTCAGATCCAGCGCTCCGGGGGGTTGGAGAGGCCTTTTGTCCTGACCAGGGCCTTCTTCGCTGGGTCTCAGCGCTATGGTTAGACCCTTTAATAACGCCTCCCTCTGGTTCCCAGAAATGTTGTATACTGTATGTCTTCACCGACCCCAACCCACTCTTGAAGTGTTCTCTCTCACACGCGCGTTCACCCACTCTCCTCCAGGTGCAGTGTGGACGGGTGATAATGCAGCAGAGTGGGGCCACCTGAAGATGTCCATCCCCATGTGTCTCAGCCTGGGCCTGGTTGGCATCTCCTTCTGTGGAGGTGAGGCTGGCAGGGATTGGTGCTGCACAGATTGGTCTGTCCTAGTCGGATGGTAATTCTTAAAGGATCCTAATCCTCCATCTTCTCTCATCCCAGCTGACGTGGGGGGTTTCTTTAAGACTCCCAGTGCGGAGCTGCTGGTGCGTTGGTACCAGGCGGGGGCCTACCAGCCTTTCTTCCGTGCCCACGCCCACCTGGACACCCCGCGGAGGGAGCCCTGGCTTTTTGGCCCTGACAACACGGATCTGATCCGGGAGGCTGTGCGTCAGCGCTACACCCTCCTGCCCTACTGGTACCTGCAGTTCTACCATGCCCAACGCACTGGCCAGCCTGTCATGAGGTAGGCTCATCAAGCCCCATTCAGGGCTTGACATTAACTTTTTTAGCCACTTAGGATTTTAAATTTGTTTTACTTGTCAGAAAGCTCAAGTCACTAGTCCAAAAATAAACAATGTTCTGTAACACCATGGGCCACAATGGTGACTGAGTATTGTGTTGTATGATGCAAGGAACCACTTCACATGACACAAAATACCCTTCATTATTATCACTGGTATTGACAATGGAAGGCTGCTGGTCTCTGATGCCATGTATTATGCCTCCTGCTGTTGTGGCCTTGAGCAAGGCACTTAACCCCCCACAAAGTACAATACTGCACTGATAGGCTACTGTATAAAACACAGATGTGGTCCATCAACCCTCCATCTGGAGAACTACTGGGTGTGCAGGCTTTTGATCCAGTCCTGCTCAAACACACCCGAGTCAGTTTATCAAGGGACTGCTGAGAAGCAGTTTTTTCTTCTTCACAATGTGTTAGAGCAGGGCTGGAGCAAAAGCCTGCAAACACAGTAGCGCTCCAGGACTCTCCTGGAGAATGGTTGGCGACCCTGCAACATTACAATTAAAACCAAATACTTGATAGGTCTTAAAAAAGTATTACCTCATTCAATAAACCAGGGATAAAATGGCTAAGGTGGGCGACTTCATCGCAAGGTAGATACAGTGAGGGAAAAAAGTATTTGATCCCCTGCTGATTTTGTACGTTTACCCACTGCCAAAGACATGATCAGTCTATAATTTTAATGATATGTTTATTTGAACAGTGAGCGACAGAATAACAACAACAAAATCCAGAAAAACGCATGTCAAAAATGTTATAAATTGATTTGCATTTTAATGAGGGAAATAAGTATTTGACCCCTCTGCAAAACATGACTTAGTACTTGGTGGCAAAACCCTTGTTGGCAATCAGAGGTCAGACGTTTCTTGTAGTTGGCCACCAGGTTTGCACACATCTCAGGAGGGATTTTGTCCCACTCCTCTTTGCAGATCTTCTCCAAGTCATTAAGGTTTCGAGGCTGATGTTTGGCAACTCGAACCTTCAGCTCCCTCCACAGATTTTCTATGGGATTAAGGTCTGGAGACTGGCTAGGCCACTCCAGGACCTTAATGTGCCTCTTCTTGAGCCACTCCTTTTTTGCCTTGGCCGTGTGTTTTGGGTCATTGTCATGCTGGAATACCCATCCACGACCCATTTTCAATGCCCTGGCTGAGGGAAGGATGTTCTCACCCAAGATTTGACGGTACATGGCCCCGTCCATCGTCCCTTTGATGCGGTGAAGTTGTCCTGTCCCTTTAGCAGAAAAACAGCCCCAAAGCATAATGTTTCCACCTCCATGTTTGACGGTGGGGATGGTGTTCTTGGAGTCATAGGCAGCATTCCTCCTCCTCCAAACACGGCAAGTTGAGTTGATGCCAAAGACCTCAATTTTTGGTCTCATCTGACCACAACACTTTCACCCAGTTCTCCTCTGAATCATTCAGATGTTCATTGGCAAACTTCAGACGGGCATGTATATGTGCTTTCTTGAGCAAGGGGACCTTGCGGGCGCTGCAGGATTTCAGTCCTTCACGGCATAGTGTGTTACCAATTGTTTTCTTGGTGACTATGGTCCCAGCTGCCTTGAGATCATTGACAAGATCCTCCCATGTAGTTCTGGGCTGATTCTTCACCGTTCTCATGATCATTGCAACTCCACGAGGTGAGATCTTGCATAGAGCCCCAGGCCGAGGGAGATTGACAGTTCTTTTGTGTTTCTTCCATTTGCAAATAATCGCACCAACTGTTGTCACCTTCTCACCAAGCTGCTTGGCGATGGTCTTGTAGCCCATTCCAGCCTTGTGTAGGTCTACAATCTTGTCCCTGACATCCTTGGAGAGCTCTTTGGTCTTGGCCATGGTGGAGAGTTTGGAATCTGATTGATTGATTGCTTCTGTGGACAGGTGTCTTTTATACAGGTAAGAAGCTGAGATTAGGAGCACTCCCTTTAAGAGTGTGCTCCTAATCTCAGCTCGTTACCTGTATAAAAGACACCTGGGAGCCAGAAATCTTTCTGATTGAGAGGGGGTCAAATACTTATTTCCCTCATTAAAATGCAAATCAATTTATAACATTTTAGACATGCGTTTTTCTGGATTTTTGTTGTTGTTATTCTGTCTCTCACTGTTCAAATAAACCTACCATTAAAATTATAGACTGATCATTTCTTTGTCAGTGGGCAAACGTACAAAATCAGCAGGGGATCAAATACTTTTTTCCCTCACTGTAACTAAGACGTGTATATCTACATGTACACTATGTTCTGAATTGGCTGTCTAGTTAGTCTGTTGTATATCATTATTTTACCTGCTGCTGCAGTCTCTCCTCTGGCAACGGCCCACTCGCACTGGCACACACGCAGTTGATGCACACACCATGAGTTTTCCAGGATTTTCATTGCTGACCAAAAATGAGCTATAACTGGGTAAATAACTCACTAACTAGCAATGAATATCAACAAATGTGCACACGTGGCTAGGCTCGATTTGATCTAAAAAAACGCATCTTGGGACTGCATGATTGAAAGACCGCTCAATGCAGGCCTACAGTAATTCTGCTGCAATGCACTCTGGGAGGACAGTGCGCCACACATCGCATCCGGAGGACACTCTGATCCAATTCTGATCGGAATAGGCTTTTTAAAAAAACTTGTCCATATGGACAATTTAAATCTGCTTGTCTGACAATTTGTTTTACTTGCCCCGGGCAAGCGGACAAGCGTTAATGTCGAGCCCTGCCACGTCTATGTTTCAAAGGTCTATAGCTGGCACTAGTCTTTAAGGTGATATTAGAGAAAATCCTTGTATTTTGATTCACCTTGGGTTGTATTCCCTCCCCCCTTTCTCTCTCCGTACTATAGGCCCCTGTGGGTGGAGTATCCAGAGGATATTGCCACGTTCTCCATTGACGATGAGTTCCTGATTGGTAAGTAGGTTAGGGAGAGTGGCCTTTAGACCGGTATGTAGTTCTTAACCTTTTATATTATGGTACAATACTTTTGAGTACTTAAATGTTTGGATGCACTTGACCTCTTCAACCTGGTGAGGATGATACATTACCCCAGACTACCTCTCCCCCTGTGTGTTCATCAGGCAGAGATCTTTTGGTCCACCCTGTAACAGATGAAGGGTCTAGTGGGGTCACAGCCTACTTACCTGGGAATGGAGAGGTGAGTGTGAGGATGGAGAGAGGGGGAAGGCTGACCTGGAGTTTTGCCTGTTGGAATGTACCACATGTTCAATCAACCTGATCCTTTCTCGTCCTCTGACGACCTCACACTTCTCTCCCCGTTACAGGTCTGGTATGACGTCCACACGTTCCAGAGACATGACGGAGCTCAGAACCTCTATATCCCTGTTACCATGAGCTCAGTAGGTTCTCTGTTGCCGTCAGTGTTAACATGGATCTGCTGCCATCACCCATCTCTCAGCACCTTTCCCACAAATAACTCTCTCTCTTTTCACCTCTTCCTTTCACAGATTCCAGTGTTCCAGCGAGGAGGGTCCATTATCTGCCGGAAGAACCGTGTTCGCAGGTCCTCATCCTGCATGGAGAACGATCCCTACACCCTCTACGTGGCCCTTGACTCACAGGTATAACCTTACTTTACACCACTATGATATCACTACCATTGTTGTTGCACCATTTTACTTGCAGGGGCTTTGTCATCATTTAAATGTTTCTCTTTGTTCCAGGGCAATGCAGAAGGAGAGCTTTACATAGATGATGGTCACACCTTTAAACATGAAACAGACAAGCAGTTCATTCACAGACACCTGAGTTTCACTGCAAACAGCCTCTCATCCAGGTCTGTCCCTCCTCTAACTAACGTCCTCATTCCAACCAGGCCATGTTCTCCCTGTGTTTCTGTATCGAGTGTAACCTGTCTCTTTCTCTGATGCTGCAGTGACCTGTCTCCTGACTCCCAGTTTCCCACGGCCTCTTGGGTTGAGAAAGTGATCATCCTGGGAGTTCAGAAGCCTGATGCTGTCACCCTCACAACGACAGGTTAGTCATGTACCGTCAATAACCAGGCAACATAATGTCACGTGTAGAGCCAGGAGTTTCCCCAGAACTTTCTTCTGGTCAGGTAATGTAATGGAAAAATAATACTTGTTGCAGTTAAGTTATTTTTGTGTTGGCAGGCTAGTGCAGAAAGTGGTAAGGGTTGTGAACATAGAACATTAGAGTTTGTTACAATGTGCCTGATGTTCTTCACCCATCCTCCACAGATGGTGGGGAGTCTTCTGTGGAGTTTGAGTTTGACCCGGACACGGCAGTCTTAACTCTTCGTAAGCCAGGCGTGAACGCAGGGGTCAACTGGACATTACATCTGCGGTAGCACAGGACACACGTATAGAAGTCAAGAGACACACGAAATGTCACGCACAGACTTTTGGACAAACAAGTAAACATACAACTACAAAAGGGCACACATGCACCCAGATTCAAAAGTGTGGCTAGGATTTGGAGCAGTTACCTGAACCTTGAGAAAGAAAACGCAGGAGAAATTGATCAGGGTTGTTGAAAGAGTATGAAACTCAGGACCACAAATGGTGTTAGTCAGGAGAAATTCTGCACCACTAACAAAAGGAGGCTGGATCTTTGATACTTATCTTAATTTTATAAATATTTTTGGGGGGGTTGAAATGATGACAATGACTCCCTATAAGACCCTATATGACCCTATATGACTAGCTGTTTAAAATAAAGGTTAAATAAAAAATTATGACAATGTAATGTTTGTATTTTTTCCTTTCCATTAATGAATTAACTTTTAAATGGTCAGCAATGTGAATAGACAAGTATGAAGAAGAGATTGCCTTCTATCAGACATTATGAATTACATTGGGTATTATGGTATTCACCCACCTTGGATTCTTTCACATTTTGTTGCGTTACAAATGTTCAAGTCTTGCCATAGATTTCCAAGCAGATTTAATTCAAAACTGTAACTTGGCCACTTGGAACATTCACTGTCTACAGTGTAGATTTGGCCTTGTTGTAGGTTATTGTCCTGCTGAAAGGTGAATTCCTCTCTGTGTCTAGTGTAAAGCAGACTGAAACAGGTTTTCCTCCAAGATTATGCCTGTGCTTAGCTCATGAAAAACTCTTTGCAGACGTCAAGCATACCCATACCATGAGGCAGCCACCACCATGCTTGAAAATAAGGAGGCATGTGTTGGAATATTCTTATTCTGTATATTTGTATTCTATTGACTGAGGGAGCTTAAAGATGTTGTATGTATTGGGGACAGAGGAAGAGGTAGTCATTAAAAAATCATGTCAACCCCTATTATTTCACACAATGAGTCCAAGTAACTTGTGATTTGTTAAGCCACATTTTACTCCTGAACGAATTTAGGCTTGCCTAAACAAAAGGGCTGAATACTTTTGCAACAACTATATTTTAGTTATTAAGTAGAATTTTCTTTTCACTTTGACATTATGGAGTATTTTGTGATACTCAATAACAAAAAATCCCAACTAAATCCATTTCAATCCCACTTTGTCACGCAACAAAATGTGAATAAATCCAAGGGGGTGAATACATTGACTTATGCAAGAAGTTAAATATGCATAATTTTACTAAATGTTTACATGTTGAAGGGGGTTGATTTAACTAAAGTCAGAATGATTTGAATTGAGGATTGGTTGTCAGCAATAAACCAACTACATTCCCATTTGCTTCACATTTTCTTTATTACAAAGTTATTATAAATGTAGGCTATGAAGTTCATACAGTACATAAATGCACCATGTCTTGGCATAAACATTTGGTATTTGGTTTCCAAGGGTTTTTATATTCAAGGTTTTGTTGTAGTCTGTCATGACAAAAAATACTGATAGTATCATAGCTCTTTGAGAGGTGATGCTGTATGACAGTTTGCATCCATAAGTATTGTCATACCTTATGATATCACAGCACTGTGCCCTACTATAACAGGATCATGAGCCCTGTCACAGTGCCCACATTGAGGATATCACAAAAGTGTGTGTAACTCCAGTATAGCAGATACAATTCTGAGTATATAGCATGCTAAGGTACACTGTATATACCAGTTAATTTCACATAATGGTGGTTTGCCCATCCAATGTTGGTATTCTTTCCATCATTTGGTCAGACCGGAGTGTATCCAGGAGATGTATATAGTCTTATGGTCAGTCTGCAGATGGCCGGGTGAGGAAACTCATCAGGCTCTCATAGCTGAGGAAGGTGATGGCGTTGACAGGGAAGGCCCTCAGGCTGTTCAGGAGGAGCCCCTTAAAGAACACCCTCACCCCCTCCTCCTTCAGACTCATACTCATGCAGTGCAGGACCCCCTGGTACACCCGGCCCCCAGCACCGGACATCTGCAGCCGCACCTTCACCACATCCATGGGTGTGGCAAAGGCCCACGTCACCACGCCTGCCACCCCACCCGCCATTAATACCGCAAATGTGCCTGAAGATACAAACCAAATTATTACATGAAAATCTATGTAATTGCACTAGCACTCAAACCATCAGCAATAAATGGTCAAACTAGACACAGACTCGCATGCTCTCTCTCTTCTCACAGACTAGCATGCTCTCTCTCTTCTCACAGACTAGCATGCTCTCTCTCTTCTCACAGCCTCGCATGCTCGCTCTCTTCTCACAGACTAGCATGCTCTCTCTCTTCTCACAGACTAGCATGCTCTCTCTCTTCTCACAGACTAGCATGCTCTCTCTCTTCTCACAGACTAGCATGCTCTCTCTCTTCTCACAGCCTCGCATGCTCGCTCTCTTCTCACAGACTCGCATGCTCTCTTCTCACAGACTCGCATGGCTTTTGAACTGTTAACGACACACGCTCCAAGTCGTCTCTATTGCAGTGGCGTTGCACAGATGATCAGATCTCAGAACGCCTGGAGAAGAGCGTAACATCTCAGGAACCACATTCATATATTATAATATAACAATCTTTTCAGATGTGCAGCGCAATTGCAAAAAAAGATGGTCTGGAACACAACCTCTTTCTCCAACTGACCTGGCCGTTTGCCTTCTTCAGTCAGAAACCTGCAGGTGATCTCGTAAGGCAGGAAGTAGATTCCATAGCAGGGCACATCTCTCAGGGTAAGAGCCAACCCCCCTCGAAACAATCCCCTTGGCCCCTCCTCCCTCAGGATGACAGTCACACAGTGAATGGGACCTCGATACCCGTCACCACCGACCCCAGCCCAGCCCTTGGTCTGGGACTGCAGGCGTACCTTCACCAGGTCAACAGGCGCAGTAACCACCACCTGGCAGCAAAGAAAAGCTTGGTGTTAAAAAGTACACATAACAATGCCATATTTCAGGGCCATTTAAAGCACGTTCCATATTACCTGTGCCAGACCTGAGAAACAGCCAGCTGCGAAGACTGCTGATGCAGAGGCAGGGTTGCCTTGGCTACGGTCGTTCCGTTGGGACTGAGTGAGGTAGTCTAAAGCATTGCTATAGGAACCAAAGACCACAGCGTTGGTGATGCCAGTAGTCAGGACAGGAAATGCCATGCCCTTGAAGAACCCAGGGATCTGATCCGACAAATGCAAAAATAGTATTGTTCAAGTATTGCTGATGGTACAACATTGTAGCGAAAATATAAAACACACATCGACAAATCCCACTGGGCACAAACTGGTTTAATCAACATTGTTTCAACATAATTTGTCAACGTATTCTGATGTGGAATCTACGAGGAAAATACATTAGATTTGAAAAAAGTAATCAACTGTTGTTTTGAGGGTAAAATTTCAACCACAGGATTATGTCATCACGATAACCAAATTTCAACATAGACAAACCTTGAATAAAATATGTTGAATTTGTACCTTTAAAAGAACTTAAGATCTTCAACGATAAAATCCACTATCAGAAAAAAACTAAACTATAGGCTGGGCAGCACCTCCTACTGGAGAATTGACCTATTGACAGCTACCCTTTGATCTCCCTATCCAGGGTTTTAACCAAGCCCATCCCTGCTTAGCTATGATATTTGCCACTGACTATTACCAATGTGCTATCATGAGAATTATTGTTGTGGAACTAACAGACTTACTGGACTCTACAAGGTGTTGAAAGCGTTCCACAAGGATGCTGGCCCATGTTGACTCCAATGCTTCCCACAGTTGTGTCAAATTGGCTGGATGTCCTTTGGGTGGTGGACCATTCTTGATACACACGGGAGACTGTTGAACGTGAAAAACCCAGCAGCGCTGTAGTTCTTGACACAAACCGGTGCGCCTGGGCTGGCACCTACTACCATATCCCGTTAAAAGGCACTTAAATATTTTGTCTTGCCCATTCACCCTCTGAATGGCACACATACACAATCCATGTCTCAATTGTCTCGAGGGTTAAAAATCTTTCTTTAACCTGTCTCCTCCCCTTCATCTATACTGATTGAAGTGGATTTAACAAGTGACATCAATAAGGGATCATAGCTTTCACCTGGATTCACCTGGTCAGTCTGTCATAAAAAGAGCAGGTGTTCGTAATGTTTTCTATACTCAGTGAGGTGCATTCAAACTAAAAGCGGATTTACCTATTTCGGTGGAGACCCGAGGAACCTCAAGAGTTAACCAATACTTTGTTTTTATACTTCAACAACGAAGATATGTAAGCTTACGTAGCTTTTAAACTAGCTCATCAGTATGTTTTTTATACGTTAAATCCACTCCTTTCCTCTTGTGACCTCACCCTTTCCCAGTTACCTCCCACTCACAAGGCAGGAAATACGCTTGACTTAATCTTTACTAGAGGCTGTTTGCCTGCTGATCTCACTGCAACCCCCCTCCAGGTCTCTGATCACTACTTTGTTTTCTTTTCTCTCCATCTCTCCTCCAACTCTACCCACTCAGCCCCTACCCAGATGGTCATGCGCCACCGCAATCTTTGCTCTCTCTCTCTCCCGCTACTCTCCTCTTCTATCCTATCCTCTCTTCCATCTAATAAATCTTTCTCCCACTTTTCTCCTGACTCTGCCTCTTCGACCCTACTCTCTTCCCTTTCCGCATCCTTTGACTCTCACTGTCCCCTTTCCTCCCAGCCGGCCCAACCTTCCCCTCCCGCTCCGTGGCTGAGTGACTCACTGCATGCTAACAGAACAGGGCTGCGGGCAGCTGAGCGGAAATGGTGGAACACTAAACTTCTGGAGGACCTATCATCCTTCCATACCCTCCTCTCTACCTTCTCTTCCTCTGTATTCACTGCTAAAGCCGCTTTCTATCACTCTAAATGTCAAGCTTCTGCCGCCAACCCTGGGAAACGTTTCTCCTTCTGACACACAGGTGGCGACATGCATTTCTGCGTGCCTGGCAGACATCTCAGCTTGGATATCGGCCCACCACCTCAAGCTCAAACTCGACAAAACGGAGCTGCTCTTCCTCCAGGGGATGACCTGCCCGCTCCAAGACCTCTCCATCACGGTTGACAACTCCACGGTGTCCCACTCCAGGAGTGCAAAGAAGCTTGGTGTGACACTGGACTACAACCTGTCGTTCTCTGCAAAGCAGTGACTCACTCCTGCAGGTTCATGCTCTACAACATCCGTAGAGTCCGACCTTTCCTCACACAGGAAGCGGCGCAGGTCCTAATCCAGGTACTTGTCATCTCCCGTCTAGACTACTGCAACTCTCTGTTGGCTGGGCTCTACGCTTGTGCCATCAAACCCCTACAACTTATCCAGAATGCCGCAGCCCACCTGGTGTTCAACCTTCCAATGTTCTCCCATGTCACCCATTCCTCCGCACACTCCACTGGCTTCCAGTCGAAGCTCGCATCACATTCAAGACCCTGGTGCTTGCCTACGGAGCAGCAAGGGGAACTACACCTCCTTACCTTCAGGCTATGCTCAAACCCTACATCCCAAACCAAGCACTCCGTTCCGCCACCTCTGGTTCTTGGCCCTCCCACCCCTACGGGAGGACAGCTCCCGCTCAGCCCAGTCCAAGCTCTTCTCTATCCTGGCACCCCAATGGTGGAACAAGTTTCCTCCTAAAGTCAGGACAGCGGAGTCCCTTCTTATTTTTTGGGAAAACGTCTGAAACCCTACCTCTTTGAAGAGTATCTTAAATAACTCTCACGGCGCCCCCTACGCCCCCCTCCCAAAAATGTTTACTATTTAAAAAAGGCACTTCTCTTTTCCCACTAGCACTGACTTTGATGATAAATACTTTGTTTAGGGAAAATGTACTTGATACGATTGTGATGTTGTTGTCTCACCTAGCTATCTTAAGATGAATGCACTAATTGTAAGTTGCTCTGGATAAGAGCCTCTGCTAAATGACTAAAATGTAAACATTTTAAATGTAACCAAACACAATTCCATATTTGAAATACAATAAATAGCCTATTAACTTGTCGGAAAGTTAACAAATTATATGTTGGATTGACGTCTCCAACTCAACCAAAAATAAAAGTTAAAGAATGGGCATAAGCCAGTTGCTCAGATGGAAATATCCAAGCAGTAGATCTCCTTTAAATGTTAATATTTGGTTGTGTTGTCAACCAAATACAATTCAATATTACTTTTGTAATACAGTAAATAGCCTAATGTTAAGGCTATCTTACAAACTAATTTAACATTTTACTTCAAATTGAGTAACACATCCATGGCCACATTTTGAGGTTACTGTAACTATACATGTATTTTTATGTAATCATATACAGTGTGCATGTTCAAGATAGCATGCATAGGTCATCACAGGTCTGTGGAGATCTTCACATTTGTGTAATAATCTGTGCAGAATCTCGAATGGCATTGATCACTTGCACTATGTACTTTTAATGTAATCTCAACAGCAATCCAGGTCATTTGGTTCTGCTATTAGATGAAGCACAGCGATAAGTAACACATGTTGTATAAATAAACTAAATATCTGACATTGTATTCCCACTTGAACTTTGCTGTGCTTTTACATGGTTGAATGCACAGTGATAGACATTTGAGTGAAAACTTAACCAAAAATAAGACATTGTCTTTTCATTGGAATTTGGTTGTGCTTTTAGATGGTTGAAAGCATAGTGATAACACATTGGAAATTCAACTAACTTTTGGCTGTCTTTTTGAGTGGGTAAATATAGGTTGTAATCTCATTGATTGTCTCAACCAAATATTACTCTATTATCCACATTGAAATGACGTGCTGTGCACAGTGGGATGAGTCACATAATACCAAACTATTCAAAAACGTACCCCTTCGCGAGCGTATGTCCTAGCCACACAGTCAAAAATCCCCTTGTATTTAACCTGGGTCTGCAGACGCACCTACAGATGGAGTATAATATACATATTATGTGACTTGTCAACAAGTTTTGATTCCTTGGTCTAAATTAGTGGATCTAATCATCAAGTTTGAGTGAGTCCAATACTTGTACCTTCACTGTGTCCATTGGGTGACCAAAAGCCAACCCTACTGCTCCTAGAACATATTCATATACCCCTAGTCAAGTTCAACCTCCATATTCATGCCCAAAAATGTTTTGATACACAAAAATCTATGTTCCCCCTATACATTACCTGAGATGCATCCTGCTATGAATTCCACAAATGGCATTGGTAGGCTTGCTCAGTTGCTTGCTCACACTAAAACAGATCAATTGCAGTGCAACTATCAGTCCCAAGTTAATCAAGGTAGTTGGTATTACAGTCTCTCACCTTGTAACCATCTAGTCAGAAGTCAGCATTGCATTTATGATGATACCTGAATAGCCATTACAGTTTAGGAGTAGGGGAAAATATAAAATTATTAATAATTTTCCCTGATGACATTACCCACTGGGCACAGATGTCAATTCAACGTCTCCACGTTGGTTCAACGTAATTATATTGAAATGATGTGTAAACAACGTTGATTCAACCAGTGTGTGCCCAGTAGGTAGACTCACTAGACTTTAATACAGATTTCACAGCACATGGTTCTGGATCTCCAATAGTGATCTTTGAGCCTGATAGTGCAATCATGGCAATGGTGTGCATGTAGATAGATAGATAGATAGATTTTGGGTTCTATCAAACTAATTGTTTGCAATATTTCTAATTCCCCAATTTAATAATAATAATAATAATAATTCAACCCTACCACCCCTTCCTTGATTGGAGTAAACTAACGGACAACAATAAGTCTTTACTGCTACTTACAGCTATTTTCGCTCACATACAGTACACTTTCATCTTAATTCCAACCCTCAGATGTCCACAAACTAACCAATTTTCCCCAGTACACTACCATTTTACTGTTTCCTTTTGCAAAACATCCTTCTATTTTACTGTGATGTCTTATGAGGTTCTTGAACCTCTGTAATTGTACCGTTTCTACCGAGATTGCCCTAAAAATAAATACTTTACCTAAGAGTGTAATCATATTTCCCATTGATTGATCTTGGTTTTTCAGATCTCCTAACAGTAGGCCTACTGTTTGTAGGTCCATCTGAACACAGACATTATCACTTACACAACAGTTCAAAAGTTTGGGGTCACTTAGAAATGTCCTTGTTTTCAAAAGAAAAGCACATTTTTTGTCCATTAAAAGAACATCAAATTGATCAGAAATACAGTGTAGACATTGTTCATGTTGTAAATGGCTATTGTAGCTGGAAACGGTTGATTTTTAATGGAATATCTACATAGGCGTACAGAGGCCCATTGTCAGCAACCATCAGTCCTGTGTTCCAATGACAAGTTGTGTTTGCTATTCCAAGTTTAACATTTTAAAAGGCTAATTGATAATTAGAAAACCCTTTTGCAATTATGTTTGCACAGCTGAAAACTGTTGTGCTGATTAAAGAAGCAATAAAACTGTCCTTCTTGAGACTAGTTGAGTATTTGGAGCATCAGCAATTGTGGGTTCGATTACAGGCTCAAAATGACCAGAAACAAATAACTTTCTTCTGAAACTCGTCAGTCTATTCTTGTTCTGAGAAATGAAGGCTATTCCATGCGAGAAATTGCCAAGAAACTGAAGATCTCTGTCACGATCGTCGGTAAGAGAGGAGGACCAAGGCGCAGCGTTGAATGCGAACATATTTATTATAGGTGATGCACGGTCAAAACAACAAAAACGATAACGTGACAGTCAACGGTCTAACACAAACCAACTAGAACAAGATCCCACAACTATTGTGGGAAAACAGCCTGTTTAAATGTGGTTTCCCAATCAGAGACAACCAGCCACAGCTGACACTCGTTGCCTCTGATTGAGAACCACACTGGCAACATAGAAAAGAAACAACTAGACCTACAACACAGAAATCTACACACCCTGGCTCAACATAACAGTGTCCCCAGAGCCAGGGCGTGACAGTACTCCCCCCCTAAAGGCGCGGACTCCGACCGCGCCAACCAAATACCACAGGGGAGGGACCGGGTGGGCACTCCGCCTAGGCGGTGGATCCGGCTCCGGGCCTGATCCCCGCTCCAACCCCCCAAAGTACCCCTGGTCCGGTCTGGCCCCGCTGGCCGGAGCTGGACTGCACATTGGTGGAGCGGATTGCTCTAGCTCCGGCGTGAAGCATCTGACCGGTGCCGGACCAGGCACCGGTGGAACAGGCACGGGACTTGCCGGACTGACGACGCACACCACTGGCTTGGTGTGGGGAACAGGCACGGGCCGTGCCGGGCTGACGACGCACACCACTGGCTTGGTGTGGGGAGCAGGAGCGGGCCGGACCGGGCTGGCGATGCACACCACTGGCTTGGTGTGGGGAACAGGCACGGGCCGTGCCGGGCTGACGACGCACACCACTGGCTTGGTGTGGGGAACAGGCAAGGGCCGTGCCGGGCTGACGACGCACACCACTGGCTTGGTGTGGGGGGCAGGAGCGGGCCGAACCGGGCTGGCGATTCGCACCACTGGCTTGGTGTGGGGAACAGGCACGGGCCGTGCCGGGCTGACGACGCACACCACTGGCTTGGTGTGGGGAGCAGGAGCGGGCCGGACCGGGCTGGCGATGCGCACCACTGGCTTGGTGTGGGGAACAGGAGCGGGCCGGACCGGGCTGGAGACTCGCACCATTGGCCTGGTGCGGGGAGCAGGAACAGGCCGGACCGTACTGGGGACACACACCACTGGCCCTACGCAGGGATCTGGAACGGGCCGGACCGGACTGGTAACACACCCCAGTACCCTTCGCCGTGCCTCTACACCTTCCATCCCCTCTTCGACCAGTGGCCCCCGTAACCTGGCGGCCTCCTCTGCCAACCCGCTGGGCCGCTCTGTCGCGGTCTCCTGCTGGCCCGTCGTCCACGGCGTTAGCCCCCCCCTAAAAATGTTATGGGCTTCACTCCTACCCGTGGACCAGGTCTCCATACTTCTCGCCAGCCTTTCGCCCTTCTGCTTCCACGTCAAGCCCCTCTCTTCCTCACCCGGCTTGACCCAGTCGAGGAGGCGCTGGATATCCGCTAGGGTTTTCCCTGGCGATGGCTCCTGGACCCGCTGCTTGGTCCAGTTCTGGTGGGATCTTCTGTCACGATCGTCGGTAAGAGAGGAGGACCAAGGCGCAGCGTTGAATGCGAACATATTTATTATAGGTGATGCACGATCAAAACAACAAAAACGATAACGTGACAGTCAACGGTCTAACACAAACCAACTAGAACAAGATCCCACAACTATTGTGGGAAAACAGCCTGTTTAAATGTGGTTCCCAATCAGAGACAACCAGCCACAGCTGACACTCGTTGCCTCTGATTGAGAACCACACTGGCAACATAGAAAAGAAACAACTAGACCTACAACACAGAAATCTACACACCCTGGCTCAACATAACAGTGTCCCCAGAGCCAGGGCGTGACAATCTCGTACAACGCTGTGTACTACTCCCTTCACAGAACAGCGCAAACTGACTCTAACCAGAATAGAAAGAGGAGTGGGAGGCCCCGGTGCACAACTGAGCAAGAGGACAAATACATTAGAGTGTCTAATTTGAGAAACAGGCGCCTCACAGATCCTCAACTGGCAGCTTCATTAAATAGTCCCCGCAAAACACCAGTCTCAACGTCAACAGTGACGAGGCGACTCCGGGATGCTGACCTTCTAGGCAGAGTTGCAAAGAAAAAGCCATATCTCAGACTGCCCATCTTAATCTTTTATTTTTATTGGCCAGTCTGAGATATGGCTTTTTCTTTGCAACTCTGCCTAGAAGGTCATTTCTCAGAACAAGAATAGACTGACGAGTTTCAGAAGAAAGTTATTTGTTTCTGGCCATTTTGAGCCTGTAATCGAACCCACAATTGCTGATGCTCCAGATACTCAACTAGTCTCAAGAAGGACAGTTTTATTGATTCTTTAATCAGCACAACAGTTTTCAGCTGTGCTAACATAATTGCAAAAGGATTTTCTAATGATCAATTAGCCTTTTAAAATGATAAACTTGGATTAGCAAGCACAATGTGCCACTGGAACACAGGACTGATGGTTGCTGATAATGGGCCTCTGTACACCTATGTAGATATTCCATTAAAAATCTGCCGTTTCCAGCTACAATAGTCATTTACAACATTAACAATGTCTACACTGTATTTCTGATCAATTTGATGTTATTTTAATGGACAAAACTATTGGTTTTCTTTCAAAAACAAGGACATTTCTAAGTGACCGCAAACTTCTTAACGGTAGTGTACCTGTCTCCAAAAGCAAGCCACAGAAGGACAGTACCAAAATAGATAATCTATTGATTCTGTTTCCTCGGGGCAGAGTCTGGACAGGGCTGACTGTTCAATGTCAAGATATTTATTGGAGTCCCATTCTAAATCATTGATAGAAAATATAGGTCGCTAAAGCATATAGCATAGCTTATATATAGCGTGTATATAGCTAGTGATATGCTGCTATTCAACCATTGTGCAAAGTTAATAAACGCACCCATTAGTCTGGAGCAGTAAACCAGTTCAAAATATACAAAATGAATTGGGGCGAACATCCCCGTTGCGTTTTGCGCTTAAAAGAATGAAAGCAAAGCTTTTGAAGAGTAGGGTTGACTAGAAAGTTTGGTCGGTGACCTACACCAGAGAAAGATTTACCTGATTTGAGCGTTACCTCATCGCAGAATACACACCAAAACAAGTTCTATCGGAGTATTATACTTTCTTGATCGACCCGCACTATTATGTGACTGCCTACAACATACCATATCTAAAGGCAAATCGTCTTTGATTCATTTTTTTAGGGTAGGGTTTTGCTGCCCTTTAGCGTAAAAAATGCGCACTGTCCACTATAAAAAAAAAAAAAGTAGTCCACCATAATTTTTTTTATATATGTGCGGACGGGGGGAGACGACGCAACCCGGAGTGCATGAATACAGCCCTTAGCCGTGGTATATTGGCCATATACCACAAACCCCCGAGGTGCCTTATTGCTATTATAAACTGGTTACCAACCAGTGGCGATTTTAGCATGTAAATCTTGGTGGGGCAAAAAATATATATATATGTGGGATGCATGCCAGCTAAGCCACTACACAACACATCACTAAACAATACATTAATTGCACTATAACGGTGACAAACGGTGCCCACAAACTGTTAGGCCCTACATAAAGCTGTCCCAACAGCAGAGTCCCAACAGCAGTCCCAACACCTTACCACTGCCACACCTGCCTATCAGCAGAGCATTGTCTGGCAGCGAAACAGTTAATTCAGCCTCATTTACTGCCTTTAAAAAAAACATAGCTGATATGGCTGACTTGCTTAAACAAATGTGGTTTCTACTGACAATTGAGATGTACAAACTATGGCATAAGGGGAAGACAAGCGGATAAGAGGCAATCCGTAATTTCAATTAAGACATTAATGAGCGAGCTAGGACGGACGTAGTCAATATAACTATTTGTTAAGCACTTTTGAAATGTACAGCGACAGAATTCAGAACATGGGCCGTTCTTACAGTGTTCTCCCTGTACACCAAGTCAGAACTGTAGGATAAATAAAGGGGGCATATAAGCAGACAATGAAAGCTCTTACAATTTTCGATGATTACATTTCTCTAAAACAGGTTATAGGCTACATGTGCACCACCAAGTCAGAACAGTAGGCGAAATTAAGAGGGGAACATATACCAAATTATTAGGGTAAGGCACATGGGCTACTAACAGCTTACTACACAACATACACATAGTATTACTTTCTTAGCTACGGTATACATATCTCCCTGGAATATTACATAATTTATGCAGCAGCATACAATACATTTTTGGACTCACCTTGTTGTGCTCACTTGAACAGGAAGGTGGCGCGGCGGTCCTTAGTGGGCAAATTTTGTCATCAAACTTTCATCAAAGTCTGGCATTCTCTGGATTTATGGTGCTTTCAAGACAACTGGGAACTCTGAAAAAAATAAGGTCGAATCATAAGGACATCAGTGATCTTCAGGTCGTAGCTCTAGAAAGAGGCCGAGTTCCGGATTTACAATTCTGAGTTGAATAACCGTTCAAAACTTATTTTCCCAGTCGGAGCTTGTTTTTCCAGAGTTCCCAGTTGTCTTGAACTCACCGGAGAGCCAAGTCTAGGTCCAAAAGTCTTCTTAACAGATTCTACCCCCAAGCCATAAGACTCCTGAACAGCTAATCATGGCTACCCGAACTATTTGCATTGTCCCCTACACCCCACCCCACCCCCTCTTTTACGCTGCTGCTACTCTGTTTATTATCGATGCATAGTCACTTTAACTCTACCCACATGTACATATTACCTCAATTACCTTGACTAACCGGTGCCCCCGCACATTGACTCTGTACCGGTACCCCCTGTATATAGCCTCCCTACTGTTATTTTATTTTACTGCTGCTCTTTAATTATGTTTTTTAAATTTTTTTACTTATCTATTTTTTACTTAACACTTATTTTCCTTAAAACTGCATTGTTGGTTAAGCATTTCATTGTAAGGTCTGTTGTATTCGGCACATGTGGCTAATAAAATTTGATTAGATTTTATTTGAAGGGGCTTGAATTTTCAAGCTCTACCCTTAGACTTGGTGGTGATGTAGTGTCTCCATGAGTGACAGAACACTGAGCCAATCACGGCGCAACTAGAGAACATTACCAACACCTATGCTCCATATTTTCCGCTGGCTGCCCCACCACCACAGAAAGCACTGAACTAGGCTGAAACACCTTCCATTTTGGAGCTGCCTTACTCAATAAAGCAAGAAATAGACCATGTTTGTATGCAGCTTTATTAACTCAATTATTATTATTATTATTTATTTTTTACATTGTTTGCAAACTGATATGCAACACGTATTAATGCCAAAATAACATGCACATATATATATATATATACAGTACCAGTCAAAAGTTTGGACACACCTACTCATTCAAGGGTTTTTCTATATTTTTTACTATTTTCTACATTGTAGAATAATAGTGAATACATCAAAACTATGAAATAACACATATGGAATCATGTAGTAACCAAAAAAGTGTTAAACAAATCAAAATATATTTTATATTTGAGATTCTTCAAAGTCACTGGACCATTAACACTGGATAATCGCAACTAGCTAGCTGCAACCAAATTAACGTTGTTGTTGGCTAATCAGCCTTGAGCTAGCCTTGAGTTAGGCACATCTCCCGGCTATCTACCTCTCTGTCAACCAGACGGGACCTCCTAGAGTTGACACGGAGCCCTGCAAATCCATCACGACTGGTCTGCCGACGTAATCGTCTGTGGTTTCAACAGGCTTCCCGTTGCGACGACCACGAAGATCCATCTGCTAGCCCCGGCCCGCTAGCACACGCAAACTACAACCGTGCTTCCTGCTCGCTGTGCTGAAGCACCAATTTGAACTGCTCTCGGACTCACGTATTGCTGTTCACTGGACCTTATGATCACTCAGCTGCACAGCTGATGCCTGTTGGACTGTTCCTTTACACGGTACCCTGTCCTGTTTATTCTGTTTAGCCTGAGCCCAAACTTTATCGCCATTACCAGTTGTTGTCTTGGCTCTCTCTAATAACACCTGTGATTGCTTTATGCCTCTCTCCCATGTCAATATGCCTTGCCTATTGCTGTTCCAGTTAGTTCTTGTTATACAATTTCACTGTAGAACCCCAAGTCCCTCTCAAACTGCCTCAAATAGTTCCTTTGTTCCACCCCCCATACACGCCGAGACCGGCTCAATCGGTGCCTCCAGTGATGCTATCTCTTTCATTGTTACCCAACGCTTAGGTTTACCTCCACTGTACTCATATCCTTCCATATCCTTGTCTGTACATAATGCCCTGAATCTTTTCTACAACGCCTGGAAATCTGCCCCCTTTATTCTCTGTACCCAACGCACTAGAAGACCAGTTCTTAAAGCCTTTAGCCGTATCCTTATTCTAGTCCTCCTCTGTTCCTCTGGTGATGTAGAGGCTAACCCAGGCCCTGCAGCCCCCAGTATCACTCCTACTCCCCAGGAGCTATCATTTGTTGACTTCTGTAACCATAAAAGCCTTGGTTTTCTGCACGTTAATATCAGAAGCCTCCTTCCTAAGTTTGAGTTACTCACTGCGTTAGCACACTCCGCCAACCCTGATGTTCTAGCAGTGTCTGAATCCTGGTTTAGGAAGGCCACCAAAAATTCTGAAATGTCCATCCCCAACTACAACATTTTCCATCTAGATAGAACTGCCAAAGGGGGTGGAGTTGCAATCTACTGTAGAGAGAGCCTGCAGAGCTCTATCATACTATCCAGATCTGTGCCCAAACAGTTTGAGCTTCTACTTCTAAAAATCCACCTTTCCAGAAATAAGTCTCTCACTGTTGCCGCTTGCTACAGACCCCCATCAGCCCCCAGCTGTGCCCTGGACACCATATGTGAATTGATTGCCCCCCATTTATCCTCAGAGTTTGTACTGCTTGGTGACCTAAATTGGGATATGCTTAACACCCCGGCCATCCTACAATCCAAACTAGATGCCCTCAATCTCACACAAATTATCAACTAACCTACCAGGTACAACCCTAAATCTGTAAACATGGGCACCCTCATAGATATCATCCTGACTAACTTACCCTCTAAATACACCTCTTTTGTCTTCAACCAGGATCTCAGCGATCACTGCCTTATTGCCTGCGTCCGTAACAGGTCCGCGGTCAAACAACCACCCCTCATCACTGTCAAACGCTCCCTAAAACACTTTAGCGAGCAGGCCTTCCTAATTGACCTGGCCCAGGTATCCTGGATGGATATAGATCTCATCCCGTCAGTAGAGGATGCCTGGTTGTTCTTTAAAAGTAATTTCCTCTCAATCTTTAAATAAACATGCCCCATTCAAAAAATACAGAACTAAGAACAGATATAGCCCCTGGTTCTCCTCAGACTTGACTGCCCTTGACCAGCACAAAAACATCCTGTGGCGTACTGCATTAGCATCAAATAGCCCCTGCGATATGCAACTTTTCAGGGAAGTTAGGAACCAATATACACAAGCAGTTAGGAAAGCAAAGGCTAACTTTTTCAAACAGAAATGTGCATCCTGTAGCACTAACTCCAAAACGTTTTGGGACACTGTAAAGTCCATGGAGAATAAGAGCACTTCCTCCCAGCTGCCCACTGCACTGAGGCTAGGAAACACTATCACCACCGATAAATCTACAATAATCGAGAATTTCAACAAGCATTTTGCTACGGCTGGCCATGCTTTCCACCTGGCTACCACTACCCCGGCCACCAGCTCTGCACCCTCTGCTGCAACTTGCCCATGCCCCCCCCCCCCCGCTTCTCATTCACACAAATTCAGACAGCTGATGTTCTGAAAGAGCTGCAAAATCTGGACCCCTACAAATCATCTGGGCTAGACAATCTGGACCCTTTCTTTCTAAAACTAGCCGCCGAAATTGTCGCAACCCCTATTACTAGCCTGTTCAACCTCTCTTTCGTAACGTCTGAGATCCCCAGAGATTGGAAAGCTGCCGCGGTCATCCCCCTCTTCAAAGGGGGTGACACTCTAGATCCAAACTGTTACAGACCTATATCCATCCTACCCTGCCTTTCGAAAGATTTTGAAAGCCAAGTTAACAAACAGATCACCGACCATTTCGAATCCCACCGTACCTTCTCCGCTATGCAATCCGGTTTCCGAGCTGGTCATGGGTGCACCTCAGCCACGCTCAAGGTCCTAAACAATATTATAACCGCGATCGATAATAGACAGTACTGTGCAGCCGTCTTCATCGACCTGGCCAAGGCTTTCGACTCTGTCAACCACCGCATTCTTATTGGCAGACTAAATAGCCTTGGTTTCTCAAATGACTGCCTCGCCTGGTTCACCAACTACTTCTCAGATAGAGTTCAATGTGTCAAATCGGAGGGCCTGTTGTCTGGACCTATGGCGCTCTCTATGGGGGTGCCACAGGGTTCAATTCTTGGGCCGACTCTTTTCTCTGTGCATATCAATGATGTCGCTCTTGCTGCTGGTGACTCTCAGATCCACCTCTACGCCGACGACACCATTTTGTATACATCTGGCCCTTCATTGGACACTGTGTTAACAAACCTCCAAACGAGCTTCAATGCCATACAACACTCCTTCAGTAGCCTCCAACTTAATCTTAAACACTAGTAAAACTAAATGCATGCTCTTCAATCGAACGCTGCTGGCACCTAATATACATAATGTATATATTTCTATCTAGTAGAGAAATAACCCTGATTTATTTCCAATAGGCTAGACAGAGATTCCCCTATCCCATTCGGCCTATAAGGTGAGTTCAATGGTATTGCTTTTGCTCCAGACACAGTGCCTTTTCATTTTAGCATAATTGCTCACTTATATCTAAACACAGTATAATAGTTAAGCAACATACTACAATTCCAGAACGATAGATGGCGGTAATGTACCATAATAGTTGAGCTGCACAACAACAATTAATATGAACATTTTTACCACAGAACAATGAGACAGATATTTCACTGGATGTATAAATGTGAAGCATCCGCTTGGCGTTTCCACTCACTACCAAATATGGTAGTGAGAGGAAGCCCGATGGCGGGCAGTGGGAGAAGATGGAACGAGATGGATTTGGGCCGACATTCTGCAAATGTTCTCATCGATTAATCATTTGATCTCAATACAGTTTTCTGTTCCCAAAACTAGAATCTGTTATGAAAAGAGTGGACAAAGTTTTGTAGACTTTACCCTTTGCAAAAAATTTTTTTAAATCGCCTTGTTTAGAACGTGCGCAAAGGAGAATTGAGTTATTGCACACGCGCACTGCACAGAGGAGGGGTTTCCTTACGGACATATGCAGATGTAGCTAGTAGAACACACCAATAGGATCTCGCTAGCTCCTGCTTGGCTCTGCCCACCTCCTTGCTTGTTCTGCCCACTATGACTAATTTGTTCCCATTAAAAACGACAGGCTCTGGTCTATCTTGGTTTACTTATAAAACATTTGTTTTTACTGTCTCGACACTTCCGGATTGGGGTTTGGACCGCGGTGGGCGCAGTTCTCCAGAGTTGTCAGTTTGCTGGTAAACTGTTGAAGTTGTTGTGACAAAATACTGAGTTTTTATACTATTTTGTGCACTGTCAATACCACCTCTTCAGTAAAATAAGGTAATTGAATCTCACTGGTTTAGCGCACCGCTGACTTCTTGCTAGGTAGCTAGCTAACATGTTAGCCCTTCGTACGTGAGTTATCTCTGACTTCGCGCAGGGTGCTAGATGTGAAATGTCGCTATCCTGCCAGTCAAAACTAGCTGACTGGCTAACGGTAGCTGTAACTATTTTCTTACGACTAAACAACGACGAGTAAAATCAAAGCCTTGATATTGAATATAATTAGCAGCTAGCAACCAACTTAGCTTCTGAGATGGCTAACGTTAAGTATGTCACAGTGAATTTGCTGGATAACGTTGTTTTTTTGTTTATTTTTTTATAAAAAAAGATGTTTGTGTCCCACACAGATGGAAGGAGATGAGTGTGGGAAGTTTCCTCCAGAACCATCGGAGGGTAAATCACAGAGGGGAAGTGTGGCCTCCTCTGTCACCCGCGGTCAGTAACCTTTTTTCTTTCAGTCTGGTGTTTACAATATAATATTATTTTGTCCCTCTGTGTGTTTCTTATTTGGAAGATGCAAGATGGTGTTTTGCGTCAACTTCCCTCCCTGTGTGTTTTCTCCTACAGCTCAAGATGTGCTTGTGTACCTGGTGGGTGACAGTGCTGTACACCTGTGTGTGGAGGGGGTTGGCTGTGTGAGTGTCCAGGAGCTAGGCCACAGTGTCCGAGAGGCTCTCCACATTCCTGATTCGTCAATGGATGCCTTTGCCTTCTGGCTCTGCTCTCCTCTGCTCGGTAATGACAGCTCTCTCTGTAATGCACCTCCCTTCCTCATCCTCCTCCCCTAGCCCTCAAACAGCTGTGCTGTACATGCTGTTGTTTTAAAATAAACAACTGGGTAATTCTTCATTCATTTGACATTTTGTTGATTTGATCAGGGGCAGGAGGGCTGATTTGTATTACAAAGGAATGTTGTTGTGTCTGAGGCTGGTCTGGTTCATTGTATCATGTATTGGTGAAGATTGTAGAGAGCCCTTGGGCCATAAGCGGAACACTGCCCATTTGTTTGCTTCTCTCTTGAACTGCTGTCTTGCTGGAAGACTGGCATTGTTTGTAAAATATGAAAGAGATCACTACAGCAAAATGAGTGTAGGCCAAGTCTACAGCTTGTGGATATAGTGTGAAAGATTAGCATGCTTTGTCATGCCAAAATTATTTGATCTTTGTTATGCCATGAGAATGTTTATTCATACTTTCATAAATAATGACATTTGGTTGTCTACATCCTGCCTTTTCCTCCTCTCTCAGAACTGCAGTTAAAGCCGAAGCATCAGCCTTACAAACTGTGCCGCCAGTGGCAGGACCTGCTGTATCGCTTCACTGAGGCCTCGGAGGAGGACATATCTCAAGGTGAGACTGCCTGTGTCTCTGTGTGTAGGGATGAGCCTGTTTTTTTTGTAAGCTTTTGTTTCTGTATTTTTAGCAGATTAATATTTTGTCTCCCATCCATGTTATTTTTTCCCCAAATGTTTTATTTTTTCATCCCCACTGCTGAATTCATATTGCTTTGTCAACCTGACCTCCTGTTAACTCTGACCCAACATCGCTAATCCTAAACTGTACATCTGCCATCATATAGAAATGTTCTGGAAACCCTCCACATGCTGTATTCTTTCCGTTTTTTCTCCAGATGAGCCAAGCCTGCAGTACAGAAGGAATGTGTTTTATCCCAAGTCTAAAGAGCTGCAGGTACTGCTTGTTCCATTTTCTCCTTAAACTTAACATGAAGCTGTTGGAAAACATTGTCCTTAATAATATCAGTAAGGTTGTACTGTCAAATGGATACATTATACTTTCCTGGTCGTAGACACATACCCTGAGCACTCTAGCACTGACCCTCAGACAAAAGGTTACGTTTGTTACAAGAATTCCACGGTAACAGAATTGCGCTGAGACACTTAAAATGTATGCTAAACAATCATGCAAACCATACAACTCTAGGCACAAGGACTACTTTTAACAATTTACACTGAACATTTTACAAAACTTTTACTGGAAGAACTGTGCAAATGCTAAGTTTGGTAACAGAATTTCTGTAAAATCTCCCTCTTGTTTTTTTATGTGTCCATGTTTTCCAAATAATTGTGTTAAATATCTGCTCTAAATTAAGATTCAACGATGTCTGCAGAACAAATGGGGTGTCAGCTATGACATGAAACATTGACTTTGAAAAAATCTATTTTGGTTATTGAACTACAGTAGCCTAAGTAAAGTGGATTTACACCCGGTAACAGAATTGTAGTAAACTGAATTTCACAATGAGTCCCTGATCTGTACTATACAGAAATGCATAATTATGGTTATGAATGTAATTCTCTTCATGGTGATGTATCTTAAATAGGTACACAAAGGTATACATATGTAATATCCTCCTTTGCATATTTGGGTATTATTCTACACACTGAAGACTATTTTAATGAGATCTGTCCCTAAACAAGACCAAATTTGGTTGGACTGGACCAAATCTGAACCAAAAGTTTGTACATCAAAGTAAATTACAGTACGTTATAGTGTACTCAACTCTAGTGTGCTCTACGGTGTACTGAACTCTACTCTACTATTCTCTACTTTTCTTTACTGTGCTGTCCAAGCTTGTGAACACAACTCTGGTTTGACTAATAATGATTTTCCATTATAGCCAATTAAATTGCAGAAATTCCATTAACAAATTGGTAATGGCATTTTTTGATTTAATCACTTAATAATTCATAAACAAAATTGATATCAGTAAAAACACTAACTAATTGATAGGTCTACCTTAAGTTGTTACTTCTGGGAACTTTCATTATCCTCCCTCCTCATGAGGGAGAGAAATTAGAAAATATCTTAAAGATATGTGGGGTTTTGGTAATGGAATTTTAAGGCACAAGGCAGTGTTTCATAAACTTACAGAAGGCTGAAAAATGTATCCAAAACTAAATATGTGTTTATTCGTTGGCAGGGGTCTTTACTTCAACATTGTGTTTTAGATTAATTTAATATGCCTTTTTCTGGTAGATGTTTTGTAAGACCCCTTTTCCATTTGTTTGACCAGAAATCAAAGCCATTGCTTATTCTTAATTTTAGGATGGAAAATGGTTTAAAAGTATGTATATGCCTTAATTTCTCAAATATACACTCTTAGCGTTCATTTGACACCCAATTTGAAATGCTCTTATGAACTTCACATGTTGGTGCTCATGGGTCCTTTTACATGGAAATGACCCGAACTCCCCTATTTCTGTTTGGATCCTCCTATATTCCACGTCATTGCATGGTCTTTCCCTCTAGATTGAAGACGAGGGGGTGTTGAGACTCCTTTACGATGAGGCACGGGTTAACATCCTCGCGGGCCGCTTCCCCTGTGACCCTGAGACCTGGACAGGTTTGGGAGCACTGTCTTTTGCTCTGGAGCTGGGGGTCGGTCTGGACCACCAGAAAGCCACTGCTGCTTTAAGGTAAACTATGCCAGGCATTTGAACATCTGCCTCTTGCTGAAGTTATTGTGTAGTGTTTTAAAAAAAAAATTAATAAAAAAAAAATAATACCTGGCTGCATACCCTGATTATTGCCCTTCTTCTCCCAACTCACTCAGGGAGAAGAAGCTGATATCCTTCCTGCCTGCACATGTTTCAGGGGGAGGTGGGGGGCTGTTCTCTACGCTGAGGGGGAAAGGGGGCCGTCAGGCAGGGCTGGAGCACAACCTTTTGGAGGAATATCGCAAGCTCAGCACCTCAGGCAGCACCCCCCTGGAGCCCACTCAGCGTCTACGCCAGTACCTCAGCACATGCCACTCTCTGCCTTACTACGGGTAAGGAACAAGCTGGACAAATGGCCTCAACTGTATGGTGCATGGAACACGTTCACAGTTGTATCTTCTTCATGTGCCACTTGCATCATGTCTCACTGGTGTGAGTTCGATTTTTGTCTGTGCAGGTGTGCTTTCTTCTCGGGTGAGATCGAAAAGCCAGCCCAGGGGATTCTTCATAGAGCAGGACGGAAAGCTGTCAATGTGGGGATCAGTCTGGAGGGGGTGTATGTAATGGACATCAAAGAGAAGGTGAGACCTGGAATGTCAAGTTAAAATGAATGATAACGCCTCTACATAACAAGCAGAATATTACCTATTTTACTGTGTGTGATTTAAGAATTGGCATGAACCAGAGGTATCCTTTATCAATCCAGAAAGACTCTTCACTGAATGATCCAACCCTCTCCCTTTCTGCCTCTCATTCTCTCTGATGCATCCCTACTCCATGACAGCACGTGCTCCTGGGCCTGCGCTTCAGTGAGCTGTCTTGGGACCACAGCTACCCTGAAGGGGAGGGTGACTCACACATCCTGTGGCTCGAATTCGATGGAGAGGAGGCCGGCACCCCTGTCAACAAGTTACTGAAGATCTACTCAAAACAAGTAATGAAACCTAAACATAATTTCTCTATTAAAAAAAATAAGTTCATTGTACTTTTCCTTAGTAGGTGGTCATAGATGTCCTTGAAGTGACCAGAGTTCATTCTATTCTTTATTCCCTCCTTGTACCTCTAGGCAGAGCTTATGAGCGGCCTTATCGAGTTCTGTGTGGAGCTACATTCTGCAGCCGACGGAGGGGCGGCCACGGAAACAGATGGTGATGTCACTGCTGGACAGGCGGGGGGCAGTGACGGAGAAAGGGACGGTCGCCGTGGGAAACTGCACAGGCAGAGCAGTGTGGTGTGCAGTCGGGTCCATACACTGAACACCATCAGCTACGTGGACAACGGTGAGTCTGGGGAGGGGGAATCATGCATGCCATTCATTTAGTCAGTATTAAGCATCCATATACACCAAAAGTATGTGGACACCCCTTCAAATTGGTGGATTCGGCTATTTCAGCCACACCCATTGCTGACAGGTGTATAAAATTGAGCACACAGCCATGCAATCTTCATAGACAAACATTGGTAGTAGAATGGCCCTTACTGAAGAGCTCAGTGACTTTCAACGTGGCACCGTCATAGGATGCCACAACAAGTCAGCTCGTCAAATTTCTGCCCTACTAGAGCTGCCCCTGTCAACTATAAGTGCTGTTATTGTGAAGTGGAAACGTCTAGGAGCAACAACGGCTCAGCCGCAAAGTGGTAGGCCACACAAGCTCACAGAACGGGACCGCCGAGTGCTGAAGCATGTAGCGCGTCTGTCCTCAGTTGCAACACTCACTACCGAGTTCCAAACTGCCTCTGGAAGCAACGTCAGCACAAGAACTGTTCGTCGGCTTCATGAAATGGGTTTCCATGGCCGAGGAGCCGCACACAAGCCTAAGATCACCATGCGCAATGCCAAGCGTCGGCTAGAGTGGTGTAAAGCTCACCGCCATTGAACTCTGGAGCAGTGGAAACGCGTTCTCTGGAGTGATGAATCACGCTTCACCATCTGGCAGTCCGACGGATGAATCTGGGTTTGGCGGATGCCAGGAGAACGCTACCTGCCCCAACTGTAAAGTTTGGATGTGGAATAATGGTCTGGGGCTGTTTTCCGTGGTTCGGGCTAGGCCCCTTAGTTCCAGTGAAGGGAAATCTTAACGCTATGATATTCTAGACGATTCTGTGCTTCCAACTTTGTGGCAACAGTTTGGGGAAGGCCCTTTCCTGTTTCAGCATGACAATGCCTTTGTGCACAAAGGGAGATCCATACAGAAATGGTTTGTCAAGATTGGTGTCGAAGAACTTGACTGGCCTGCACAGAGCCCTGACCTCAACGCCATCGAACACCTTTGGGATGAATTGGAACGCCGACTGCGAGCCAGGCCTAATCGCCCAACATCAGTGCCCAACCTCACTAGCGCTCTTATGGCTGAATGGAAGCAAGTCCCCGCAGCAATGTTCCAACATCTAGTGAAAAGCCTTCCCAGAAGAGTGGAGGCTGTTATAGCAGCAAAGGGGGGACCAACTCCATATTAATGCCCATGATTTTGGAATGAGATGTCCAACGAGTAGGTGTCCACATACCTTTAGCCATGAAGTGTAAGTTTCACTTGTTTGATATCAGGTAAGGTTGTAAAACTAACTGTTAAATGTATTTGTTGTCCTCCGGGCAGGTAAAGAAATCAAACGTCTGAAGCCAAAGAGAGCTGCTTCCTTCTTCACCAGGCAGGCACAACCACCCACATATTCTGCAGTACAGGTGGAAGAGAGTTTGGAGCAAGGGTGAGCCTCCATCTCCGGTATAGGCACTGCTCTATGCTAACTGGAGACCAAAACTGAACATGCACATTGAGATTGAGAGAGAGAAAAAGATATGCAAGGAGTTGGAGAGTTTATCTTGTTGTTTGTGAAAATACAATGGACCAAGAGTGGGATTTAAGTGTGAATAAATATTTATGCATAATTGTTGTGTATATGAAGTTACATGAGAATATTGGCATTCTTTAGGTGCTGCAAAGTGACGTTGAGTGTCGTTGCTTCACAGGTCAAGTTGAACCGGCTACCTATTGGTAGAAGTTGTAGTTTAATATGAAACTGTTGAGTAGTGGTAACATTCACAGTAGCACCACCTTGTATCTTTACCCTTGTGATAGGGGACCTTTATTACTGTTCTCCCTCAGATGGAATGTATGTACTATGACTACATACAGTATCATCCATTGAGATGTATGCAACACTCTTGGAAACCAAACAACACAGGGCATTGTATTGTCTAACAGGAGGGCGATATTGAAGGCTCTGCAACTATATCTTGTTCAAACCTCAGTCTTTGTTCCAAAACAAACATTTATCTTGTGGTAGTCTATGCTACTCTGTGCTAAACACTCAGTCTCTCATGGTCATCATGGACTGTATCTGCGTCCTCCTCCCAGAAATGACAAGGTCAACCATTCTCCATATTCCAGACTGCACCCTTATCCAAGTGGTTTCAGATTCCATGTTTTGTTATTGTTATATTGTACAACATGCAAGAGCAGCTTGACTTAGGAGCTGTCCATTCAAGAAGAGTTTCCTGATGACACTTCTCCTGCTGGCCTCTCCTCAGTGTGTCAGTATGAGAGGAGCGATTCTACTGTATATCTTTGTATGAACACTAAATTGCATCAAACTGAAGAATGTGGTTTCCACTGTTAGAACTGATATTGTCAATTATGCAAACGGGATCAAAAAACAAAATGGTCGAATTAATTGTTCCTAAGTCAAGCTATGTATTCATGTTGTATTATTTTAAAACGATTGTAGTGTACTCACTTGCTTTATGTGCACGTGACTCAATATCTTAAGACTGCACTGTTTATCTGAAATACTGTAGCGTTTTTACATTTGGTAATTATTTTGTATTATTATTGGAGTAATACCTTATCTTTTGACTCTCATACACCTATCTCTGTCTTTCTCACACAAATTAGACAATAGGTAATTTGAAACCTTATTATTTTTCAATGCAGTTGCTGTATAAAAAGACCAAGTGCCTTTTGTTTCAGTAATAATTTGGCCATTGAGACTAACCTGGTATTTATGTGGGCTTGTTTGTCTGTTAAACATGATCAGCAGAATGTTGCTGTATTCATTTTATCTGCTCTGTTTGCTATACATTTACACGACTTCTTGTTGTGTGTACACATTGAGACTGTCAAATATATCAAACCCTTTAACTTCACTGTTTTCGTTCCTTTGTCATTTATATAATGTGCACTACCAAACTAAACCAGTGGCTGTAGGTTTAGTCAAACCCATAAAACCTTTTTATTCAGCTTTGTACTGTTTTGACAAAACAGTGAGGGAAAACTAATGAGATTTTTATATTGTTTTTATTTGAAACAACTATCAAAGTTTTTGCATTTTCTTTTTACAATAAAAACATTTGTCCATATTTGAGTCTTAGTGTCTTGATCTTGTGTTCCTTGAGTACTTGCTGCCACCTACTGGCTCGTGTTCACGAGCTTCTCATCGTGACAGTACGGTAATTTATCTTGCAGGTTTGGTAGTGACGGGGTGCATAGCTGGTTGTCTGTTTAGGTGGCTGTCAGTTGTATTTAGCTAGCTATTCTTTGGTCTGTTTTGCAATTCACAGCAATTTCGCCGGTATTCGGTCGAAATGGACGGGGATATTAATGCTACGGCTCCGGCCACCACCCCACCTGACTCCGACCCAGCGCGGAAGCGCAGAGTACACGGTATGTTGAAGCTGTACTATGGGCTGAACGAGGAAGGAAAGACCGTGGATCAAGCAGAGTCAATGGATCCTTGCGATATAAACGGGCCGCATTTCGATCCTGAGATTTATCTCAATAAGGTAAAATCAAATTTCTGTGTCTGGATGCGACATATATAGTTCGCTATTATCTGAACATAAGACAGTGGCAAAGGATTGTTATTATTTTACAGTACGAGAGAGCCAATGCCAACTTCTTGTCTGTCATTGGTGTCACCCAGTGGTGTATATAAACCAAACCCAGGATTGCTGATGTTATGTATTGGCCAATGAGAGGCTTTGAAGCCACTGGTCGGCCATATTGGCACTCCCCAGCAGGAGCAGTCCTCCATAGGAAAAAATATAATTCTACAGTATTTCAATTAAACGTTTTATTTAAAAAATGACATGTATTTAAGTAAGATTATAACTTTCCAAAAAGTATACTTTAAGGAAAATGTTTGTATATATTAATCCATAATATAATTTAAAAGTATGCATTAAGGTGTCTGTAGTAGAATAAACGTGGCATAAATAAATGCATTTATATAACTTCCAAAATATGTTTTACAATGGTGGAGGATAGTGGTGTGGTGGTTTCAAAACACCTGTCATCTAGTGTATATATAAATTATTGGTGTCACCCAGGTAGTACAGTACATTTTACATTTTACATTTTAGTCATTTAGCAGACGCTCTTATCCAGAGCGACTTACAGTTAGTGAATACATATATATTTTTTTATACTGGCCCCCCGTGGGAATCGAACCCACAACCCTGGCGTTGCAAACGCCATGCTCTATCAACTGAGCTACATCCCTGCCGGCCATTCCCTCCCCTACCCTGGACGACGCTGGGCCAATTGTGCGCCGCCCATGAGTCTCCCGGTCGCGGCCGGCTGCGACAGAGCCTGGATTCGAACCAGGATCTCTAGTGGCACAGTTAGCACTGCGATGCAGTAGCAGTCTGTTGTCTTGGAAACTGACCTTTGAGTCCTATTGATGTCTGCAGCTCAGGAGAGAATGTTCCCTTGGAGAGCTGATGGACCAGGAGAGCTGCATGGTCAAGCAGATCCGCTCCTTGGACAGTGACATGCAGACATTGGTGTATGAGAACTACAACAAGTTCATCTCTGCCACAGGTAATACAATAGGTGATAGTGTATGCAATGTCATGTTGGTATCACTCTGTTCTGTGCACATACAGTACCATGTGATGAATGAATGCCCTCATCTTCTCCTACTAGACACAATAAGAAAAATGAAGAACGATTTTAAGAAGATGGAGGATGAAATGGACTGTCTCTCTACCAACATGGCTTCTATCACAGATTTCAGTGCACGCATCAGTGGGACTCTTCAGGACCAGCATGCACAGATCACCAAACTGTCAGGTTGGTAATGAAACCCGTGGTGACATGCCTCCACCGCCTGAAATGAAAACCAGATAAACAAATCGCATTTGTTGGTCATATATCTATCATTGTAAGATTACTTGTGTGGACTGTGAACCACTTCATAATATGCTACTACCAATGATGTATATAAACCCTAGATTGCCGACGCTATGTATTGGCCATTGAGAGACTTTGAAGTGACCAGTTGGCCATAATGGTACTCCTCAGTTGGAGCAGTCCTCCATAGGAATTAATGGAATTCTACAGTATTTTAATTAAATGTTTAAATGACAAAAGTACATGTATTTAAGTATTTTTTGTTGTAGTGGGGACGGGAATAATAGTACTCTAAAAAAAATATACTTTAATGAAAAAGTTTTTATATACATTTATTCATTTTTTTAAAAAAGTTTCGCTCACATAATATAATTTAAAAGTATGCATTTAGGTGTCAGTAATATAATAAATGTGTCAATAACGAATGTAGACATTAATACATTCATTTATATAGCTTCCAAAATGTTTTTTACTATGGAGGAGGTGTACCAAGATGGCTGCGCAGGGTCTTCAATACAGCGCCCCCTGTCAGTCATCTAGGGTTTATTCACGTTATTGGCTACTATGGTGTTAGCCCAATTCAGATATTTTTTCCACTAATTGGCCCTTTGACCAATCAGATCAGCTCTGAAAAAAATGTGATTGGTCAAAAGACCAATTAGTGGAAAAAATATGAGAATTGGGCGGCCTGTCTAAATGCAGCCTACTTATAGCTTTTCCTTTCTCTCCCTCCACCCACCCAGGAGTCCACACTCTCCTGAGGAAGCTGCAGTTCCTGTTTGAGCTGCCTGCCAGGCTGAATAAGTGCCTGGAGCTGCAGGCCTATGCCCAGGCAGTGAGCTCCCATCGCCGTGCCCGCTGCGTGCTGCAGCAGTACAGCCACATGCCCTCCTTCAGGGGCATCCAGGATGACTGTCATGACATCATGGACAAGTTGGCACAGGAGCTTAGGCAGAAATTCAGGTAGGAGTCTCAGGAAACGTTCAGTTGGTATTCACTTTGGTATGGTTGCAAAACAATGGTATTTTCATTTTCATTTCTGGTTCATATTATATACAGTGGGGAGAACAAGTATTTGATACACTGCCGAATTTGCAGGTTTTCCTACTTACAAAGCATGTAGAGGTCTGTAATTTTTATCATAGGTACACTTCAACTGTGAGAGACGGAATCTAAAACAAAAATCCAGAAAATCACATTGTATGATTTTTAAGTAATTAATTTGCATTTTATTGCATGACATAAGTATTTGATACATCAGAAAAGCAGAACTTAATATTTGGTACAGAAACCTTTGTTTGCAATTACAGAGATCATACGTTTCCTGGAGGTCTTGACTAGGTTTGCACACACTGCAGCAGGGATTTTGGCCCACTCCTCCATACAGACCTTTTCCAGATCCTTCAGGTTTCGGGGCTGTCGCTGGGCAATATGGACTTTCAGCTCCCTCCAAAGATTTTCTATTGGGTTCAGGTCTGGAGACTGGCTAGGCCACTCCAGGACCTTGAGATGCTTCTTACGGAGCCACTCCTTAGTTGCCCTGGCTGTGTGTTTCGGGTCGTTGTCATGCTGGAAGACCCAGCCACGACCCATCTTCAATGCTCTTACTGAGGGAAGGAGGTTGTTGGCCAAGATCTCGCGATACATGGCCCCATCCATCCTCTCCTCAATATGGTGCAGTCGTCCTGTCACCTTTGCAGAAAAGCATCCCCAAAGAATTATGTTTCCACCTCCATGCTTCACGGTTGGGATGGTGTTCTTGGGGTTGTACTCATCCTTCTTCTTCCTCCAAACACAGCGAGTGGAGTTTAGACCAAAAATATATATTTTTGTCTCATCAGACCACATGACCTTCTCCCATTCCTCCTCTGGATCATCCAGATGGTCATTGGCAAACTTCAGACGGGCCTGGACATGCGCTGGCTTGAGCAGGGGGACCTTGCGTGCGCTGCAGGATTTTAATCCATGACAGCGTAGTGTGTTACTAATGGTTTTCTTTGAGACTGTGGTCCCAGCTCTCTTTAGGTCATTGACCAGGTCCTGTCGTGTAGTTCTGGGCTGATCCCTCACCTTCCTCATGATCATTGATGCCCCACGAGGTGAGATCTTGCATGGAGCCCCAGACCGAGGGTGATTGACCGTCATCTTGAACTTCTTCCATTTTCAAATAATTGCGCCAACAGTTGTTGCCTTCTCACCAAGCTGCTTGCCTATTGTCCTGTAGCCCATCCCAGCCTTGTGCAGGTCTACAATTGTATCCCTGATGTCCTTACACAGCTCTCTGGTCTTGGCCATTGTGGAGAGGTTGGAGTCTGTTTGATTGAGTGTGTGGACAGGTGTCTTTTATACAGGTAACGAGTTCAAACAGGTGCAGTTAATACAGGTAATGAGTGGAGAACAGGTGGGCTTCTTAAAGAAAAACTAACAGGTCTGTGAGAGCCGGAATTCTTACTGGTTGGTAGGTGATCAAATACTTATGTCATGCAATAAAATGCAAATTAATTACTTAAAAATCATACAATGTGATTTTCTGGATTTTTGTTTTAGATTCCGTCTTTCACAGTTGAAGTGTACCTATGATAAAAATTACAGACCTCTACATGCTTTGTAAGTAGGAAAACCTGCAAAATCGGCAGTGTATCAAATACTTGTTCTCCCCACTGTATCAGTAGCTAGGTTTCCATCCACTTAAAGAAAAAATTCGCATTTTCCCACCAGTGGTGTGTTTCCACCAAACTGACTTGTTGCGGATAAAAACTCAGTGCTTGATGACGTAGTGCACACAAAATGTGTATTTTTCACTAGTTTTCATGTACCAAATAAAAATATGCGTTTCTATCGTATTTCCAGCTCTACCGATAGTTTTGTCACAAAAACTGTTTCGTTAAATAGCAAATGTGCCTTCTCTGGTCTTGGCACATGCGCTCTAGCCAACAGCTGGCAGATACAGTGCGGTTGATGAGATTTATGGATACGAGTGAGAATATTTGTATTTGTCAAACGGCAGTCAAGCATCGATCATCATGTCAAGAAGACCCTCGATATTTATTGGAAAGGAGCATCAAGCTTGTCACCGTGCACTTTCACCACCCTGTGAAGTTCATCAAAACTTATTTCATCTGTAGCCTAATAAACTGCATGGTTTCCCGAGTCGTAGTGGGAGGACCACACACACCATATCATCGCGTGACTCCAAATTTACTTCGATATGATGGTTATTATATCAATATTTGCGCATAAAGGCATTTCCACCGCCATTTCTCACATAATTAATTTTAATTAACAAAAAGATCCTACCATGTCGAACAAACAAATTATCTGTCGCCATTTATAAAATGTAATCGAAACTTCCTGTTTCCATCACAGCTGTCTTGATTTTTTTTTTGTACGGTATGACTTTATTCGCATAACAACTGTGGATGGAAACGTGGTTAATAATACACTATAACTTTGCATGAATGCCTTATCTTTGTTTGGTGTTGTATGTGTTTGCAGAGATGGAGGTTCGAGTGCGAAAGACCTTTCAGAGTGTGTGGAGCTTCTGCTGCAGCTGGATGAGCCGGCAGAGGAACTCTGTGACAAGTTCCTGAGTCACGCCCAGTCACGACTGGAAGCAGACCTCCTAGGACTGGAGGCGGAGCTGAGACCACCATTGTCCTCTGGACCCACAGCAGTGATGGCTCCCTACACTGGCCCCACCCGCATACTGTCAGCTGAACCCACTGCTGGATCTCCCACTGACCCCACCTCTCTAAACAATCCCTTTCTCTCTCCCAGCTCAAGGACTGATATTCTGGAATTCATAGACAGAGGTTGCAATGAATTCGTCAGCAGCCTTTGCTTGGTCATTGCCTCGTATCAAGAGTTGTTTGTCAACCGTCCACAAGAGGGTGAGCTGGCCTCCAAAAACATCCCCCAGATGGCTGTTGGCAAGCTGCATGCTTTTGTGGATGCCCTGGCCACCCGTTACTTCTCCCTGGTTGAGAGGAGGATACAGGAGGAGAAAAGTGTTGGAGACAACTCTCTCTTGGTCCGGGCTCTGGACCGTTTCCACCGCAGGCTCCAGGCTGTGGCCAAACTGCTGCCTGGGTCTGCTGTGCCCAGCCAGGGGACTGAGATCGTGGTGCGAGCAGCCAGGGAGAGGATCAAGCAGTACCTGGCAGCCCTGCAGAGCTTCTACCTGAACAGCCTGACAGACGTGAGGCAGGCCCTAGCAGCCCCTCGGCTGGGTGGAAGCTCAGCCGGAGGTGGGTCTCACCTAGGGGGACCAGCCACTGGGAAAGATGCTCCGGCCAGCTTGCCAGAGCTCCTCTCCTCTCTGTCTGCCTCCATTCTCAATCAGATCAAGTCAGTCCTGGCATCCGTGCACCTCTTTACTGCAAAGGACATCACCTTCTCCAACAAGCCTTACTTCAAGGTGAGCTAGATGAATATTCATGCTATTGGTGGTTAGTTGGCCCCATAGATGTTTTTTAATGCCATTTATGTAACTAACTGTATGTTAACATCGACAGCCCTGTTGGATCTTTTTCTCCTCGCTCTCTTTCTTCAGGGGGAGTTTTGTAGCCACGGTGTGCGTGAGAGCCTGGTGGTTAACTTCATTAAGTTTGTGTGCCAGTCCTCACGTCAGTTCTGTGAGAGTGCAGGAGACCGGGGCGGCTCTACACCCCCTGCTCTCCTACTCCTGCTGTCACGCCTCTGCCTGGACTATGAAACCTCCACCATCTCCTACATCCTCACCCTTACAGACGAACAGTTCCTCGTGCAGGTAAATGTGCCAATGAACCTGTGAAGACTTGTTAGAAAATAATGTGCAAATGATAAGTCCTCTTTTGTCATGAGAAATGTGTATCACATGCTACTACACAGCCTCTGGTTTCTCTCGTGTTCACAGCATCACTCTCCTGTAACTGCAGTCACAGCTTTATGTGGAGAGGCCAGAGAGGCAGCACAGAAGCTACTGAATCATTATGTCAAGGTACACATTTTCCGACCTTCTTACCAACAAATTACTATTGCTGCAAATGGCCATTTCAGGCCTATTCCTTCTATTTCTCTGCAGACCCCTTCTCTGTTGCTGTGGACAGGTTCAGGGCCTAATCATATCACAGATGCTGAGAAAGAGTGTGGAGACACGAGACTGGGTCAACACCATCGAGCCACGGAACGTCCGTGCTGTGATGAAGAGAGTGGTGGAGGACACCACCTCTATCGATGTGCAGGTAACGTCCGTTATCTACAGTGCATTCTGAAAGTATTCAGACCCCTTGAATTTTTCCACATTTTGTTACGTTACAGCCTTATTCTAAAATGGATTAAATTGTTTTTTCCCCTCATCAATCTACATACAATACCCCATAATGACAAAGCAAAAATACGGAAATATTACATTTACATAAGTATTCAGACCCTTTACTCAGTACTTTGTTGAAGCACCTTTGGCAGCGATTACAGCCTCGAGTCTTCTTGGGTATGACGCTACAAGCTTGGCACACCTGTATTTGGGGAGTTTATCCCATTCTTCTCTGCAGATCCTCTCAAGATCTGTCAGGTTGGATGGGGAGCGTTGCTGCACAGCTATTTTCAGGTCTCTCCAGAGATGTTCAATCGGGTTCAAGTCCAGGCTCCGGCTGGGCCACTCAAAGACATTCAGAGACTTGTTCCGAAGCCACTCCTGCGTTGTCTTGGCTGTGTGCTTAGGGTCGTTGTCCTGTTGGAAGGTAAACCTTTACCCCAGTCTGAGGTCCTGAGCGCTCTGGAGCAGGTTTTCATCAAGGATCTCTCTGTACTTTGCTCCATTCATCTTTGCCTCGATCCTGACTAGTCTCCCAGTCCCTGCCACTGAAAAACATCCCCACAGCATGATGCTGCCACCACCATGCTTCACTGTAGGGATGGTGCCAGGTTTCCTCCAGACGTGACGCTTGGCATTCAGGCCAAAGAGTTCAATCTTGGTTTCATTAGACCAGAGAATCTTGTTTCTCATGGTCTGAGAGTCTTTAGGTGCCTTTTGGCAAATTCCAAGCGGGCTGTCATGTGCCTTTTACTGAGGAGTGGCTTCCGTCTGGCCACTCTACCATAAAGGCCTGATTGGTGGAGTGCTCTAAAGATGGTTGTCCTTCTGTAAGGTTCTCCCATCTCCACAGAGGAACTCTAGAGCTCTGTCAGAGTGTCCATCAGGTTCTTGATCACCTCCCTGACCAAGGCCCTTCTCCCCCGATTGCTCAGTTTGGCCGGGCGGCCAGCTCTAGGAAGAGTCTTGGTGGTTCCAAACTTCTTCCATTTAAGAATGATGGAGGCCACTGTGTTCTTGGGGACCTTCAATGCTGCAGACATTTTTTGGTACCCTTCCCCAGATCTGTGCCTCAACACAATCCTGTCTCTGAGCTCTAAGGACAATTCCTTGGTTTTTGCTCTGACATGCACTGTCAACTGTGGGACCTTATATAGACAGGTGTGTGCCTTTCCAAATCATGTCCAGTCAATTGAATTTACCACAGGTGGACTCAAATCAAGTTGTAGAAACATCTCAAGGATGATCAATGGAAACAGGATGCACCTGAGCTCAATTTCGAGTCTCATAGCGAAGGGTCTGAATACTTATGTAAATAAGGTTTTTCTGTTTTTTATTTTTAATACATTTGCAAAAATTTCGAAAAACCAGTTTTTGCTTTGTCATTATGGGGTATTGTGTGTAGAATGCTGAGGATATATTTTTTTAAAATCCATTTTAGAATAAGGCTGTAACGTAACAAAGTGGAAAATGTCAAGGGGTCTGAATACTTTCCAAAGGCATTGTATATAAAACCCTTTGGTAATCATGCTTTACAATGTGGGAAAACTGTAATTACTGTATAATTGTGAGTGGACAAAAGCAACATCAGTGATATGTCCTTCCTTCCCTGTGTTGCCCTACAGGTGGGTCTTCTCTACGAGGAGGGGGTGAGGAAAGCCCACAGCAGTGACTCCAGCAAAAGGACCTTCTCCGTCTATAGCAGTTCGAGGCAGCAAACCCGCTACGCCCCTAGCTACACACCTAGGTACCAGAACTACAGTTGCCTAACACACAAGATGTTTATAATAACATAATATACACATAATAACTGCATCACAATGTGTGGAGGTTTGGCAGAGGCAGGGTCAGTCTAATGTTAGTATTGTTGCTATCTTCCCCAATGGATAAAGATTAAGAATGGTTTTGTCTCTCTGCAGTGCTCCTATGGATACCAATCTCCTGAGTAACATACACAAGCTCTTCTCTGAGCGGGTCGAAATATTCAGTCCTGTGGAGTTTAACAAGGTGGGTAGTGAGTGTTTTGGACACAGAGCTCTGGTTGCCTTTTTATTTCCTCAACTCTTTCTGTCTTGATCTCTTCTCTCAGGTCTCTGTGTTGACGGGGATCATAAAGATCAGTCTGAAGACTTTCCTGGAGTGTGTCCGCCTGCGTACCTTTGGTCGTTACGGCCTGCAGCAGATCCAGGTGGACTGCCACTACCTGCAGATGTACCTGTGGCGCTTCGTCTCCGATGAGAACCTGGTCCACTTCCTGCTCGACGAGATAGTGGGCAGCACTGCCCACCGCTGCCTGGACCCCGCTCCCATGGAGCAGAGCGTCATCGAGGTCATCTGTGAGAGAGGTTAAAGGCTAGAGGTCACATTGGTTGAGGAACTGGTGAAATGTGATGGTGAAATTGAATAGTGTGTAACAGAGTTTAAAACCGAAAAAATACCTTGAAGTCAACTGAACTGGAAGATTGAACAAATAGGTATTTTGCTGGATACACTGGATTCCCATTATGTAAATGTGGGATCAGGAGGTTACTTACTATTGCTGCGTTTAGACAGCCAGACCAATTCTGATCTTTAATTGGTCTTTTTACCAATCAGATCAGCTCTGAAAAAGATCTGATGTGAAATAACCTAATGTGGCAGGTGTAAAAAGACGCCTGAGCGGAGTTCCCACATCCGTTTTTCAGTTTTGGTTACAAATATTGTATCCCTGAAAAACGGGAAAAATCCACTTTGTACCTACCCTGTGGATGTGAAAATATCTGATGTGATTGGTCAAAAGACCAATTAGTGGAAAAAAATATCTGAATTGGTCCGCCTGTCTAAATGATGATGATGATGTTTGGGTGGAGTGCATCTATAATCATTTGTTTGTTAATTACTAAAATTGTAACATGGTAATATGGTGTAATAAAAAAAAGTTCCATTCATAAACAGATGTAGTACTGAGTTGCCTCTCCTGCCTTCAAGGACATGTGATCTCTATTCTTTCTCTTGTTCTCCCTTTTGCACACTTAATTCTGCGGACTAAATTATAATGATTGTGTTACAATTATTAATCTCTGTAAAGTATGCAATATAAAGTGTCTGTATTCCAAGTAGTATTTGTGTTTAAATTTATTTTTGAATCATGATTGATTGATTGATCCTAGTTTGAATCAATGACTGGAATCATTGGGAATAATGTTTGCGGAGGTGTAGCGTAAGTACTTCCTCAAATTTCATAAGCAAGAGTCCCGTCTCTAGCAACCAATAAGCGCGCAGTAGAGTTAAAAGGTGTACAGTAGAAATTTGACCATCACTTTTCTCTGCCGTATGATAAAGGTGGTCACCGCCCTAGCGTAAATTTGATTGGTTTAACACTCTCCTCTCCACGCTCTTCTGATGACCATGGCTTAATCTCATTGGTTTAGAGATGGGACATGTTCAGATGGGCTAATTTGGGGTGGTTCGATGCGCGCGTTCTTATCGTCGCACTGTGCTTATTGTTTGGAGTACGCATACATGAGGAATTCAGGTGAGTGACGCTAGAAATTATGCTACGATGAAAAATCCTTAAATATTGTTGGTTTACGTCCAACGCAAAACGGTTTACTGTTGCTGGTATCTATTAAAGCGCATGTAATAGTTTTTCTGTAATATAAACTGTCTATGTTGTATAACCTGTCTATGACTATGGTAATTCAATCGAATCGTGTCCTTATTACGCTAGAGAATAACTATTTAGGCTCTGAGTTATGTTTTTATTTCTCAACATAAACAATACAGTATGACATTATAGTCTGTCACTATAGTCTATACTAGTCCAGATGCATTCAGAGGCTCCGAAATGGAGCCGCCTATACACATTTCTCTTTAGCATGCTCTCTACCAGTGTCCTCCTTTTAAAATGCTCACAGGAGACAGATCATGAAGCTCAACAAACAAAAATCCTCACAAGCAGAAAGGGAATTTGGAGGGACTTTGGGTGAGTAAAATAGTGTGTGTTTTATTAAAAATAATACTAATTTTGAATGTTAATTTTAAAAAGGGATATTGTGCAATCCCATCTCGCCCCCACTCAGTCAGTCTCCTCAACTCACCTCACTTATTTGGTCTCTCTTCCTCTTCTCCCCTGAAGGTGCCACCTGCATCCCTGTCTTCCTGCCCCTGACGGTGCTTTACCTGCTGTGTGTATGTCGCTCCCCTGCGGCCAGCGTGCTCCAGTGGCCCCCTGTCCTGCCCCCCACAGCCCAGCTATGGGACCCGTTGGCCCCTGTTCTCATACTGGGCTGGATGGCCCTCCAGAGCTTCCTTTACCTGCTGCCTATGGGGAAGGTGAGACCAGCTGTTAATTATGAATACCTTTGAGTTCTTGTCGATTGACTGTGTTGTCATGTGAGGTTTGGCTGATATACAGTGGGGAAAAAAGTATTTAGTCAGCCACCAATTGTGCAAGTTCTCCCACTTAAAAAGATGAGAGAGGCCTGTAATTTTCATAATAGGTACACGTCAACTATGACAGACAAAATGAGGGAAAAAAATCCAGAAAATCACATTGTAGGATTTTAAATACATTTATTTGCAAATTATGGTGGAAAATAAGTATTTGGTCAATAACAAAAGTTGCTCAATACTTTGTTATATACCCTTTGTTGGCAATGACACAGGTCAAACGTTTTCTGTAAGTCTTCACAAGGTTTTCACACACTGTTGCTAGTATTTTGGCCCATTCCTCCATGCAGATCTCCTCTAGAGCAGTGATGTTTTGGGGCTGTCGCTGGGCAACACGGACTTTCAACTCCCTCCAAAGATTTTCTATGGGGTTGAGATCTGGAGACTGGCTAGGCCACTCCAGGACCTTGAAATGCTTCTTACGAAGCCACTCCTTTGTTGCCCAGGCGGTGTGTTTGGGATCATTGTCATGCTGAAAGACCCAGCCAAAATCTCACGATACATGGCCCCATTCATTCTTTCCTTTACACGGATCAGTCGTCCTGGTCCCTTTGCAGAAAAACAGCCCCAAAGCATGATGTTTCCACCCCCATGCTTCACATTAGGTATGGTTTGGATGCAAATCAGCATTCTTTGTCCTCCAAACATGACGAGTTGAGTTTTTACCAAAAAGTTATATTTTGGTTTCATCTGACCATATGACATTCTCCCAATCCTCTTCTGGATCATCCAAATGCACTCTAGCAAACTTCAGACGGGCCTGGACATGTACTGGCTTAAGCAGGGGGACACGTCTCGCACTGCAGGATTTGAGTCCCTGGCGGCGTAGTGTGTTACTGATGGTAGGCTTTGTTACTTTGGTCCCAGCTCTCTGCAGGTCATTCACCGTGTGGTTCTGGGATTTTTGCTCACCGTTCTTGTGATCATTTTGACCCCACGGGGTGAGATCTTGCGTGGAGCCCCAGATCGAGGGAGATTATCAGTGGTCTTGTATGTCTTCCATTTCCTAATAATTGCTCCCACAGTTGATTTCTTCAAACCAAGCTGCTTACCTATTGCAGATTCAGTCTTCCCAGCCTGGTGCAGGTCTACAATTTTGTTTTTGGAGTCCTTTGACAGCTCTTTGGTCTTGGCCATAGTGGAGTTTGGAGTGTGACTGTTTGAGGTTGTGGACAGGTGTCTTTTATACTGATAACAAGTTCAAACAGGTGCCATTAATACAGGTAACGAGTGGAGGACAGAGGAGCCTCTTAAAGAAGAAGTTACAGGTCTGTGAGAGCCAGAAATCTTGCTTGTTTGTAGGTGACCAAATACTTATTTTCCACCATAATTTGCAAATAAATTCATAAAAAATCCTACAATGTGATTTTCTGGATTTTTTTTCCTCAATTTGTCTGTCATAGTTGACGTGTACCTATGATGAAAATTACAGGCCTCTCTCATCTTTTTAAGTGGGAGAACTTGCACAATTGGTGGCTGACTAAATACTTTTTTTCCCCACTGTACATGTCTCTGTCTTACCTGCAGCTGTCTGAGGGGATGGTGCTGAAAGATGGATCGAGACTCAAGTACCCCATAAACGGTATTGTAGGGTTGGCGGGTGCAATAGAGCTCGCCAGCTTGTAGTCCTAAATGAGTTACCTCTGGTTCGTTCAGCCATTCCTATGGGGAAAATTAATGGAGAAAGAATAGGTTTTTGTGATAAATGCTGAAAATAAGGTCTGAGGTTAACACAGGCTTGGGAGATCTCATACGTTTTGTTCTATGAGATAATATCAGTCAGTAGGCCTCCTGTAGCTCAGTTGGTAGAGCATGGCGCTTGCAACGCCAGTGTTGTGGGTTCGATTCCCACGGAGGGCCAGTATGAAAAAAAAAAAGTATGAAAAATTTATGCACTCACTAACTGTAAATCGCTCTGGATAAGAGCATCTGCTAAATGACTAAAATGTAAGTAGACATGACCTTTATGAATTATGAACGCTTTATGTGTTTTTTATTATTACATAAATGCTTCAAAATGGCGAACATGCATAAAGATGGCGGAATTCAGATATGACGTCATTGTGTTAGCACTATCCACTAAGTTTAAACTACGGAGTGCGATATGGTTCAATGTGCCAACAAATCAGCACAATCTACTTTTTTTGATTTTTCAAATTGTTGCCGTCTTGGAGCTAAAATTGGGATAATGTATACTCTGCTAATGACCATACAAAAAATTAGTAACGGAGAGCGATGTACAATACGGCGAACGTAGCAAAACAAGGAATTTGTGGTAAGTGCACAAAGTCTTGTATAACTGACCTTGTGGGGACACAATTCAGTCCCATTCAAAATCTTATTTTCCCTAACCCCTAACCCTTACCCTATCCCTAACCTTAACCCTAACATTAACCTGAAAACCTAACCTTAACCCTAAACCTAACCCTAGCTCCTAACCCTAAAACTCACCCTAGCTCCAAACCCTAACCTTAAACCTAATTCTAACCCTAACACAAATTCTAACCTTAACGCTAAACCCCCTGGAAATAGCATTTGACATTGTGGGGACTAACAAAATGTGCCCTGTTGGTCAAATGTTTGTTTGTTTACTATTCTTGTGGGGACTTCTGGTCCCCACAAGTATAGTTAAACACGTCCATGGGGGCCACCATCTTTATGCACCTCCGCTATTCACAAAAAGTGACGTTAGCTGATGAAGATTATCTCATAGGAAAAAAACGTATAAGATCTCCTAAACCTGTGTTTACCACAGACCTTATTTTCGTCATTTATTGAAAAACCCTACAAAAACTTTATTCATTTTCCCATAGGCTTTGCCTAATGAACCATGGCGGAGTTAGTGCCTACAAAATGACGCCCTTACTATTGCTCTCTATAGTAATGCTTTTTAAGCAGTGGGTTCCAATGTCAATCCTCAGTTACCCCTGTGTGTGTGTGTGTGTATAGTTTCAATTTCAGGCAGAGTTAACTGGTTATGTTTTCCTTTTATCTACTGCCTGTGTCCCCTCCTTGAGCTCTGCATGCCATTTATCTTGTTGTAAGCAACTCAGGCCAAACTCTACCTCTTTTTTGAATGATTCTCTCTCCCAACTAATTCTATTTTTTTGTATCTCTTTCTCTCTCTGCTCCCCCACCCTTTCTAGTTCTGTTTCTATCTTTCTATCTTCCTCTACAGGTTTTCATGCCCTGTGCGTCACAGCTGTGCTGTTGACATTGTCACTATGGCTGGGGATGCCTCTGGGATATCTCTTTGAGCTGTTGTTGCCCCTGGCAGTGTGTGCTATTGGGGTGTCATTCCTCCTCTCCCTCTACCTCTACATACGCTCCTTCTGGGCCCCTCACCATGCCCTCGCCCAGGGGGGAAACACAGGTAAGGGTGGAGGATTAGGGAAATAATACATAGAAAATATATAGTTAACAAAATTATACAAAAACATGCATTAGAGATTTTCCTGTATAGGCTCAAGCCTGCTATATCTCACACAGGAAACCCTCTGTATGATTTCTTTATGGGACGAGAGCTGAACCCACGGATTGGAAGCTTCGATCTGAAATATTTTTGTGAGTTGAGACCAGGTCTGATTGGCTGGGTGAGTGGAAATGAAGCAAGGAGGACTAGATTTTATCAAGTTAAATATAATTGTGTTGATATATTAAAAAAATCTGATCTAACATACTCTCTTCCAATTAGGTGGTGATTAACCTTGGGATGCTGATGAAAGAGGTGGAGCTACGGGACTCCGCCTCCCTGGCCATGATACTGGTCAACAGCTTCCAGCTGCTCTACGTGGCGGATGCGCTGTGGAATGAGGTGAGAGGAGGACGGTCCACAGGAACAGTCCACAGAAAATAACAGGGGTATAACAGTGAAATAACAGTGGTAGCAAAGTGATCTCCAATGAGGATGCCAATTTAATTTATTGTGGTGGTACACTACGGATGTATCATTGAGCCCTGAATGAATTCATTACATTTCTGCAGTGCTGTATAGTGTTTCATTTGACAGTAGAATATGTGATGTTGCAGGAGGCTGTGCTGACCACCATGGACATAGTGCATGATGGCTTTGGGTTTATGTTAGTCTTTGGGGACCTGGCCTGGGTTCCTTTCACATACGGCCTGCAGGCTGCCTTCCTGGTGGTGCACCCACAGTCCCTCAGTCCTCTGGGAGCCACAGCTATAGTCACATTGAATGGTAAATCAAGTTTCAAGGTGGGGGGGGCAGTGTGTATTCTTCTTATTTTAATCATTTGAATATTTTGTATATTGTATGTACCCTTATTAGTGGATTGTATTTTTTTTTTTTTCTGTTTTCTCTTCCTGTTTCCCTGTCATTAGGTGTTGGGTATTATATCTTCAGAAAATCCAACTCCCAGAAGAACCAGTTCAGACGGGACCCTACGCATCCCAGTGTTGCAAGTCAGTAGTCAACTTCTTGATTAGACTTCTGGTGTCTCCTGGCATGGCAACATCCACACATTTTTTGTTAATAAACTTTTCTTAAATCAGTTTAACAGTTTTGAGAGGATAGATAGAATTGAGTCTTGTCTCTGGCGACAGCTTTATCGCTGTCTGTTTCAAATAGTATTTTCCATAATGGATCAAAGTGTATACAGTGGCTTGCGAAAGTATTCACCCCCCTTGGCATTTTTCCTATTTTGTTGCCTTACAACCTGGAATTAAAATGGATTTTTGGGGGGTTTGTATCATTTGATTTACACAACATGCCTACCACTTTGAAGACAAAAAAACAGAAAACTTGAGCGTGCATAACTATTCACCCCCCCAAAGTCAATACTTTGTAGAGCCACCTTTTGCAGAAATTACAGCTGCAAGTCTCTTGGGGTATGTCTCTATAAGCTTGGCACATCTAGCCACCAGGATTTTTGCCCATTCTTCAAGGCAAAACTGCTCCAGCTCCTTCAAGTTGGATGGGTTCCGCTGGTGTACAGCAATCTTTAAGTCATACCACAGATTCTCAATTGGATTGAGGTCTGGGCTTTGACTAGGCCATTCCAAGACATTTAAATGTTTCCCCTTAAACCACTCGAGTGTTGCTTCAGCAGTATGCTTAGGGTCGTTGTCCTGCTGGAAGGTGAACCTCCGTCCCACTCTCAAATCTGGAAGACTGAAACAGGTTTCCCTCAAGAATTTCCCTGTATTTAGTGCCATCCATCATTCCTTCAATTCTGACCAGTTTCCCAGTCCCTGCCGATGAAAAACATCCCCACAGCATGATGCTGCCACCACCATGCTTCACTGTGTGGATGGTGTTCTCGGGGTGATGAGAGGTGTTGGGTTTGCGCCAGACATAGCGTTTTCCTTGATGGCCAAAAAGCTCAATTTTAGTCTCATCTGACCAGAGTACCTTCTTCCATATGTTTGGGGAGTCTCCCACATGCCTTTTGGCGAACACCAAACGTGTTTGCTATTTTTTTCTTTAAGCAATAGCTTTTTACTTGGGTTATAAAAAAATATCAGAAACTTTGAACATCCCACGGAGCACCATTAAATCCATTATTAAAAAATTGAAATAATATGGCACCACAACAAACCTGCCAAGAGAGGGCCGCCCACCAAAAGTCATGGACCAGGCAAGGAGGGCATTAATCAGAGAGGCAACAAAGAGACCAAAGATAACCCTGAAGGAGCTGCAAAGCTCCACAGAGGAGATTGGAGTATCTGTCTATAGGACCACTTTAAGTCGTACACTCCACAGAGCTGGGCTTTACGGAAGAGTGGCCTGATCTGTACTTCTCCACAACTTTGTCCCTGACCTGTTTGGAGAGCTCCTTGGTCTTCATGGTGCCGTTTGCTTGGTGGTGCCCCTTGCTTGGTGGTGCCCCTTGCTTAGTGGTGTTGCAGACTCTGGGACCTTTCAGAACAGGTGTATATATACTGAAATCATGTGACAGATCATATGACACTTTACAGGTGGACTTTATTTAACTAATTATGTGACTTCTGAAGGTAATTGGTTGCACCAGATCTTATTTAGGGGCTTCATAGCAAAGGGGGTGAATACATATGCACGCACCACTTTTCCATTATTTTCCATAATTTCACTTTTCCATAATTTCACTTCACTAATTTGGACTATTTTGTTGTGTATGTCCATTACATGAAATCCAAATAAAAATCATTTAAAATTACAGGTAGTAATGCAACAAAATAGGAAAAACGCCAAGGGGGATGAATACTTTTGCAAGGTACTGTATATGAAAACATTGGATGGTAGGAAGCACCACAGAGTAGAATCTGGGCCCAACAGAAAGAGCAGATGGAGTATGAATAATTTGTAATCTGAGCTCTCTCAAATGACTGCCAAAACTGAAAAAAATACTATCTTCCCCCGTGCCTTACTGTAGACCTGGAGACTATTGCCACAGCAACAGGGAAGCGCCTTTTGGTGTCAGGCTGGTGGGGCCTCGTCCGCCATCCTAACTACCTAGGAGACCTTCTCATGGCCCTGGCATGGTCCCTGCCATGTGGTAAGTAGAGAGAAAATACATAAGATCCTCTCTGTAGCCACCCTGCACGTGTGTCCATAACCAGTGGCTGTTTCCGGAATAGATAACAGAATTGAATGTCAGTGATACACTATCCCTCCTGCTACTAACAGTATTCTGATCCCCATGTACTGTTTGTCTTTCCCCAGGATTCAACCATCTTCTACCTTACTTCTATGTTGTGTACTTCACTGTCCTGCTGATTCACAGAGAGGCCCGTGACGAAAGGCACTGCAGGGCCAAGTATGGCCTGGCCTGGGATGCCTACTGCAGCCGTGTGCCCTACAGGATCTTCCCCTATGTCTACTGAGCTGAGCTGGACCGGAGTGGTCAGGGCAGAGCCGGGCCCCGGGGGCATGCGATATGATAGCCAGTTTTGTTGTATAAAGTGCACGTTCTGAACCTCAACAGACTGGACTGAACAAATACTACTGAAATGCTGTCAATTCTCCGTCATAAAGAATATGTACTTTATAAAAGTGAACACTGTGGAGAAAATGACACTCCTAACTGGATGAACAGACCAGACAAGCTGACACCTCAGCCCAGCAGCTTTGAGTTGTTCACATTAGTGATGTCTGTCCAGTGAGTCTCTAACACGATCAATCTTGACCATCACCTTTTGTACTGATCTAGCCATACTTCCTCAAGACTGGACACTATGGGCCGGTTTCCCAGACAGATTAAGTCTAGCCCTGGACTAAAAAGCATGCCCAACAGAGAATCTCCATTGAAAGTGCTTTTTAGTCCAGGATTAGGGTTAATCGCTGTCCGGGACACCAGCCCTAAACTTAATTTCAAATGAATAGATTAGTCACATTTCAGTAACTAATCTGAAGGCTATTCAAATTATCATGACAATTTATGCATGTATTGAAATTAAGGTCAGAGTGTAAGCCTATTTCTTTAATATTCACAACTGAAATGTAAGCCTTATTAGTTTACATGACCTTTATTGCATAATTGAATTTTAATTAAAAAACAATAAACATGTCAATGGTAATTGCAGTCAGAATTCATTTTTACAAAATGGTATACAAACAAATATCAGTCTTGCCCTGAATTTGAATTGAAAACAAGTAAATATCAGTCTCTTTATTAACTGTCATAGAATACCAAAATGTTCTCAATCTATTTCTTCAATCAACACACCCTTCGCTTTTCCTCTTCCCTTCTTCCAGCTTTCTTCAACTCTTTTCTTCTCCTTCTGCAAAGCACTCCTCTCATCCTCCCTCTTCACATGCTCGCCCCATAACCCAGCGGCCAGTCTTCTCACCTCCTGGGCATTATCAGACACCCAAGCTTGAAAGAATTCACATTTCTTCCCCGCCAGGAAATACTTGTTTCTCACATCCCCTTCATCTCCCTCTTTGTGCAGAGCTGCCCTAGCTTGGGATAGCACCGTACGGAGTTGGCTCAAAGCTGCCAAGGAGTATCCAATGACATCCTGCTTACTTCTCCCAGTCAGAATATGAGCTACAGCCTCCACAGCCCTGGCCGGTGCACTGGGGTCCTCTCGGTCAAAGTAGCCCCCGGCCAAAATGGCTGCCTCCCCTCCCTCAAGGGCCTCCTGAAAGGAGCTGAACACCCTGCCTGAGCCTAGGGCCTCGGACACAGTGAGAACCATCTGGCAAAACTCCTGAGTCAGGTCTGACTCGATGTCACCATTGAACAGGCGTAGGGCAAAGGTGTAGCCAAACAGCGCATTGACCAAGCCATTGCGAACAAGAGGGGATGGTTGGGAAGACAAGGAGCTCAGAGGTGGGATTTTGACATTGATTGGAGGCACACCGGGGGTTGATTTTGGTCCCTTGGCCTTACGCGCCTCTTTTCTGTGTTTTCCCTTACCCTTTCTTTGTCCCTGCTCCTTCACTGATTTCCCCACACTCTCAATAATTTTCCCAGAATCCTTGACTTCATTATCTGCAATAACCACAATTTGACTTTCTGCCTCTCTTTTTTCACAACTGGATAAACCTGACCCTTCTTTCTTTCGCAGACTCCCCTTCTGTCCTCCTTTATCTGTCTTCATTGCTTCTCTGGTCCTGCTGCCTCCCTGTCCTGCTGCATCATCTCCCTCTGGCTTGCCCATCTCCTCCAGTAGCTCCATCAGGGCTTTTCCCCCCTCCTCGTGCTGCTCCCACCAGGGTCTCCACAGGGGGACCAGAGCTCCTACAGCCCCACCCTTCACCAGACTCATAAACTTCTCCTTCTCCTGGCTGCTCAACAGGTCCCACAATGCCTCCTCAGAGAGAGCATCGATATCCAGCCCCGAGAGCCTGTCAGCCAAGTCCAGCTCCTCAGCGTTTTCTACCCCCTCATCGATGTCTCCAACATTTGCAGAAACCACCTGCCCTGCTTCTTCATCGTCTCCTAACTCTTTGAGTTTGTTTAAAATGTCCTCAATCTCCTCCACACTCCCTTCCCCAGATGACTGAATCTCTGCTAACCTGGAGAGGAGCTCTAAAACCTGAGCTCTTTCCTTTGTCTCCTCACTACCTCCCATCTCCTCCTCGTCGGTCTTTAAAACACTCTCCATCCCTCCCTCTGCCCCATCTGCCATATGTCTCAGCCTTAGCAGAATATCCTGCATCTTCTTCCTCCCCCCACTCTCTGTTTCTCCCATGTCTTTCAGCTCCTGTAACACAGACTCTTTATAAAATTCCTCTGAGCACACGGAATGATTTGTACTCCGGTAGCATTCCAGGCCACAGTAAGGTACATTGCATCGTGGACAGGTATAGTAAGAGGGTTGGCATAAGCACAGCCCGCACACTTTGCTTTGTGTTGTGGCATCTGTATAGTCCGCATCTCCATCCTCTTTCCCAGTAGCTGGTGTCAGAAATTCACTGTTATTGGTGGTTCCTCTGGCAGGAAGCTCAATTCCATCTCTAGTGACAGTCTCTGGCTCTGTGTCAGTCCATTCACTGCAGTGGTGCTCTTCCCTTGGTCCAATGTCAGTCAGCAACTTCCGCACAGATGGAGGGATTCTCTGTCTAAGTATTGGATTCATGATTTTGGGTGGGCAAATTAGTTCCTACTTCTCATTGCATGCAGATGTAATACTGTTGAGTGAAACGATGAACGTCCAATTTGCCTGAAAGGAAAGACAGATTTTACAACTCGAGGCCACTCACAGCATTGAATTTAAGATATATTATAACTTGTTTCACTACCATGGCCGTACCTTTAGAAGTCTTCTCAGTACGTCGTCAGACACATGCAAATCCCAATACTTCAATATGTCGTACAGTAATTACAACTTGTTCGGCGTTTAATCAACCTAAAACTGTCAAAGAATTCAACATGTGAGACTAAGTATTTTGGACTAAACGTTGGTGAAACTCCTGCCGTAAATGGTTTCTAAGCTTGTCGCTATTGGATGACGCCTCCCCGTCGTAAGACGGTCGCAAAAACAAATAACTGCCAGACATGGAAGATAGTTTCCAATAGATACCACAGCCACAAAGTAAAAAAAAAATATATCGTAAAAATTCATGAAAACAAAAATGTGCTTTTTGGTCTTAATTTAATGTTAGGGTTAGGCATAAGGTTAGCAATGTAGTTAAGGCTAGGGTTAGGTTTAAAATCACATTTTAAGACGATAAATTGTAGAAATAGGCGGGGTGTATGACTTTGTGGCTGTGGTAACTAGTGACAGCCATAGAAACTGGATTATGAAATGGGCTGCATATCAGGATCTTTCGGAATACTTCCCTCACGTTTAAATTCCTATGAAAAAATCGATCAACAGCTATGAAAAATGTGTAAAACACTCAATCCTAAATTAACTTGCCAGTATTGACTACACCACTAAACAATCAACACCAGTGAATACACCCATGATCACAGTTCACTTTCATAGCAGCCACTTTGTATTCCTTCTAGCATCTATGCGCTCTCCTCCTCTCACCTTTTCCCTAAGCTTGTGGACTTCAATGCACAACACATCAGCTGTATGTGGCCAGGCAAAAAAAACTTTCCAAGCCAGACCATATCTTAACTGCTACACACAGCCTACACCGTTGTCACCATATTAGCTAAAGTAACTTCATAGTCAACATAGCTAATAGAACTAAGGAGTTAGTAAACCCGCTACAATCATGCAGTAACATTAGTGCACAGTCAGTAAGCAGTTTAGCACTTACACCGACAGGCCCTGGTGGCAATAAATTAGTAAAGCCAAAAGATTACCTTGACTTGGAAGAGTTCCAGTGGTGTGTTGGATAGTCATAGCCCGCTAGCTAACATAGCATCCCTCTGTTTGATCATGGTGTTTGAGTAGGCTAAACTAGCTAGCTGCATTTGCTAGCTAAGTATGTGAAACTGAAAGTGGAGAAAAAAAACAATCTCTCTCTCTTGCGTCTACTTCATTTTGTAAGAAATGAATTTGTCCAAAACTGTTCAACTATTGTCTTTCTCTCTTTCAACTACTCACCACATTTGATGCACTGAAGTGCTAGCTAGCTGTAGCTTATGCTTCCAGTACTAAATTAATTATTTGACCCTTTGATTGGGTGGACAACATGTACATGTCAATTCATGCTGCAAGAGCTCTGATAGGTTGGAGGAGGTCTTCTGGAAGATGTCATAATTACTGTGTAAATCAATGTAGTCCCCTGTAGCTCAGTTGGTAGAGCATGGCACTTGCAACGCCAGGGTTGTGGGTTCGATTCCCACGGGGGACCAGTATGAGAAAAAAATGTATACACTCACTAACTGTAAGTCGCTCTAGATAAGAGCGTCTGCTAAATGACTATAATGTAATGGAAGGGGGTGAGAACCATGAGTGTCCTAGGTTTTGTATTGAAGTCAATGTACCCAAAGTAGGACGGAAGCTAGCTGTCCTCCGGCTACACCATGGTGGTACCCTACCCTAATGCTGTTGAGGCTACTGTAGACCATTGCAAAACAGTGTGTTTTAATCAATTATTTGGTGACGTGAATATACTTAGTATAGTTTTATCTAAAAAGGATAACTTTAAATATTTTATAATTTATATTTCTATGAAATTCACTGAGGATGGTCCTCCCCTTCCTCCTCTGAGAAACCTCCACTGATAAGCACAGGTCATGCTGTGGTATTATTTTACAGCAATGAATACATGAATCACATATCAAACTTACAACTGATATTGTTCCTGTGGATATACAGTACCAGTCAAAAGTTTGGACACACCTACTCATTCAAGGGGTTGTCTTTATTTTTACATTGTAGAATAACAGTGAAGACATCAAAACTATGAAATAACACATATGGAATCATGTAGTAACCAAAAAAGTGTTAAACAAATCAAAATATATTTTATATTTGAGATTCTTCAAATAGCCACCCTTTGCCTTGATGACAGCTTTGCACACTCTTGGCATCTCCTTGATTACCTTTTAGTTTTTTCAAAAGGGGGCGAGAGAGGACAGAGGAGAGAGGACACAGGAGTTCAGCAAATCCAATTGAGAAAGGGCCTATGAGAGATGTGTATATGGGACTATAAAAGTGTTGGCAGATAAATAATGTACAGGACATTAGTAGCGCAAAAAAACTAGAACATCACATTTAAATGTAGTAAGGTATTTGAAGCAGAAGTTGAATCAGTGTGAGAAACCAAACTATTACTCTCCATTTGCCTTCAAACAAAGGAGAAGGTAAGGTGTCAAGCTTCACCTGATGGAAGAGTCCAGCCAGATGGGGAAGGACCATCATGTTTAGGGGGAATGGGCACTCGTGAAGGTGGTATCAGTCATTCCACAAATGTGTATTCTTCTGTAGATGCTAATATCCCACTCTTGGCTTCTCCAGCTGGGCTACACATTGTCTGTTTTTGAAGGGGAAGTGACAGGCAGAAATGTATTCTTGTGTGCTCCTGATAACTCATTCATGAAAAAACTAATTGACAAATGCATTGAAACTGAAAATTAGTAGTGTCTGTCATTCAAACCTAGGCGTGATTTGGTTGGGGGGGCCCCCCACCCCTCTTGACGGCAGAGAGAAAAATGTTAAGTTTTAAAGTTAATTTCCTGCAATTCTACACATTTTGCCATGGGGTTTATAGATTTTTTTGCAGTTTTAAAGCTAACTTTGCCTCGATTCAGCAGTCTCATCCAGATCATCGTGGCATTTGTAGTTTTTTATGATAACCACATTAGCACCTAATTAGCATTTCATTTTTTTTTTTTTGGGGGGGGGGGGGGGGTAAATACAGGTTAATATATTGATAAGTCACCTTGTCCAAGAGAGATTTACACAGTTATCAAAACGTCAAGCCAGGGTAAGCCTACACGAAACACAGACTTATTTGAAGTATTTCTAATTGCCCTATGGGAAAAATGAATGGTGGAAAAATGATTGGAACCATTTCCCTGTTTGACCGCAAGGTTTTATTGGTATTATTACTCATACTGAGGTGGTACTCTATTCTGCCAGGATTATTATAAATGTAGATAGCTGGGTAGGCCAATTTACCAATCTTTTTTTTGTTTGTTGCTGACATAGACTAATTTACGGACAGTCAGTGACTGACAACAAGATGACAACTGCTGAGGCACAACCACATTTTGAAATTTCACCTTGTGTGTTTTACTACTCTAATACTTATAATAAGTAATAAAAAAAACAAATAGGGGGTGGAGGGGCCCTAGGTGATAGCCTATGTCGTTTATGCCCAGGGCCAGCCCTGCATTTACATATTGCTTGGCTTTGACACTAGCTAACTAGCATATTTTATAGCAAGCTAACGTTTGTGTCTTCGATTTTTAAATAGCCAACTCACGCGTAACCATATCGTAGTATTTGGTATTCTTGCCGTGTGGTCGTACAGCTTGAAATTTGCCCTAAATCATATGCATAACATTGTGGTCCTGTGCATGAATGAGAGTTACATGTTTTTTTATCGACCACCACACATGGGCGGGATCAGAGAATACCACATCATAGGTATGCCTATGACATTTGAGTCATTTAGCAGACGCTCTTATGCAGAGCGACTTACAGTTAGTGAATGCATACATTTTTTCATACTCGTCCCCCGTGGGAAACGAACCCACAACCCTGGTGTTGCAAGCGCCATGCACTATCAACTGAGCTACACGGGACTGCACAATGAAATACTTCCTGTGGAGTTTAGTCCAACGGTAGTTATTTCTGTAAATCCACCATGGCTACTCCCGTCTCCAGTAGTTGATCTAGACGTGTTGGAGAGACTACAGAAAGATAGGGAGGGTGTTGATCCAGCTGATTTCTTTAAGAGACGTCTGGAAACTGTGTATCAGGATTTTGTGGCCATTTACACAGATGGTTCAAAAGATCCAAGGACAGGACGTACTGGGTCAGCATTTGTAGTGCAGGAATGTGGGGTGGAAGTCAGGAAACGTATTACAGATCATCTGTCTGTATATACGGCGGAGCTGATGGCCATACTGTTGGCCTTGCAGTGGGTGGAGGAAGTTAAGCCAGACAGAGTAGTTATTTGCTCTGATTCATGTGCAGTGTTAATGAGTCTCCAGTCCTTTAGCTCACGTAGCAGACAAGACCTGCTTTATGAGGTGCTACAAACCTATGGCAGGATTAAACAGATGGGTATTCCGATAAGATTTACTTGGGTCCCAGCCCATGTGGGGGTGGAGGGGAACGAGGCGGTAGATGAACAGGCTAAACAAGCACTTAGTAGTGGGGATGTTGATGTTGAAGTGTCAATGAGCAAGGCATAGGCAAATGTGATATATACAGTGATGGTGAAGAGATGGCAGGAGCAGTGGAATAGAAATAATAAGGGAAGGCATTTATTTCAAGTACAGAGGAAAGTTGGGGAGGGGAGGATGGCAGTAAGGGACAGAAGAGAGGAGGCTATTTTTACAAGATTAAGGGTGAGACACAGCCAGTTGAATAAGACATTAAACGTGATAGGAAAGCATCCATCAGGAAAGTGTGATTATTGTCAGGAAATAGAGACTGTGGAGCATGTATTGCTACAGTGTGGGCAGTATCAGAGGGAAAGAGAGAGGATGAGATTTAGTATGAGGGAGAAGGGGATACAGGAAATTAGTTTAAAGAGTATATTGAGTAGAGCGTCATTAGATATAGTCTCAAATGTTTTGTTATCTTTTTAAGAGAAACGGGGTTGGCAGGTAGGATTTAGTTTATCCCGTTCTCTGGCCCACACTCCAGTACGGTAGGTGGCAGTAATGCACCATAACGTTGGATGCCAACCGCCGATAAACCCCACTGAAGAAGAAGAAGAAGAATACTTCCTATTTTCATTCTCCAGACCAAACACCATTGGCGAAACACACGATCAGTACACTGCGAGACTTTGGTGAGCTATAAAATAAGTTTACATTCTGTGTTGTAACTCATAACAAAGGAACTCAAAAGTTTCATGACATTTTAAATATTGTCTCTTAAAAAGTGGTCGTTGTTGATGTCGACAGGAAATATACAGTTTTCTACTGCTCTGGCTAGTCTAGCAATAATGTCAGTTGCTAATGATTAACCACAAACTGTACGAATAATTGCACTAGTTGTTGGACATTTGATTCACCGTTTATTCCGGCATAAGTCTGAACAAACAAACTAATAAATCAAGCGCTGTTGGTGACCATGGTTGAATCAGGTGTTTTAGTGCATGGGCTGGAACAAAACCCTGCACACCCTTTGGGTCTTTCAGGATTGTAGAACACACTGACATAACATCATCCATCTTATTTTGAACAGGTTGACCATGCAGCTGTTTGTGCGTGCTCAGACTCTCCACACCTTTGAGGTGTCTGGGTTAGAAACTGTCGCCCACATCAAGGTAAAGTATAGCACTACTTTCCCTTGGTCTGCCAACGTTTTTGGTTTAAAAGTTAATTGATGACCATGAAAGGTTTACCGCATTCAGCTCTTTGTTCTCTTCCCTTCTCCACAAGGCTCATATTGAGGCATTGGAGGGACTCTCCTGTGATGACCAGGTGGTTATGCTGTGTGGGGAACCCCTGCAGGACGATGCTGTGATTGGCCAGTCGGCACTGGAGTTCAGCACTGTCGAGGTTACCCCCCGACTGTTGGGAGGCAAGTGATCAATAATTAAACATTCTTGAACATTACTGTAAATATGTGAAATTATTAAGGTCTGAGACATTTGTTTCTGTACCATTATTTGAAAAGATTATTTGGAGGGGCTTGCTTTGATTAATCATTTCCATTTCCTCTTCCTATCCCAGGCAAAGTCCATGGCTCCTTGGCCAGAGCGGGGAAAGTCAGGGGACAGACTCCCAAGGTGGGCTTGTGTGTTTAATATAAATTAAATGAACTACTCAAATTAATGTGGCATATTCAGCATTACTTGCTCTTCTGGCAAGTTTGCTTTGCCTGTAGTGTGCACGTCAAGACGTCACACCTCTGACCCTTTGTTTATAACCATTCTCACAGGTGGACAAGCAGGAGAAGAAGAAAAAGAAGACAGGTAGGGCTAAAAGGAGGATCCAATATAACAGGCGCTTTGTGAATGTGGTACCAACATTTGGCAAGAAGAAGGGACCCAATGCCAACTCATAAAACTATTTGCCCAAAGCCTTGTGTCTGCTGTCTCATCACAGTTCAACATTGACATGACCATTCACGCAAGTTCTGTCATTTGTGATTACATTTGTCATTGGGCTGATGGTCACTGTGATGAAATACAATAAAACTCTGTGAGGAAAGAGTGGTACTCTGCACTAATTTGATGGTTCCATTACATTGGGTGAATTGAGCAGTTGAATGATTGGCTGTCTTTCTGATGGTTAAGAAGCAGATGAAATGGACTCGAGGGCTGCGTTTAGAGGCAGCCCAATTCTGATATTTTTTCCACTAATTGGTCTTTTGAAAAAATCAGAATTGGGCTGCCTGTTTAAATACAGCTAAGGTGGCATGAACACAAGGTAGTTCAAGATGTATTAGTCGTATGTGCAGGATACGCATGGTATACATCATCCAACGAAATGCTTACTTGCACAAGGTAGGTCCAAGTGCACGTTCTCAATTTATTTAATGTATTATAGACAAGTCACACTGACAGATGATGAGAATAGTCTTTGGCATGTTCTCATCCAGTATGCCAAGATCACTATCTGCCAAAGTGATCTTGGATATGACCATGGCTTATACTTCAGCAGCTTCAAATAATTCCATCTGACAGAGCATCTTCACGTCTTCCTGTGTGATTTCCCCACAGGGTCAGCTATGACCACGACTCCCCAAGCAGCCAAACCTGAAACAGAAATATTGAGTTGACTGCACCTCAGAGGCCCTGCTAGAATACTTTGAATAGCGTCAACTCATATAGCGTTTGAAAGCTATCCATGTAGGGAAGCCTTTGATTTCACCTGCTCAGTAATGTTGGATCAGTTGCTGTCACTACAATGCAGGAGATACATTTAGACATGCTGCCCGTCATAAATCACAATACTCACTTGCTGCAAACGCGATTTGTGCGACAGTTCCTATTGAGGTTGTCCCACCTTGCCGCATTACTTTTCGGGCTGCTAGGAAGACATATCCAGCTCCTAACAGCAGACCTCCACCTGAAAGAATCCGACAACTCCAGCAGCTCCCAAACATTTGACCCGCAGCGGGTGATACTGAGCCCTGTGGTGCGGGCACGGACTCTGGTGTTGACATTGCCAAAAATCTATGGATTTATGCTAACTAGCTAGTTAGCTGTGCTCGATGTGATGATAACAACCAAGCAGTTTACTTGACAAATTACTATAATTGCTTATTAAAACGTACATCCGACAGTTAAAAATGTGATCCCGATCCCCGTTACGACCACTGAGGTATGAAAAGAACGATTACGACTGCATGTGTTGTGCATGAATCTGACCGCAACCTTCAACATCAGATTAAATTAATGACGTCCTTTTCTCATGCCGGAAATGGGTGCAACCGGCAAAAGGGTCCCCAACACCGGTCCGCCGCCATGTGACAACATCATTATATTCATGATCATATAAACTACATTATCATTTAAAAACGTTACTCTGTCCATGAAATCGAATTGATCTTACAAAATGTAATAACAGAAGATATCCAATATAAAAAACTAGGCAGGATTGTGTTGTTTACATTTTATTAGCCATACAGTGTTGTGACCATCACAACAAGCGCTTTCGGCTAGCCAATACTGTTAATTAATTATATACAACAACAATATTCTTGTAGTAAATATGCTTTGTTCCAATGTAACAGAGCATGTGCAAGTTGTGAAGTCTGGGAATCATTGCCTCTTATTTTCAACAATTTCTCATTCAGTGAAACAAAGCACTTAACGACCCTTAAACTCATTCATACTCAACATAAATGCGAACATAATCTTGTCTCTTTAGAGGAGGTGGTGAAGCTCAAGTCTACTGGTGTGTCATCTGTCATTGTATGGTCTCTTCCCCTTCACTTTCAAATCAATGTGAAGACAATGGTCGTGTTCCCCTGCTCAGACATTGCTGACGCATGTCAGATCTGGATAGTTTTTCTTACGTATCAGCTAATCACATCATATGTTATAGCAATCTGGTGCCCGACGGCACAGTTGATGACGTGGCACGCAACCATTGGTTGATGAATGTGACGTCTGAGCAGGGGAACACGACCAGCATGTGAGCATGACTATTTCTGGGATCTCATAGGGCCCAATCCTCTCGCAATGTTGTCATCGGTCTCTGCAGCTTCCTTCAGCACCTGCATCATGAGGGCATTCCTCTTCCTTGTCTCCTCCATTCTCAGTGGGTTAGCCTCCGGTAGATTCTGATGGTCAAATTGGAAAAAGGCTGATAATGCACACACAAACAAAAAAATATATATTGTAAAGTGGTTGTCCCACTGGCTATCATAAGGTGAATGCACCAATTTGTAAGTCACTCTGGATAAGAGCGTCTGCTAAATGACGAAAATGTAATGTAAATGTAATAATGCAACATGTATTCTTTCACAGAAGTTGACACCAAAACAAAGCAGGGTATAATGTTCTTGAAGACTGTCTGCTCTGCTGGTTCTTATTCCTTTCCCCTTTTGATCAGTTGGCTGACTGATTTACACATCACGTCTCATAGATGGTATAAATATGACCAGGAAACCATCAGGAGGCCTGTTTCAGTGGGAGGCAATTGCAGATGGTTGCAGATAGAAATTAAATATATAGAACAGACATGATTCCATGTTCCAATCCACATGACACATTTCTATCTGCACTTTCTCTTATGTCTCTGGTGAGTGTTAGTGACAGACTATGCCATTCTATGGCTGGTCAATTCCAGTGGTTCCCAAATCTTTTTCTCTCAGGCCTCCCTTCCATCATTTTGCAAGTTTAAAGCTTATTTCCTGCAATTCTACACATTTTGCCATGTCTTATGTGTGTTCATGTGATATCCCAGTGATTCAAACATTACAACAAAATCAATGGGCTAAAAAACCTAGCAAAAAAAACCTAGTTGACATGGGCTAGTTGATCTGGACATTTCTGACAAGTTATAAATAGCTCTCCAAGGTCTGCAATGACTGACATGAGAGGAAAACTGCTGATGTACTACCCAATTTCGAAATTGTTCTTACACCGACCCCTCGCACCCCCCAGTTTGGGAACTACTTAAGCACCACTAGGAGGAAAACCTACTGCTGGACAAGTGGGCAAAGAGAGACAACCATAGCGTCATGTCCCTATCTATATCCGATAGGTGAAACTACTGGCAAGCCATTTCCCATTTGCAAAAACAAAATGTAATGCACAAATCATACACATTTGATTAAAAGGTCAAGCAGTCCTTTGCTCGGTTTAAAAAGTCAGTGCTGTGCAAGTCAAGTACTTTGATAGCAGCCTACCTTGAGCATTTCCCTCTTCCTTTCCTCTCCTGGGGTAATCACTGACCACATTCCATATCCAATGCCAACCACACCGACAAACCCAGTAGATATCAGGACAGTGCGTAGACCACTCATTATGTTAGGCTAGTTGGTATCCTCCTTGGAAGACGAATTGAGAGTATGTTTTTGATTAGCAATCCACTGTTATGTTTTTGTTGTGACTGTTAGCTAGTAAGTTCATTAAGAGGTGCTCAATGTCCGCTGACAGGCATATGCAGTGCATTATGGGATAGCCTACCCTTATAAAACATTTTTTTAGGTGAGTTATGTGATGTCATGTCAAACCACGTTTTTCTTTTTTAATTCAAGAAGTGGACCATATTTCTGTTTGTGTTGACCAATATTTTAATGTAAATGTAAGACGGTGCATTATTAACAACATTTTGTAAATGCGTAAGGACCACTGACGATAAGCTTAATTGTGCAGTTTTCACTCAAAACCAGCAGGTGTCAGTCAAGTAGCGTCTTCCTTGCCAAATACAGTACTGTTCGGTTCACTTTCTCTTCAGAAAATCAGCTGTGTCGCTGTGTGCACATTGGCAGAAAGTGTGTGTGTGTGTGTGTGTGTGTGTGTGTGCATGTGTGAGTCATAGTGTGTGGGGGTGTATTGAGTGTTGATAAGTGCTGATAATATGCATTCATCAGTGTCAGGTAGGGTGGAAAGAGAAAGCATTGTTAAGGTTCAGTGCCAGCTAATGTAACTTGCTAAAAATATATAATGGAACTCGCAGTTCTACTGTGATATTATGCACTAAAATGGACACCTAACTCTTCAGGAGTGTGTGACATTGTGAGCAATTATCATTTAAAAAAAAAAATTCACCTCCCTGAAACATTTTTTTGTACTGTTTAAAGGTGCATCACTGATAATAAAATATGTCTACCATTTTATATACAATTTAACAATATAAGATATATAATATCTTACCGATCTGCTATTTTCTTGATTGTGTAAAATGTATTTAATATCTTCTTAAATGTTATTAGAAGTACATGTTGCTGTAAGTGAGGCAATGTGCTTTATTGCTTTCTAAGAGACATCGTTTTTTCCTCCAAGTTTTTTAGACTCAGTACTTTGTACTTTGTCTTTCATTTCCTAAATATCTCTTAGCCATAGGCATACTGTAACACTCTGACCCTTTAGAACTATGTGTAACATTTTGCACAAAATACATAACAGCACATTACATTTTCCCCCTCACTATTTTTCCCTCCCTCCCTTCCTCCTTGATAGCTGAGTCAATAATAACACTTTTAACTCTCCCACCCCCACCCCATCCCATCCTCCATCCCACCCCCACCCCATCCCATCCTCCATCCCACCCCCACCCCATCACATCCTCCATCCCACCCCCACACCCCACACCCCACACCCCACACCCCACCCTCATATCATCTTCCATTCCTTTCCTCTCTGATTGCAACAGTAACGCTTGCGAATGCCAGTTTCCGTTGCCATGACACCCGTGTTTCCCGAAGGTGCTATGTGCACAAGAGTCAACATCCATGTGTACATTATTTGTCTGATTACGGTTTAAATCCTGTACCACTCTGTTTGCATGTTTAGTTTTGTCCTAGTACATTTTTGTCTGAGTGTATTCTAGTATTCTTGAATATTAATGCATGTGTGTTTGTGAATAGCTCAGAAACAGAACCGGTAGCATTCTTCACACCAACATGTAGTCCCCTTTCCCCAGCTGTTTCAGTGTTATATTTCACAGCAGCAAACAGATGAGACTGAGAGAGAGGACAGACATGCCTATTGTTGTTTACTGCTGTATGTTTGCTATAATCTGAGACACATACAACCTGTTCATTGATGGATCTGGGCTCTCTTCAGTTTGCATTTTTGGGTACAAATGGGAAGCAGTGGTGTGTTTGTGCATGCGTGTGTGTGTGTGTGTTAGAGAGAGAGAAGGTGGGAGGGAATACATTATGTGTTCATTTGCCTAATGTACCTCTATTGACATATTAGTGAGCATGTGCCTTTTACTGTGACATTTTGTAGAAAATAAGCCCCAGTGAAGAAGTCGTGCTTCTTCAGTTGCATGTTGCAGATTTGGTTGCAGATTGGGGAAATCTATTTGCGAGTTAGCCATAGCATTTACCACTGATAAAAAAGTGATGATATGCAGATGTTATGCATAGGCTGCGTTGCTTATTCAGGGAACCAAGCTTGTCTCCAGACATATTGACTCACTGGGAACATACTACATGACACACATACAGTACATATTCAGTTTACTGAGTCTGGTATCAACCAGTTCAGTCCATTCATCTCAGACATGCATTGCTCATAGATTACATGTAACCTGCATATTTAAACTAGGCTGTCGCATCGTGACAGATCCTCAACTGACACAGCCCAAATGGAGAGTATTTAATGCCCTCATTTGTCTTTGCAGTCCATGGCCAGTTGTTTAATAAGCCCATCCAGACTCCCCTGTCTCTCTCACCCAGCTATCTCCACATCACCCTCTTTTTTCTAACCCCCAGTAATTCATCCCCCTTTCCTCTATCCACTTCCCCATCTCTCCTTCCCTTCCAGTTAAGGTCTTTTCTTATTTCTGGCCAGGTATAACTATCAGAAATCTTCTCTAATGTATCATTCATATCTCCCCCCAATTGCCTCCCACTTTCTCTCTGACTACTCCTGTGTAATTAATTCCAAATATAGGTGATGGGTTCACTTATAGAAACCCAATAATTTAGCAAATTGTTAATCAGCCTCTTTGCCAACTGTACATCAATCGGCGTTACATACAACCAATGACTTTTACTATTCCCTGTATGTGTGGACACTATGTCTGAGTCATAACATTGGCTGATGTCTTGCTTTGCTTACACTTTATAAGGAGGTGAGTAGAGTATATGCACCAAGTAGAAATCCTAGTGTATTTTAATTTGTGTGTATGTGTGTTTGTGTGAGTGCGTGCGTGCGTCTGCGTGCGTGCATGTGTGTGTGCACGTATGTGTGTGTGTGAGAAAGAGAGGGAGAGAATGTGTGCTTTTGCATATGCTGTACTTTATGTTTGAAACTTATCAATTGTAACCTGTTTCCATGGCAACATCTCTCTTGAGGCAGAGAGGAGGGAGAGAGTGCAGGGACGGAGTTGAGAAAATTATTATTATGGACGGGGGGGGGGCAAAAAGGAAGAGCCCTAGAATGAATGAAAGATATGGTATGGACTGTCAAGTATCTGAGAGAGGGGAGGGAGGGAGAGCGAGAGAGAGGGCATTTATGTGTGTCACGTTGTATAATGATTAGAAGACAGGCGCAGGAATACGTATTAGGGGTTTTATTACTCCTCCCAACACCAACACGTATATATATACAAAGGGGATGTAACCCAAACAAAGAGCAAGGTGTAACCTCTACACAATACACGGGACGAGACCCGTAAACAACCAGAGCACAATACACGGTACTCACGAGACCAACGGACATGGGCCAATAAGGAACAGAGGGCACATATATACACATACTAATCAGGGGGAATGGGAACCAGGTGTGCGTAATGAGACAAGACAGTCTGGGGTTGGTGGTAATGATCCATGTCAGTGACGCCTAGAAAGCCGGTGACATAGACCTCCGGAACTGGTGAATGGATTGAGCAGCAGTACCGGGGGGGGGGGGGGGGGGATCCGTGACAATGTACATGCTTACATAAACGTGTGGTGTGTATATAATATGACATGTGTGTTGTGTGTTGCGTGTGTGTGTGTGTGTGCGTACGTGTATTTGTGTGTGTGTTTGTGTTTGTGGGTTTATGTGAGTAATGTAGAGATATGGTTTGCTGTGCATCTGAGTTGAATAAAGATAAGTGATGATAATGTATTTGCTGTATCATGCATCTACCTATACTTCAGTGCTGCCATGTGTAAAGCCTATTTTGGATTTGATTCTGAGTTTTGAGTGAGAGCAAGAGAGTGAGGCAGAGACCGGGTGAGTCAATAGGAATCTAACACAATTATGTTGCCATGGTGACACCGTATAATGAGATGCAGTCTATGTCAGGTTGCCTGTCTCTACCTCTCCCCCCTCCAACTCTCCCTCACCCACTCACCCACTCTCCCCTCCAACCCCCCATAATTAACACACTCACTTCCTCCATCACACTTGCTCTCTTGTAGATCTACAATCCTGAGCTCTTGTTTATTGTATTCTTCTCATGGTGTATGCCCAGCACCCTAAGAATATATTGGAATAGAGACATAGCAAAGGTATGACCTTCAGAATACTTCCCCCTTTTGACCTTCCAATGTTCTTTTGATCACCTGTTACTTACAGCTATTGAGACAGATCCGTCACCTCCCAATCATGCATTGAATTGATTTCATTTGCATTTTTAACTATGAACACCCAGTGCACCACAACTGGACTAATGAATCCAATTCTTAACAAAATAGGCTTTTGAATGGTATGTTCAAGAAAATATAGATTTAGACAAGAGAAAACACAGTAGTTGAACTACATAATATTTGAACACATTGCTATTTTATTAGAATATGTGAATTGCTGTTTGTGAACTGTATATCATATTGTATTCTAATGAATACAAACTAACGCACCAACAAATATAGCATACAGTGATGAGAGATGTCTAGAAGACAGTTACAAATAGTTATTCTTAAATATATATTCATTCATTCATTCTGATCAACTGCATTATTACATTCATTGATGGTCAACCAGGGGCCCCGTGTAGCTCAGTTAGTAGAGCATGACGCTTGCAACGGCAGGGTTGTGGGTTCGATTCCCACAGGGGGCCAGTATGAAAATGTATGCATTAACTGTAAGTCGCTCTGGATAAGAGCGAATGCTAAATGACAAAAAAAAAAAAAAAAAAAAAAACATAGCTATATTTCCCCTCCTCTGTGACCCGCCATTTTGTGCTTTAGCAATTGTCTGTGATTGACTCACATTGTTGGCAGGGGTTGAGGAGTTGTTGTCCTGTTTTTTAGAGTTTTAGAGGGAACTGTCATGATACAGTGCCTTGCAAAAGTATTCATCCCCCTTGGCGTTTTTCCTATTTTGTTGCATTACAATCTGTAATTTTAAATGATTTTTATTTGGATTTTATGTAATGGAGATACACAAAATAGTCAAAATTGGTGAAGTGAAATTCAAAAAATAACTTGTTTCAAAAAATAAATAATGGAAAAGTGGTGCGTGCATATGTATTCACCCCCTTTGCTATGAAGCCCCTAAATAAGATCTGGTGCAACCAATTACCTTCAGAAGTCACATAATTAGTTAAATAAAGTCCACCTGTGTGCAATCTAAGTGTCACATGATCTGTCACATGATCTCAGTATATATACACCTGTTCTGAAAGGCCCTAGAGTCTGCAACAACACTAAGCAAGGGGCACCACCAAGCAAGCAGCACCATGAAGACCAAGGAACTCTCCAAACAGGTCAGGGACAAAGTTGTGAAGAAGTACAGATCAGAGTTGGGTTATAAAATAATATCAGAAACTGAAAATCCCACAGAGCACCATTAAATCCATTATTAAAAAATAGAAAGAATATAGCACCACAACAAACCTGCCAAGAGAGGGCCGCCCACCAAAACTCACGGACCAGGCAAGGAGGGCATTAATCAGAGAGGCAACAAAGAGACCAAAGATAACCCTGAAGGAGCTGCAAAGCTCCACAGCGGAGATTGGATTATCTGTCTATAGGACCACTTTAAGCCGTACACTCCACAGAGCTGGGCTTTACGGAAGAGTGGCCAGAAAAAAGCCATTGCTTCAAGAAAAAAATAAGTAAACACGTTTGGTGTTTGCCAAAAGGCATGTGGGAGACTCCCCAAATATATGGAAGAAGGTACTCTGGTCAGATGAGACTAAAATTGAGCTTTTTGGCCATCAAGGAAAACGCTATGTCTGGCGCAAACCAAACACCTCTCATCACCCGGGAAACCTGTTTCAGTCTTCCAGAGATTTGAGACTGGGACAGAGGTTCATCTTCCAACAGGACAATGACCCTAAGCATACTGCTAAAGCAACACTTGAGTGGTTTAAGGGGAAACATTTAAATGTCTTGGAAGGGCCTAGTCAAAGCCCAGACCTCAATCCAATTGAGAATCTGTGGTATGACTTAAAGATTGCTGTACACCAGTTGAACCCATCCAACTTGAAGGAGCTGGAGCAGTTTTGCCTTGAAGAATGGGAAAAAAATCCCAGTGGCTAGATGTGCCAAGCTTATAGAGACATACCCCAAGAGACGTGCAGCTGTAATTGCTGCAAAAGGTGGCTCTACAAAGTATTGACTTTGGGGGGGTGAATTATGCACGCTCAAGTTTTCTGTTTTTTTGTCTTATTTCTTGTATGTTTCACAATAAAACATATTTTGCATCTTCAAAGTGGTAGGCATGTTGTGTAAATCAAATGATACAAACCCCCCAAAAATCCATTTTAATTCCAGGTTGTAAGGCAACAAAATAGGAAAAATGCCAAGGGGGGTGAATACTTTCGCAAGCCACTGTAAACATACTGTATGTGTCTTGGCACAAGAAACCTAGCTGAACAATATTGACACGTTACTAAAATGTGAGTGACTCCATTATAATGCAGGGCTCTGTGTGTGTTCAGATGCCAATGTGAACCCTATCAGAACTGTTGTAAACAATCAATTACTACAATTATGGTCAGTTTATAATAAATTATCACACAGTTTACATGTATTTTTCAAGTTCCAGTATTACCCATTTCTCTAATGATTTTAACATCACACAGACCGATCATTATCAATTATCTACACATAGCGCTATGGATTCCTGACGATGAGGGCAGCACCAGCTAAGTCACGGCTTTGAAATGAACCAAAAACTCAAGTGTCCGACAATATTCACTGTGACACCTATGAGTGAAAACAGTTACAGTATGTAAGTCCCACCATAATGTTCTATGTGAGACGCTTTTCTGCGCTTGACACAGTCATCATTGCAACCCTATCAACATCATCATCTTTAGCAGCCTCATCAGTTACTTGTGTCACACAGTATTAGTCCACAGAGGAAATACGATCCCATGTACAGTAATCACTCCTAGCTATTGCTTTTCTTGAATGAGATTTCTAGAATCTAGAATCACTGAGCACAGAGCTTGGAATGTCCAGGTGAAATCATCCCTTCCTGCCTAGAACAGAACAGACAAACACAGAATACTTAAACACCCAAGTACCATCTCAGCCAGAGCTAAAACATCCCCTTCAATCCTGAATAATTGTTTGTTGGAAAGAAATCCGCCTGTTTGCCCTGGGCAGGAACGGGGGCTGGGAGATAGTGCTTTGATTGGGATGGACCTAGACTCAAACATTGCTCCAGGGTGTCCGCGATCCTTCGCAGAATCTTATGCCCATTGTATCGTAATCAAAACAGTGTTGCAGCTTGTTATTTCTCCACTAGGCTTGCTCCATTGGTTCATGTTGTGTTCATATGTTCATATGTTCAGTTCATATTATGTGTTTGTGTTGTTGACTTCATAAACTACATAAATTAGATATTTGTGAATAACACAATTGCTATCACTCTAGATCAAAATAGTAGAATTGAATGGTGTATTTATCTGCTTAAACAACTAGCTATTCATATCCTCAGAATATGATCTACCACAACTACTGAATTATTGAACTAATAAATAATAACCAAATTAGGAGAATAACTAAATACGTGTTTATTTTCTAAAATGATGAGGTTTATTGGGATGGAAGGATATTGATGTATGAATCCGCAACATCAACACTAGGACTTAGGCAACACAAAGTTGATAAATTCACAGTTGAGTGACAGTATCACTAAGAATAGCAGAGGAGACCCACAGCCCTTAAGACGTGATGTGGTCAGATCAAGGCATCCCGTACACTGGCTAAGATGTGTTCTCTCTTTCTCTTCATTATTTCAGTGGCTCCTCTCTGTCTGCTCCTCCTCTTCTATATGTCTTGGCAGTGTCTGAGCAGGCTCAACAAAGTCTCTTTGCTTTGCCTAATTTCCTCACAATGTCCTCCGATGTTCGTCCCTCCATCCAAAGATTTGAGGAGAGCAAAACATGGTCTGTGATGGAGTAATGGGTGGTGAGAAAGAAGGGTGAGTGACATCACCCAGTCTTAGTCTTGCATGCACTTTCTCTTTTACTGTCTTTAAATCTCCTCTTTGTTGCTTTGTCTTCTATTCTGTGTTTAGAAACTCACCAAGGCATAGACCATACTGTCAAGGACAGAGAGAGGCGGAAAAGAGGAAAGAAGGACAGCAATGTTAGAAGGAATGTGATGTTGCCAAGCAATAACATGTCCCCTGTCACTCTTTTCTTTAGGTCTGAGTGACAGCAGTTATTGTGCAGTAAGTTATTGTGCAGTACAGATCACCATTCACCAATGAACCGGCCGGACTGATAATAAATAGCTTGATTAATATGACCTCACCTGTAATATGACCTCACCTGTACAGGTAGTAGAAGAAGGAGAGCAGGTAGAAGCCCAGTTTACACCAGGACTCCTTCTGACAGTAGTTCAGGATGTCTGCATTCATCACACTGACAGGGTCATACATGACCTCTGACCCATCTGCCGGCCGATGGAAAAACCTGACGAGAGTGAGAGAGCATTCTTACAACAGAAACAACTAAAAAGCATCCTGCTTGAGAGAGTGCTGGGAGTTGGTTGTGTCGTGTTGTGTCGCGTTGTGTTGGGTCGTGTTGTCCGTGTTGTGTCGTATTGTGTCGTGTTGTGTCGTGTTGTGTCATGTTGTTCGTGTTGTGTCGTATTGTGTCGTGTTGTGTCGTGTTGTTTGTGTTGTGTTGTGTTGTGTCATGTTGTTCGTGTTGTGTTGTGTTGTGTCGTTCGTGTTGTGTTGTGTTGTTCATGGTGTGTTGTGTCGTGTTGTTCGTGTTGTGTTGTGTCGTCTTGTGTCGTCTTGTGTCGTGTTGTGTACCTCCAGAGATGGTAGAAGAGCAGGGGGATGTTTAGGCCCAGGGTGACCCACTCCCCAGCACACATGAACATCAGGCAGAAAAGCCCATGGATGGAGTACTCTGGCACCACCAGCTAGAAATGAAACAGACAAATATGGTGCACACCACACAAATGCAAACTCTGTCGTTATCAGAAACACTTCAGGACAAAATGCTTTGAAAAAGCTGCAATTTTCATATGGAATGAGAGTGGCAGGGATCAGTTATGATTTTCATAAAAGCCTGCTGGCCTCCAGGTGTTCCCTCCTTCAATCTCCCCTATTTGGCTCTACAGCTTGCCCATTAACACTGACAGAGAAAATGAGGGAGTGGTGGCAGTATAGAAAGCCAGGTAATTATATAGTGTGTGTGTGTGTGTGTGTGTGTGTGTGTGTGTGTGTGTGTGTGTGTGTGTGTGTGTGTGTGTGTGTGTGTGTGTGTGTGTGTGTGTGTGTGTGTGTGTGTGTGTGTGTGTGTGTGTGTGTGTGTGTGTGTGTGTCCTACAGGCAGGAGGGGAAGATATGAATCAATCCGTCTCAGTCCTGTAAATAGATGCGTAGATTCTCTCTCCCACAAGGTGTGTAGTGTTTGTGTGTGTGTGTGTATGCCTGGGAGCAACTTACTGACCTTCCGCAGCAAGTTGCATATTCTTTCAATATTCAGAATTCTTTCCCTCTGAAAAGTGAACAGAGACAAAGGAGAGTCAGATATGGAGAGTCAGATATGGAGAGTCAGATATGAAGAGTCAGATATGGAGAGTCAGAAATGGAGAGTCAGATATGGATAGTCAAATATGGAGAGTCAAATATGGAGAGTCAGATATGGAGAGTCAGATACAGAATGTTCTTGTGTAGCTATATGAAAGGAAGGAACCCCCAGCAAAGATATCACTGGCAAAATAGAAGGTACGTTACATTGAGTAAATGCTTCAAACATGATAAATAAATAGATCAAACATGATAAATAAACCATTCAAAAAGGTTTTTCTATTTGACTAAGTGTCCATGGTCTATGTCTGTCTGTCTGTCTGTCTGTCTGTCTGTCTGTCTGTCTGTCTGTCTGTCTACAGTGCTCTACTCTTCACAGCTGAGTGGCCATGACTGTAGGTGGGCACATAGAACTGGGTCACACTTCACATAACTCCACTCCCTTTCATAAGGCAGGGGGCCTTACCGCTCTGGTGGGGTTGCTCTGATCGATTGGGTTCTTGAAGTCTGTGCACAGCTCGTCAAACGCAATAATCTAAAAACACATGTACAAGTATATGGTTAAACTTTCTGTCATTTGCATTGGATATAGCTAAATTAATATTGAACGTAAATGGATCGTGTGTTCTTTCACATCCACAATGTGTTATTCTCATTAAATTCCAATCATATCCCTTTTAGCCTCTTTTCACAAGATTTCTTATCATCTTAAAGAGGCAATCTGAAGTTTCTACATCCATTTTTGGACTTATAAATTAATGATATGTACCCATTGATTCTTGAAGAATATAATGTATAATGCCTCATGAGCTTAGTTCAACTGTCCTACCCCTTCAGAACCCAAAATATACGCTTGTTTTACTCCAATGTTTGTAAACAAAGTAAATGTAAACCAACACTATATAGCCTCAAAACATAGTTAAAGCTATAATTTTGGTCAGTCCTTGCATCCATAGCTCTGTTTTTGAATTTGAGAGTGGCTACATTTCTCCAGCCCCATCCCTCAGCTTTTTACCGAACGAGGGGCAGGGAGTTCGCTTTGTTATTGTTTCAACTGCTGATTGCCGCTTTAAGTTTGCCATTCCCATACCTCCATTCATCCTTTTATATCTTTCAAATCCTTAGTCTTTCTCTGTTTCTCTCTGTTTCTTAGATCTCCATCTAAGAATCCTTCCCTGTGACATCCATCTTTCCCTTTCAGAGACCAATCTAACTCTCCACATCTGTCTTTTACTCTCAACAACACCATTCCCCCTTATATAGATCTACATCATTCGCTCTTCTCGGTCCGTGCTATCCGGAATCCTTGGAACGCCCCTACCCTCCATTGAAGTTGAAATGTAAAATGGTTAAGGTAAGCGTTAGGGTTAAGTAAGGGTTATGGTTAGGCTAGGGGTTAAGGTTAGGGTTTAGGGTTTAGGGTAGGGACGTCCCAAGGATTCCAGATAGCACTAACCCCCTATTCTCTGTTTCACGCTCCTCTTTGTAGTAAACAGATGCAGTTTCCATAGTGATCTGATGAGCCCCTTAGCGGGCACCATGGTTACTATAGAAGTGAACAAGCCGTCTCATTGGTTGAAAGCCACACAGAGATGGGGGGGGCGCGAACCATGGATGGAGGCAGATGGGGGTAAGGGGTGGAACAAAATGATAGTTTGATAAGCATTCTCAATAACATGGTTTGTTGCTGACACATACATACACTTTCTCCCACAGACACAGACACTCTCTCCTTTTCCCTTCCTCTTCTCTCCCACAGACACAGACACATACTCACACATTGACTGACTCACATGCAGCGCAGTCTCACCCGCTAGTCAATTTAGTAGTCAATACTTTAGTCATTTCAAACCAGTCTTTTGTAATGATCTGATAATGGTGTGTTGAATTTCAAATGAACAATGTCTCCCTAGACAGAAGGCTATAGGTGAGAGAGATGGGCTCTGGCCTTTGTGCAGTCTGTGTCTGAGGCTTTAGACATGTAGAATACTGATTGTGCAGAGGTCTCCAGTGACGCCTGTACAAATTCCTATCATAATTCTGCGGTCAGTAGGCTGGTCCTTATGATGAGGGTTGCATTAATGCACATATCTCTCTCTCTCCATCTAATTGTCTCCCCATTCCTACACAAATTTAAATTTCACTATCTCATATTAATAGTAAACTTCCAGTTTGTGGTGCCATACATGCGCTTATTATAACAACAGAGAGTGAGAGATAGAGAGAGAGAGACACTTACAGTACTGAAATGAATAAAATAAATAGTGAGTCACAGATGGGCACGTGGGCACACATTCACACCAACCAATGGCTAGACGACAGTTAGCGTTAAGTAGTCTTCACCCAGAATTATAGGTATTTCTTAGAGTCTTCCTTAGTGTCTGGCCTTGAGTTACAGATCAACCACTTCTTTATTTCAGGTATGAGTCACAAAGCTGAAACATGGTTTAACTGCCATCACCCAGAGTTTCTAAACATGGTTAAGGTGAGTGAGTGTGTGTGAGCTCAGCTCACCTGCCAGATGACGAAGAAGATGAGTGCGGCACACAACACCAAGGTGAGCATGTAGCAGAAGGCCGCGAAGGTGAACGCCATGGCTGTGTCAGCCAGCCTGACAACGAGTTGGGTCGAGAGAGGGGATTTCCCCTCCTCTCTCTCTCTATTGATGAGTATCCCTCCTTCCTCAGGAGGTTATTGTCTGTTCTTCCCCTCCCTCCCCTTGACTCTCTGACTCCCCTCACTCTCACGTTGTATTGAGAGCCCGTATTGTCCAGGTGAGGAGCTGAAGTTCTGTATTGGAAGAAAAAATCCCTGCTACACTCTCCAGTCTATCAGCTGTGGTCTCTCTATTTCTGCTTATCTAGGTTGTACAATTGTTCCTTCTTCTTGAGTTCCTCTTTCCTTTTCATGAGTCTGGGCAAAATATTTTCTTCTCTGTCACACATACAATTTGTAAAGCGGTCGACGGGCACAGTTGTTCATGGAGAACAGCTACAGCTGAGTATTGCTCTCTCCTCTGGTCCCAGCCTCCTCTGATTCTGACAGACAGGGGGTTTTGTGCACTTTACATGTCTGTCCCCTCCCCCTTCCAGTAACATCCACTTTGCACAATATCCCCACACCTTGCTCACAGTGACACAGCTAGTAAGTGACTCCCTGACACACTGGACTGCATGTAAAGGAAAGAGATGAATGATTATTGTGAGGTGAGAGACGGTATGGCTTGTGGTTATTATAGCAGTAGTTTGCAGTGATATGGCTTATTATTATTATTATTATTCAGTTGCTTAGAAAAAAATCATGATGGCACATATTTCAAGAACAATATAATTGTTAGCGCACATCTGTAATAGGCAAATGTATTTATTTACATTTTAACTATAAACATTTATAGTTGTAAATGGTATTATTCAAAATACATTGTTTTTGGTATATTCTGATATTTCAATGTTTTTAAACGGAGCAGATATGCTGTCAAGAAAGAGAGGACTGTTTTGTAGGCATATAATAATTGTCCACTAATGTAAAGAGAAAGGATATTGCTTTTCATACAATAACAGCAATTCATACATGTGCCCCATAAATATTCTTACAATGACAGTTATTAGTGATCATTTATAATAACAAAATGAGCAAAGATCATTAGCTTACAATCAAATGATCAATTTGATAATAATAGCTTGCAATGATTTGATAAATGGTGCTGTAATGTATAGAGTAGAATATAAACAAACAGCAATATGATAGAATACTTAGGCACTCCACACTGATGAACGATGTATCAGGAGAATGATAATCTGTGATGATGACGATGGATATTTTGATTGATCTTAACATTGATCAGAGTGTACCTGTGTTTGGTGGTAGATGCATCTATCACTGAATATCCAACTCCTTCCTCTTCCCACTCTGTCTCTGTCAATTTGGGTCGACACCATGTCAGAATTCTCTGCCTTGCCTTTCTCTATCTATCTCAGTCGCGTCCATCTGATTTCTTCACGCATATGCTTTTCAGTGCTCACTTGCAGGGTGGAAAAACAACATTTAGAGAATCAACAATATTTAGATGTTAAGAATTGTTTTTTCTTATTTTGGTACAAGTCTTTTTCTCAAGAAAGGAAAAACATCTCCACAGCCCTTAGAAGTCTCTAAGTTAATTAATTCCCCTCTTTCTCTTGTCCCCCTCCCTCATCTTTCGCTTTTCTCTCTCCAAAGCTCCCCCTTTTGTTTTCTCTTCTCTTTCTCTAAAACAGACCAAGAAACACTCTCCCTCATGTTCTGTCCTCCTCAGTCTCTTCTTCTTCTCTCTCTCAGACGGTCTGATTAAGCAATATTTGGATCACCCTAGAATATACCGGCCAAGTGCATTTAACAGTCTCTCTCTCCCTCTTCTCTCTCTCTCTCTCTCTCTCTCTCTCTCTCTCTCTCTCTCTCTCTCGCTCTCGCTCTCGCTCTCTCCCTTTCTCTCTCGGTCCCTCTCTCCCTGGCTTTGATCCGTTGCCGTACTCCCTTGTTCCCCAGAGATGGTTGAGGGGGCAGGGGAAGCTCCAAATCAATTTTTTTTTTGTCGGCTTCCCTTGTTTGTCTCTATCTACCCCTCCCTCTGCTCCCTTTTTCTCTCTCTCTCTCTCTCTCTCTATCGCTCTCGCTCTCTCTTTCTCTCTCTCTCTCTCTCTCTCTCTCTCTCTCTCTCTCTCTCTCTCTCTCTCTCTCTCTCTCTCTCTCTCTCTTTCTCTCTTTGTCTCTCTCTCTCTCTCTCTCTCTCTCTCTCTATCTCTCTCTCTCTCTTTGTATCTCCCTCTTCCCCTCTCATTGTGTCATGATGCTGTGTCTCCTGTTCTTCTGTAATTTCCAGAAAGGTGAAAAGGCTCTCTCTCTTTTCTTTTAAGTATAGGATTCTTTCTCTTAATTTCTTTCCCTCCCCTTCTCTGTTCTCTCTAAGCTACCTCTCTCTTTCTGTGGTCCTGCTGTTTTCACTCTCATCCCTTTCTCCCCTGCTATTGCCAGTCTCTGGCCCTCTTCTTCTCTTGGGAGGATTTCCACAACTTTTTAATTCCCACAGTTCTTTAGCTTTTGATATTAAAGTGCCAATGCTGTTTTCCCTTAATCCCTCTCCCTGTCCCCTCTTTTGTCACCCACTAAATCCATCCCAATAGCTCATCTCTGGTAAATCCCCCAGGGTGACCTGAAGTCCCATTTTCTCTCCTCTGACTGATTAATCAACTTCTTCTCTGCCTGTCCCCTGCTCTACCTCACTCCTGAGTGCCCCTCTAATGATTACAAACTTGAACATTTGATAAACATCAATAGCATCTGAAAAAACTCATACAACAAGGGTATGAAACAAAAACACCATTTTGAAAATGATTTCAATTAATGTTACATAATGTAAAAACAATAGCAAAATGAATGTGTTCTCCTGTGGTGTCTTGTGGGTTGGTTCTGTGTATGGCCCTTATCTATCAGTCTGACTGATGCTGTAAATATTATACTTTGTGTGCAATAGTGGCTGTGAATTTAGGATAGATACACTAATGTAAAATGTAAAGCTCAAGAGCACCATCTCCTGGAAATTGTATATAAGAACATTTTGGTCGGAACAGAAGTTCGGTGACTAGTGTATCACTACGGAGGACAATTTGGACACACCATAACGTGTTAGAATTTTTGTTTTGTTTTCTTGACAATCTTTGAGTTATTTTTCATGGCAGACAAAAGTCAAGTGTGTTCAGTATGGGTGGGATCGGAAACAGGGATATTAAAAGGTAAAAATTATGTATCTCAGTAAACTTAGCCATGTTGTCCTTGTGTGCTAGTTTGTTAGAGCTAGCTAGCCACCCCACGTGTTTGTTAGCTAGCTGTATCTAGCTTGACAGGACTTTTCCCCAATGCGACACAGATTGCTTTGGGAATGATGACCATCAGGATATTTAAATGTCTATCACTTACTCTGTCTGTCTGTTTCATTAGGAGTGAGCCTATCCAAAAAACAGGCTTTCAACTTCTGTGAGATGAACTGCCTGAGCAGGGACCAGGAAGTCTGTGTCCTGGGCTGGGGAGATCAACATGAGACTGAGGTGTGTGTGTGGGGGCTCTAGAGAGTTTTGTTTATTTTTTTGTGTTGGCTAAGAGTGCACATAGGTCTGAATGTTGGCATCATGAGTGGTGTGCCATTGTGTTATTTACCTGAGTGTGTGTTTGTTCTAGGTGCTGGTGGGGTCTGTGAATGGCACAGTGAAGACGTTTAGCACAGAGAAGGGTATCTTCACTGAGACCAGACAGTGTGGGGAGAGCACCCAGGGCAGGTTCACAGGACTTGCCGTCACAGACAGGTATAGTCATGTAGATGAAAACATGCTCATAATAACACCACACAGGAGTTCTTGTTCATGCACACTGTCATTACACACCAGCAGCTCAGGGGTCATGTGTTGAGGATACTGGGGTGTATTCATTAGTCGCAGGTCGTAGTACAACGTTTGGGCTGTTTCAACGTTTTGTAACAAACTATTTACTCTAAACAGAAAACGTTTTGCAACTAAAACTATTTTCTATTGGACAAATCCTGCTAGGTCCCTTCCCGTTTCGTTCCGTTTGCTTCTGTTTGGTTCCTACAGTAAACTGTTTCCATTGCAAAACGTTTTGCAACAAGCCAAATGTTTTGCAACATTCTGAGACTAATGAATACACCCCTGATGTTGACACTGGACTACTCACTCCCTGTGTGTCTCTGCAGTGCTCTGATCACATGTGTGGAGACGGGACTGCTGAGGGTCTGGAAGGAGGGCAGCACAGACACAGTGAGTGACTTTGCCAGAATACCACTCAGGCCCCCTAGGGGTTGTTACATTGCTGATGGATACTAGATACTTATTAATGAATAAGGTTCACTGTCTGCCTTTTTGTGCACTGCCAGTTCCTTGAACATAACCCCTGTCCCTATATCCAGGTTGAGATAAATGCTGGGACTAATGTTTGTCGGATGCGTCAGAATCCCTCGCAGCGCAACCAAGTGGCCACAGGAGGGAAGGAGAACGGCCTGAAGGTCTGGGATCTGGAGAGGCCTGAAACACCCATCTTCACCTCCAAGAATGTAAGAGTAACAACTACATGTCAAGGAATTACAGTGGGATTGTCTACATAGTATGTTATTATTTTTAGGTGATGTTGCATTAACACAGTGCTGTGGTTTTTGATGTTGCAGGTGCGTAATGACTGGCTGGACTTGCGAGTGCCAGAGTGGGTCAGAGACATGGCCTTCATCCCAGACTCCGACAAGATCGTCACCTGCACAGGCCACCACCAGGTCTGTCTGAATGTCTGCCTCTTCCTGTACAAGCCCTGCTCTTAGACTGGGTCTGCTGGTCTTCTCAGCCACTGACCCAGACCTGGCGCACAATACTCAAATGATACATTCAGCAGCAGTTTGGTCAGTAGTGTGAAAATGGACTCTTAAAGGTTTTAAAAGTCCCTTTTAAGATTTTAATTAATATTGTTCAAGTTCAGGTACCAGGATGTATGACTTCGATCATTGCTACATAAGCAAACAAGTAAACATCACATCTCTTTGCCTCCTATATCTAATGACGTAACAAAAGCCATCTATTTTTACTCATCTGTTTGTTCTCTCTCTGTTAGGTGCGAGTGTATGACCCAGCCTCTCCCCAGAGGCGTCCGGTTCTGGAGGCTCAGTTTGGGGAGTACCCCCTCACAGCCCTCTCCCTCCCTTCCAACCAAGACAGTGTTGTAGTGGGCAACACGCATGGAGAACTCGCCATCTTAGATTTGCGTAAAGGTGAATGAGGCAGAGGATCATGTTAACTTGTTAAATGATTGTGCAGTTGCTTAGCGATCTGCTTCAGAACTTTTCCATGTCAGCCTCTATCTTTTTGTCCATGTATTTATTTGCCGTAATTGTCATTGTACTACATTAGAGAGGCATTTGCTAAATGTGCTCTTTGAAGCATCTGTTTAGCTTTATTGTTATGCCTGTAGCGATCATAATTATTATATTCTGATAGTCATGGAAAGAGGGAGCTTTTTTGTGTGTGCGAGTGCATGTTGCGTGAGAGCTTCTCTCCTTGACTACAGAGTGTGTTGGTTGTCTAACCCTCCCTCCTCCTCTCCTCCATCCGCTGCAGGTCTGGTGCGTGGGTGTTTGAAGGGGCTGGCAGGAGGGGTGCGGGGGCTGCAGTGCCACCCTTCTCTCCCTCTGGTGGCTTCCTGTGGTTTGGATCGTTTTCTGAGGGTACACAGCCTGGAGGACCGCTCCCTACAGCACAAGGTACACTAACACTCTCTTACACTCTTAGTACACTTGAAGTCAGCTACACAAACCGTCATTAGGGAAGCCTCCTACAATTGTTGTTTAGTACAGTTTTTAAAATAATTGTGTTCAGTTAAAGTTCAAGATGTTCTCTCTGTCTCCCTTGCAGGTGTATCTGAAATCACGACTCAACTGTGTGCTTCTGTCCAGCAGAGATCTAGAGGTAGGGGAGAATTTAAAGTGCTATGAATCAGACTTTATGAAGTACCATACTCATCGAATTGACTTTCAATGCTATTTTTTTTACCAACACTAATATTTGTTGTGATATTACAGCGCTATCAGAGGATTTTCATCAAACCTACACACATGACACCTGACATGACACATGTCGTGATGACATGACACCTGTCATGACACCTGTCATGCATATATTTTCTCATGTATTATGCACTACATAAAATTGTTGATTTAACCATCTTTGTATCAAGTTGACATGATTGGTATATCAAACAACAAAATGTACTTTTGCTGTGAATATTTGTGAAAATGTGATATTGCTGCAACATTATACTGTGGTATGTTTACAGTCTCTCTCTGTCCTCCATTTCAGCTGAGCAGTTCAGCAGTAACCGGAGATGTGGAGGAAGTGAAAGAAGAGGGAGAACTGGATGAGGTGTGGGACACTATGGAGATGATCAAAGACAAGGCTAAGAAGAGAGCAACAGAGGAAGCCGTAGTTACAGCTGTAGAGAAGACTACGAAGAAAAGAAAAGTGGTAAAATGACTCCCAGTGGAGCGCTTAAGGAAAGGACTGTGCTCTCTATGAGAAACGCAGAAGCTCTAGAGGTCTGTTGCGGATGTACAGACTGTTTTCCTGTTGAGTCTACTGCAATAGCCATAGTTTTCCTATTAAAACTAAACTGGCTCTGGAGTTGTTTGCATGCCCTTCTATACCAACTTCCTTGAAATGTAGCTAATAAATATATTTATTATTTTGGCAACAACTCGCAAAAAGAAAGTGTATTGAATGTACTATATCCCCAGTGCTATTACAATATCTCATATGAACTCTGAACATGATTGGTTCTTGTAAGTGTGTGACAGCGAGAGTGCAACATTTAAGTCATTTAGCAAACGCTCTTATCCAGAGCGACTTACAAATTGGAACACCCCTAATAAAAAGACTGGTGGCATCTGGTACCATTGGTTGGCTTGCTTCTGTTTTGGTGTCTGCTGGAATGGAGTAGAGGGTACTGATTAGGAAAATCACTCGGCATGATGGGTGTCTTTTAAAGGGGTGCTGAACTTCCTGATTTGACCTTGTTTTTTGGCTTGGTCATTAAGAAATGCAGTGGCCGTGACTGAAGCCAAACGAGTTGTCTTGGGGGTGTGGTTTAAAGTGGGTGTCGTGTGTGTGTGTTCGTACATGTTGAGCATTTGTACATTCAACTCTGCCAAGAACATAGTTAGTCACTCACCCTTCTAGATAACTTGAAACAGTCTAACCAGGTCTTGTCTTGAAGTTGCCTAGGCTAGCTAATGCTAGCCAACTTCGCCAATTAGCTTCAGCCGCCTGGTGTGTGACCGTGACAAACTTGGTTTGACATTGGATAGCCTGTCTCTGGGGGTAGTTGGGGACGGTCAATAAATTACACAATGTAAATGGGACAATGTTTTCATGTTGCACATATTTTAGTTGTCACATTAAATGGTTTAAATATTTGTATATTAATTTCTACAATTTATAGTTGGTTTGAGGTTTTTAAGTCTAAGAGCTATTGACATTTAAAAAATATTGTCCCATGAACATTGTGTAATTTACGGATGGTCCTTAATTAGCCCCATAGGTATATCGAATATCAAACCAAATAGACTACGGTACACTTAATTCTGTGACATACCATCTTTTCCTATCATCTTGCAAATCTCTGTTTTGGAAGAGACTGACTTTATGACCAAAATTATCGTATTTACACTTTGTAGTACATTTTGACACTATAATAAATGTTTCTGACTCATATCAATTCCACATATGCCATTTTCAAAATGAGAAGTTGCTTTTTAGGGGCAGTCGCTCTTTAAAGCTGTGAAGTTAGCCCAGAAGTGTTTTATAATTTGTGTTTGTCAGTTTGAGTAAATATGTCTCTGTTAATTATTTAGATTTTAGACCAACAGTGGTGTGTTCTGTGAAAATGTTGTTGTAAGCCTAGGGGGTAAGGGTCTAATGAATGATTAGAGATAATTTCTACCTTATTCAAGTGATAGGCCCATCTTACATTTAGGGAATCAAGGTATAACAAACCTTGGTGTAACGACAAGTGTTGGTTGAATGGATTAGTTATAACCATGATTGCACACTCACTTGTGCAACCTATCACTGTGGTTGACAAAGTACATTTATTGCAATGTGAGTTTCATTAGGTTTTAAGTCTTCAAATTGACCTGCATGTGACCTTGTGGGTGTATTGAAGACAGCACCACGTTTCTCTAGTTTCATGGAGAGCACTGTGTATCAGATAAGATACCTGTGTTTGGCTCTTTCTGAGACTGGACTCTGCACACAGACACACCCATTCCTTAACTCCCGATAAGATAAGACCAGTCCGAATAAAGAAGGAAACAATTGAAAAGAAAGACGAGTTTTCTCTTAATTTGTCAGTTGCAAATTGAAAGTCCTATTGCTGCTCAGCATTTACTTTCAGTTCAAAAATGACATTCAAGGATAAATACTTGTCAAATAAACGTTTGTTGGTCCCAATAAATTATACCCTGAAGAGGTGTCATGTTCTCTCAGGGAAATAACACATCCACACAGGCTTTTGCAACATGTGTCTAATAAAACGTGAATTATGTTTGTCACCTGATTGTCGATAGACCGCAATAAGGAAAAATTAGAAAGGGTAAGGAGTTTAGGCGCAAAGGGCACAAAAGGGAAAAGATTGTTGCCAAACTTGCAAAACGATGTACTTGATCCTAAGACCTCATAGGGTGGAGGAAGGAATGTTTTAGTATTACAAAACCTATTGGAGGGGAGGGGGCCTCAACACAGACTGTGTGCTTGTGAGATGCATGTTGGCAGAGGTCATGTTCTCACTATGGTTTTCAGTTTCCTCGTATCAATGGTGTAGAGCTTATTTAGTATTTTCTTTCTGCTCGTCTAAGCAGGGATTCATCTTTTTTAAACATGATGAAAAAACAATGCTGTGGGAAGTTTTCATTACAACCATCTCTCAGTTTTCAGTAGACATTTAGACTTTATGAGAAGAGATGATCATTTACAGCAATGGCCTGTTGGATTAAGTTGCAAGGGACTAAATTGGAGCTGAGAAACCAGAGGATGTTGCTGAATTGAATTGTAAAAGGTCTATGCTCTTAGAAATTAAATAAAATATATTCTTAACTTTAAATATGTTTTATATCTCCCCACTGATAAACACATTTGTACCCTTTAACCCTGTTTTTAGCAATCATTAACACTCTTCAAAGGCATTTTTATTATTCTATTATAAAATCTATTTCCCTTGTTCAGTGTTTGGAGTCCAGAGTCTTGTGCTTCCTCCTGCACTATTGCCTCATGATCTCATTGAGTTTCATCTTTGCTTACTCCAGTAATTAAGAGCCAGTGACTGTGTGTGTGTGTGTGTGTGTGTGTGTGTGTGTGTGTGTGTGTGTGTGTGTGTGTGTGGGTGTGTGTGTGTATTTTTGGTTTTACTATTCTTGTGGGGACCAGAAGTGGGGACATTTCGACGGTCCCCACATGGAAAAAGGCTATTTTAGAGGTTAGTTTAGGGTTAGAATTAGGGTTAGGTTTAGGGTTAGGAGTTAGTTTTAGGGTTAGGGTTAGGCTAACGATTAGGTTTTGGGTTAGGGTTAGGTTTAGGGTTAGGGGTTAGCGAAAATAGGATTCTGAATAGGAATCAATTGTTTGGTCCCCACAAGAAAAGTAAAACAAACGTGTGTGTGTGGTGTGTGTGTGCATGAATTTGTTTCACCCCTTCTGCCTTTCTTTCACAGTATGTAACAATCATCTTTGACAAAAAGTGACAAAAAGCCGCTAGTTTGTCACCCACTGTGTAGTTTGTGATGTTTTTGACTCCAGTCTAGTAACTCCAAAAAACACAAACTAGAGAAAAGTTTATCCAACCACACAATCCCCACCATGTTAGCCAACCATACCAGTGGTTTTTCATTTAAACATTTTATATTTTGGCTCAGAGCACTGATTTAGAGTTGGTGGAGAAATCTGACATTGATCAAGGTGCAGAGTTCCACTCACTTGTATACTTTAGTACGGGTTTAATGATAAATCAGTGCTGCCACATAACATGGAGCTCACACTGATGAGCCAATGAGATCAAGTGCATTCATGGGAAGTCACGGTGAGGTCAAATCATCATACAATCAGTGGTAATGACAAATAGAGTGGTGGATTTACAAATGTGTTTTACAATGTGTGCTATGCTGTCATTGGCACAGTTTTTGTGTGTTGACTGTGTGTTTGTAAATGGAACAAACGAGAATTACGAGTGTGTTTCACTGTAGCCCTACCTTGAGTGTGAGTCTGTGGAATCAGGATGTTGGATTGAGGGGCAGGGCGTTGAGACTGTTAAATATTGACTGGGAGTGTAATAATTAACTTGTCTCCAACTCCTGATCTCTCTTAAACTGGCCACTCTCTCTGCCATTGCATTGCTGACAAATGCACCCTAAACTCCTTCTCCTTTCTACCTCTCCTCTTAGTGAGGCTGACTTTGTCTACGTTCCTCACTGTTTTGCCATCTATCTTTTCAGAAGTTTCCACCACATCAGACCGCTCTTCCCTTATTTCTGTCTTTCTATTCTTGCACCCCCCAAAAGCAGCCGCTCCCAAACCTTTGGCCTCCTCCTGTAAAAGCTATCGGGCCAGACCTGGCTGCATTTGAAGGTGAGTACTGCGCTTGTGTGATGTTTGTCTGTGTGAATGTGTTAGCACATATTCAGGACTTACATTTCCTACACTAACAAGACCTGTTAGTTAGGATAAGAATAATCTTAAGGCCTAGTTCAGTCAAAAACGTGATTTTCCTGTGTTTTATATATATTTCCACATTATGATGTTGGAATAATACTGTGGAATTATGTTAATGCCCTTTTAATGTAAGAGCTGTTTGAAAAGATCAGCTGAAATTTCAGCCTGTTTTGGAGGGATGGTGTTTTGGCCAATTAGTTAATAGACCAATAAGAAAGAGAGTTCCAAACCTCTCTGCCAATAAAATTTATTTTTCCTCTCCCCACTAAGACCACTCCCAGACAGTCCTAGCAAAATTCTTGCTTGAGAAATTGCTCTTTGCTAAGAAGCTATTTTTGTTTCTTTTTGACCATTTTAATTGAGAACAATCACAGTAAGGTACTTAATTGTTCCCCAGAAATGATTTGATATTGAGATAAAAATGACTGCATTGGACCTTTAAAGACATGAAACTGAGATTCTTATGTATACATCCACAACAGGTGTCAACCCATCCCATGCCAACCTTTGTTCCTAAGAAAAACTCTCAACATCAGTCTTTGCCTTAAAATGGAAAACATATTATCTTACAAACCTCAATACTTGATTTTTCTGTTTACAGTTTCAAAGGCTAAAAGGCTGTCCTAACAAGAGGCTGTTTGAATGAGGGGACAAGTTTCTCCACATAGGCCTACAAACACAATAAACACAATTTGACATTCCACTGTATTATACAGTGACAGCTGGAGTAGAGCAGAGTTTCAGGGAAAACAGATGGTTTAAAATCAGTTCCCTTCAAACAGAGAGTATTTCGAGATGTATATTTAACAGATTTAATTTGATTTCTGTCATTCAATGTCTGTATGTGTGTGACAGAGAGTGCAGGAGAATGGCATGTAATACATGATATGTATTTTAAAGCATTTGAACTAACCCTAAGCCAAGTATGTAAGGCTTTTTGCTTAGCGTTTTTGTTAACCAAGGCAAAAGAAGTAGATCAGCAGTGTTTGAATTCAAATAAACATGCTTGGGTACTGTGAAAACCTTAACATCCCACTGGGCGCAGCTGCCTATTTAACTTCTATTCCACATTAGTTCAATGTAATTTCATTGAAATTAAGTGGTTAC